TCCCTAACATTTGTCGGGGGTCTACAGGACCCCAACAATTGTTGGGGGGGTCTACAGGACCCTAACATTTGTTGGGGGTCTACAGGACCCCAACAATTGTTGGGGGTCTACAGGACCCTAACATTTGTTGGGGGTCTACAGGACCCCAACAATTGTTGGGGGTCTACAGGACCCTAACATTTATTGGGGGTCTACAGGACCCCAACAATTGTTGGGGGTCTACAGGATCCCAACAATTGTTGGGGGGGTCTACAGGACCCTAACATTTGTTGGGGGTCTACAGGACCCTAACATTTGTTGGGGGTCTACAGGACCCCAACAATTGTTGCGGGTCTACAGGACCCTAACATTTGTTGGGGGTCTACAGGACCCTAACCTTTGTTGGGGGTCTACAGGACCCTAACATTTGTTGGGGGTCTACAGGACGCTGACATTTGTTGGGGGTCTACAGGACCCTAACATTTGTTGGGGGTCTACAGGACCCCAACATTTGTTGGGGGTCTACAGGACCCCAACATTTGTTGGGGTTCTATCAGACCCCAACATTTGTTGGGGGTCTACAGGACCCCAACAATTGTTGAGGGTCTACAGGACCCTAACATTTGTTGGGTGTCTACAGGACCCCAACATTAGCGTAGGCCATAAGAATTAGCGTGGCCCATAAGCCCTAGCGTGGCCCATAAGAATTAGCGTGGCCCATAAGAATTAGCGTGGGCCATAAGAATTAGCGTGAGCCATAAGAATTAGCGTGGGTCATAAGAATTAGCGTGGGCCATAAGAATTAGCGTGGGCCATAAGAATTAGCGTGGGCCATAAGAATTAGCGTGGGCCATAAGAATTAGCGTGGGCCATAAGAGTTAGCGTGGGCCATAAGAATTAGCGTGGGCCATAAGATTAGCATGGGCCATAAGAATTAGCGTGGGCCATAAGAATTAGCGTGGGCCATAAGAATTAGCGTGGGCCATAAGAATTAGCGTGGGCCATAAGAATTTGCGTGGGCCATAAGAATTGGCGTGGGCCAGAAGAATTAGCGTGGGCCATAAGAATTAGCGTGGGCCATGCTAATCTTATGGCCCATGCTAATCTTATGGCCCATGCTAATCTTATGGCCCATGCTAATCTTATGGCCCATGCTAATCTTATGGCCCATGATAATCTTAATGCCCGTGCTAATCTTGTGGCCCATGCTAATCTTATGGCCCATGCTAATCTTATGGCCCATGCTAATCTTAATGCCCATGCTAATCTTATGGCCCATGCTAATCTTATGGCCCATGCTAGTCTTATGGCCCATGCTAATCTTATGGCCCATGCTAATCTTATGGCCCATGCTAATCTTATGGCCCACGCCAATCTTATGGCATAAGGATTATTAAAAAAAATAGCATGGGCCAGAACATTAGCATGGGCCATAAGGATTGGCATGGGCCATAAGGATTACCATGGCCCGTTAGGATTACTATGGCCCATAAGGATTACCATGGCCCGTAAGGATTACCATGGCCCATAAGGATTACCATGGGCCATAAAGATTACTCGAGTAACAATCTTGTAAGTTACAAGTTGTAACACGAGTTTCTGGTCGTGGCAATGATGATGAATCGTTATATCATCAAAATACACTGTTGTTTACATTTTTTGCATAAAATCATGATTTTTTGTCAAGTTGGTTAGTTATTTATCCAGTTTATTCAAGTGTCAAAAATTTTATAGTCAATAAGTTGGGATTCGGTCGGTTTGACGTTGGCGGAGTCGGAGGAACTGGGAAACACAATTCAGCTGTAACCTACGTTTTACGTTATGTTACGTAGGTGTAAAAAAATCAATTAATTGCAGATTAATTTAATTGGAAATTAAATCCTCGTCGTCATTCTTCGTTGGTCCGACAATCCAGTAAATTGTGTGCCTACTCGTACATATATTATGATTTAAGTCTTCCGTTGATATATCTGTGCAATCTGTTGAAGTTTTTGTGGTTGAAAAATTCCAATTTGGAATTGGATTCGGTTAATTCGGTAAATTAATTAAACCTGGAAATACATTGATTTAAGGATTATATTTTGTCATTTTAATTAATAAGTGCTGAATATTCTTTTAATTTTCAGGAATTGGTGGTTTTTAACGATAGAAATTTTATATTAACTCGGAAATATGACGGAAGAGGTGGTGCCAAAACCTACTTGGGAAGGCTAGTTCGCTACTTTGTAAAACAGCTTTGTAAAGAAGCTTTTGTAAACTTTAAATATACTTAATTGAATCGATATACTTCAGATTTACGGAAATTGGCGAGATACCTGGAAAATGAGATTGATACCAAGTTGGTGTCTTACAGCAAAATGGGAGCAAATACAACATTCATCTCCCCAGCATCCGACTCGTATGTTGTTAATCATTTTAAAGTTAGACAAGATAGTTAAGTCCTTAATTTGTTTATTAATTAACCACAGAGACAGCGACACGAGCCCTCTTCTCGCCAGCGACAGGATGGTTGAATCTCTGTCTGAAGAGATTGACGTCCTCTTGCAACAATTGTCTCAGGTCAATAACGACATGACGGAAATTTCCACCGCCACGCCAGGACTTGCCACTCGAGCATTGGTCCACACACTTCAACGACATCGAGACATCTTACAAGATTACACACAGGAATTTCGAAAAACTCGTAACAATTTGAAAAGTCGTAGAGAACGGGAGGAACTCTTGACCGGGGTGAAGAATGAAATTGAGTATGAGCAGAACTATACATGTATTTTAGTAATTTAGTTATTTCAATTTAATCAATTTTATTATTGTTCTAGTTCTAGTAAGAACGCGCTAAATCGTCGAATGGACTTGTACATGAAGGAAAATGATCATCTCGTCAGGTAAATATTCAATTAGAGCATGTGTTTACACAAATTTTTCCAATACTGCCACCTTTTATAATACCAATTTACAGTTCCGAGCGAATGGTAGACGAACAAATTCGAATTGCTATCGACACGAAAGAGAATCTTGTCACACAACGGGCTGCCTTTAAGAAAATCCAACACAGAATGAATGATCTTGCTTCGAGATTTCCGGTTAGTGAAAGTTACGCGCAGTTAATTAGTTTCAGGAGCTGTTACTAACTCACCCTTTTTATAATAGGCGATCAACAATCTGATTCAGAAAATCAACTTCAAGAAGAGAAAAGATTCCATCATTCTTGGCTGTGTGCTGGGTCTGTGCACTTTTTTATTCATTATGTATGCCTTTCGATAAGAATGATCAGATCGAATAGATTTCGTCGTGGAACACTAAATATCAGATCAGAGTCTGATCATCAGACTGTCCTATTTTTATTTAATAACATCCAGTCTCTCATGTTTACCATATATAATTAATACTAAGTAAGAATTAAGTATGTAATATCTCGCTAATTTTATACTTGTCCCATAAGAATCCAAAAAATCGCAATTTATCGTAAATTCAGAAAGAAAGTTTTAAATAAAATTTTACAACAAAACCCTGCACAACTTGACAAATATTTTTAACGCAAGAGTCGACCACATTTCATCACGTTTTGCAGACCAACATGCCCCAACATTCGCAGCCGCAGTTGAATAAGACAGCCAGAATATTCGCAAATCTCTCATGTTTCTTTTGTCACGTGCAAGTAAAATAATCGTTGTTTATTAAATGTTTCGCCGAGCAATTACCGTTTTGGCACGACCTGCTTTTCTAGATGTGTCAGAGGTAAGTTAAAATCCAACCGTACGGTTACGGTTACGGCTTTAAACGCACATTTAAAAATTGAATGGTCAAACTGGTTGATTGACGAAATTTTTTATTTTTTCCAGATACGTCTTTGTAGAAATATACACGGGCGAAATTTGGGCTTCTTTGGTGAGAGGGGTCGACATGAGTTATCATCATCCTCATTTGCGATGATGAGGAAAGGGTGAGTTTTGTTGATGAGTTTTTAATCAGTTTATTAAATATACAATACATATTTATAAATTTGTTACCAGATTTCAACCATCCTCACCCCGCACATTGGTAAACTTGACATCTGCGCGACCTTTCGCAACCAATCTGGTCCAACCCGTTCCAGTCCCTGTACAGGAAGATTTCTTGGAGATTGATGCCAAAACTGGGAAAAAACGGGCCAAACGGAGGTCACAGGTCACAGACCCGAAGATCGACTTGCATCATTCCTTTCCTGTTTTTGCCTATGCTACGTGTGAAGAGTTGGATCTCGAACGGCTCCATGGCGGACTGATAGCAGACGACTTATACATTCCAAATGTACTCTCGGACGGTGCGTATGTATAAATTAGAATACAAAAACTGACTTTTTTTATTAGTTTATTTGTTCGTTCTTATCAGACATGGATGATGTTATCCATGCTTCGGCTAAGTATAAGATAAGTGATGAACCCAGAGAGATATTCTTCTTTCGAGATGGTGCCATCGTATTCTGGAACATGCCGAGTACCGAGTGTATGAATGTTTTAAAGTAATTAACCAATTTAATTACTATTTACTAATCTATATATGTACAATTGTGTTAATAAATTTAATTGGACAGATTCTTGAAGCCATACGAGCATGAAAGTTACGACCCTGACCAAGTCACTGAGGAAGTTGAGTATATGCGATACAACTATCACGACCAAGGGTACGTAACTAAACGGATATAATTAAAAACCCTTAGTTTCTAAATATTTTTATGGTTATTTAGGCAAACTCGCCTATCGAAAGGAAGAATCGTCCTTCATATAGATTCTGCTAACCAAATACTGGAAAAGTATGCCTTCGCCAATGCAATGGCATCTTCGGTGAAGTTAGGAATTTGGGAATCTGCTCTGGACAACTTTGTGGACAGTATCGCCGAAATTACAGAGGTTGCAATTATCACCTATTAACTAGAATCTTTCGAAATCCGACAATTTTTGTTCGCCATCTAGGTGCTGAAAAGAGCCGAAAAATTGGAACTATCTCGCGAAGAAGTTTTACAAAAGACTGGCGAACTCTACTCCTTGCGACACGAGCTCAACTTAAATTCTGACCTGCTGGATACGCCCGACTTTTACTGGGAGCGTGAACGGTTGGAAAATCTCTACCAAAAAACCTGCAATTACCTCAACATGAATCGTAGGACGAAAGTTCTCAACGAAAAGATGACCCAATGTTCCGAACTTCTTGAACTTATCTCGACCCATTTGACTGACCGGCATCACACTCGTCTTGAGTGGATGATCATCCTCTTGATCATGGTGGAAGTCGGATTTGAAATTTTACACGCTGCCGAGCGCTACATCATGTAAATCAAGTTATAAACTCAATAAATAATCACAACCGTCCATGTGTCTTTATTTGTTAATGATAAACCGTTATCAGGAGTTTATTCATTCATTCGATTTCGAAAATGATGACAATGACGATGACGATATTTAACAGCGAGTAGTTTGTTTGTTTCATTGTCAAGATCATCATCATCGTCATGTCATCATTACCATATCATTTCCACATGTAAATTTGTTTCTTGTACAAGTCAAGAAAGAAGAGAGGAATATAAAAGAAGTCCTGCTCGACTCTTGGTTTTTATATTAATTCGCAGACTCGTGGGTTTAATTACTTTAATCTACTAAACTACCTGCTTAATTAATTAGTACATAATTATAGATCATGATATATATATAATCGTATAACAACAACATAAAATAACATTACTTCTCATGTAGTGATCAAAATATTTTAAAATAAACAAATTCAACGACAATTAGTGATGATCATGAATGAATGAAATTGTATTTAGTGATGATGATGAGGTGGCATTTCACATAAAAGAATAAAGAAGTGGAGATATTATGTATATATATATATATATTTTCCAATCCTGGACCGGACCGGATTGGAAACATTCACTAACACAGTAATTAATTAATTACTTAATTAACTGAATACACGTATAAAATAAATCTTTGATGTGGACCGCTCGCTACAAAGCGTATCGCACATTACAATCGGACATCAGAGTAATAATGATAATAAGATCTCAAAATTAGCAACCACGTACGTACGTAAAACACGTTTTTTAACAATAAAAGTAGTATAACCGCCACCTAGTCAGCCACCAATTTAACGACCAACAAATCATGCCTAGTTAATTGTCTTAATTATTATCTTATTTTTAAATATAAAATAGTTTGTTGTACAACTTCCGTTCCTTTTATTAACTTACATATTATTACTTTATTCTTTGTTCACTTATGTAGGTATTAAACGGTTGGTTTTGGGTTACAAAATAAAATAGGGGGTCGAAACCCTTACTCACCATTTTGTGATGGTGAAAATAAAACAAATTACTTAATTTTGTGGTTGTCTGTTAGAAAACAGTATTACAATTTCTGATCCAAGATTATAGTATTATTTAGTTTCTGTCTTGCAAAATTCCAACCTTTCTCTCTCTCTCGCGACATGATCATCGTATAATAAGTATGTATTTAGCTTAGTAGTAGTAGTGATGAGAAACTCGCTTATCTTTTATACTTATTTTTAGTCTCTCTCTCTTCTAGACAGCACATACACGATACAACGACATACAGCAATCTATGTACTTCTTGTTTCCGTTATTAGTTAGACTTTACTGTAAAGGTTAAAATACATGATTCTTCCATTTGTGTCAACTTTAAAAAAACTCCTACATTCAAACCTTCTCCTGTTCTTCTTGGTTGCAAATTGATTCATTCCTCACTCCTCTTATTCCTAAGTAGAATAAATAACTATGTCTCTCGCCACCACCACGACGATAGGATAACAACATGCGTTCTGCTTCATCTTAATCACGGAAACAAATTCCCAAAATCCGTGTGGTAAGAAATTCACTGAATGCTAGCTACATTTTTATGCTCTCTCACCCATTAATTAACAACCGTGGGCACATAACAGAGGACCTAATAATTAACAATTAATTATTCCTAGTCCGTTTAGGTAGGTATCCGTGTACACTTTGTGAGTTTGTGTATGTCTGCATCCTTGACTAACGAGAAGCAGCAGGTTGAATATTTTCTTCTTCCGTCTTGTTCCTCCCATCCTGTTTTATCCGTTGTTACGTAAAGCTTCAAAGTTGTGGGGGGATGGAAAAACCAGGACGCGAGGTAGCTCACAACCATACAAGACAAGACTGATCATTCAATGATGAGAACGAGGACGAAATATGTAGTTCTGAAGCAGCATGATAATGTTGATAATGATAATGATGGCATGATGTTATAGTTTCCTGAAGCGTGAGGACGGTCATGATGTAAGACGATGATGAAGTACCGAGATGTTCCATCAAATGCATTCGTTTAGACGAGAGAAGCCATCGTGTAATAGAGCTGGAGGAGTTGTTGGATGTGGACGGGGAGACAGGATCTCCGGTCATGCGTTCTTGTATCGAGGGCGAGCCAAGAAAGAGCGTTGTAACCCTCGAGGACAAATCTGGAAATTGTTAATTGAATTAATTGAATGATTCGTTGAAACCGTGCAAATTTTTTAACGCAAATTAATTACCGTAACACATCTGTCGTATACTGAGAATCGAGTGGGTGCTGCTTCGCGTTCGACTGTTGCTGTAGAGGATCGTCCACGTTGTGAAATACGCTGTGCGAGTGGAGATGAAGAGCAGACTTGAGAAAGATGCCGCACCCCTTTTCGTTCGCTCGTTGGGGACAGGATGCCCAAAACCAGGATGGAAGAGGTCCTGATGGCGCAGTGGAGACCATGTAGCCAAGAGCGAGGGGTTGTTGGAGTAAGGTACCCACTTCATCACTCCCGTCAGATCGACCTCCCATCTGGATACAAAATTTGGTCAATTTTTAACAAAAATACATCAAAGAGGGTATTGAATTGACGAAATGAACACTCACTCGACCCTGACCACCCGACTGGAAGGGTGACTGTCGTCCAGACGTTCCAATTCCGGGACTACCAGGTTGTGAGGTCGAATCTCGCCTAGGACTCGTCCCAATCCCCGGACTTGGGACACCCGCACCGGTGTCAGGCCAGTTGAAAATGTCCCCAAGTTGTAAGTCCTATATATGCATTTTTCAAGTCAATCAATAATTTCATACTAAATACAACCCAACAAATATCCATATTGAGCACTCACGTTCATCCCATCAATTCCATCATCAATTCCTTCATTCACCATGAACAACAGATCTGAATCGTCCCCAAGTTCTGGGCCGTCGTTCATATGCTGTTCTTGGAATGCGGTTTGGGAAGACTGAAAATTGAAAACGAAAGATCATTAAGCACAAAGTAAGTAAAATGTCAATTTAAATATTGTATCTAAAATTCACATATTTGGACATGTGAATTCACATAGTGAAAAACCTGTGACCCATCGGGAGGAGTCAAAGGTATGCATTCGTCATTATAATTTTCATCAAGAAATTTAATATTGTTTGTACATACCTGTGTCGTCGCCGACGTCGGAAACACCAAAATGTGTGTGCAAGAGATATCCTGCGGCGTGGAGAGGGATGCCGATGTCCCCGAGTTTGAAAACCTTTCATCCGGCGTGAACTTGTCCGGCATCAACCTTAAACAACTGTCCGGTTCTAGGGAAACGAGACAGGCAGACAGAACACACGGAGCCTCGGTGGGAAATTGGAGAGAACATTGTGAGCACAAGGCTTTCAACTGATTCGAAGCACGCAACAAACTTTTCCGCGACAAGAGAGTGCTCCAACATTCCAACTCCCCGTGACCAACGCGTCCCAGTCGACCGACCACGAGACGCCAAGGACTCGCTCCCGTCGACATGATGCCCAGGATAAAGTCCATCAATTTGTGAAGGCCGTGCTTCCTCGCGTTCGCCTTCCTCCTCTTTGACCGATTCGGAACGTACATAGAGATCGTTGTCGTTTCGAGTAACTCGCCCCGGTCGTCCGTCACGGAAGCGATCAGCCAACGCTGGTCTTCCGAGAGACAGTAGGCCACGTAGAGGACGGAGGAGAGGTTAGGCGTCGTAGAGGGGCCGCCGGTCAAAGGATTATTTCCAGAGCTGACTAAACCCCCCATCGTTTGACCTTGGAGGACGCTCAGCCAGTCGATCCCTTCAGTGAGTCTTTCCTTATTCGGAGCGAGCACGTAGGGTGGCGTGTAAAGTTTGTAACCGGCTCGTGACTTGTCCTGGGAACAGGAATGTTAAAGAATTATTTTAAATAGAGATTGTGATGAAGCTGATCACACCAATTTTTTGCGAACTGTGTAAATTTAGGTGTACGTAACGGGGTGAAATTAAGAAATATGGAGGAAACCATCCACTTTACAAAATTATTTACACAGTAACAAGAATTTGTGTCACATAATTTTGTATTGTGCGTACGTCTTTGCTTTTGATGAACAAGTCGGCCGCAGCAGCAGGGCCGAAGCCGGTGAGTGATTTGACATTGCTTTGGTGGGTGAGGAGGCGTCTGCATTGCGAGTACACGGACAAGGCGAGAGCACGCATTTGATCGTTCTTCAGTCTCGTTTCTAAAGTACTGTTCCCAAGATTTATAATGTCCTCGAGGGAAATGATCTAGAGATATTTTCAGGTTAATTGATAAGTAATTTAACTACATAAATAATATTAAATTCGAAACTTGACCCACCTGAAGGGTGATATTGTTCTTGATATTTTCCGGAATAAAACTCAACATTGAATGATAGCACCTCAAAAGTCCTAGTTTCGCCAGTCTGGATACACAAATAAGAATTACATATTTAAACTATTTAATGAGTCTCAAGTAATTAGCAGATTTTCAATTAACAAACCGGTGAATGTCCTCGTCATCACTGCCGAACCCGAAGGGGTCAATTATGTAAATCACGATGGCAGGTGGATCACGTTCATCATCCTCGCTCGGCTCATGCATAGAAGGAACTTCTTTGGTGTCAGTTTCCGAAGTGGTGGTCGTTCCTTCGAAAGAAAAAAAAACAAGTCGAAGTCAGATATTGCGTAGTTATTGATACAAAAAATAGCTAAAAAGGGTTATATGTACCTGGTTCCTGTTTTGGTGTTGGCGGTCCCTGTGTACTTCCCGTCACGTCGATCGTAGGCGTGGGCTGAGGTACTTTTGGAGACGAGGAGGATTTTTCATGCGATGATTTCTGATTGTGAGAAGCGAATAGGCTCTGATCCAGTGAGATTGATAAGAGTTGAGGGACCAGGTAGTGTCGACAGACCTACAAAACATTACAATTATTACAAAGTGTCTAACAACTTGTTCTAACTATGCCACAATTTTAATTTGGTTAATTAACGCACCTGTGCATAAAGTTTGAGCACAGCGGCGGTCGGATGGTCAGGCAAGGAACGGAACCATTCATCTACAGGTTCAGAGGCAAGTTTGGTGGCGGCGTATTTTCCGACGCGAAGTATTCCGTCTCGGAGCACCTTTGAGATAGCACAGTGGCGTCCGAGCTGACAAACCTGGGATTTAAAATATGCAAATTAGCGTCAGTGTGACTCATTATTTAATACCTTTGGACATCAATGTGCTCTTATTTGAATTAATTAGTACACATGAATTACGAACTCTAGCAAATTTGTGACCTTGTAGATACATAAATAAATATTCCCCATTCATCACACTTACCTCGTACATGGATGAGAATTCTCTAAAAAAGAGGCGGACTTTCTGACAGATGAAGTCATTATCTGGCGCCATGACGAGGTAGGCGACATCCCTGGGATACGAGTAGGGTTCGAGGAGAAGTTTTTCCCAAAACTTGATAGCCAATGGACTCAATGCTATCCAGTCTTTTTCCGATCCTACTAAAATTGCTGGAATTGGTTGCGGCTCGCAGCGATCTTCCGTCCCTGGAAGATTAATCACGTCATCACATTTTAATCCAGTTAATCCTCCCGACTATGAATTCATTTTCAAAATGAAATATATATAAATTACCTCGTCCGGCGAGACGATGGAACATTCGCCACGTTAGCGGTCCGGACACTGTGTACTGAGCATCCCACGCTTTCGCATGTACGGCTTCTTGAAGAAGGGAATGGAGTCCTCTCATCACTTGCATTACATCCTGCCAATATACAACGCAAGTCGTAAATATATGCCCAGTCTTACATAATCCACTTTATCAAGTTACCTGACTCGACTTGGGTCCCCTCGCACACCTAAACGCCCACTTGTGCATCAAGCCCAGGTTCTGACGGAGGATTAAGATCTCCTCGGGCAGTCTGTGGTAACCCATCCTGCCTCCACTCGCCTCCATGACTGAGCGTCCGTGATCCAGCGCCGTGAAGGCGGCCCGATTCGCGTCCACACATTCTAGCACGTTGTATGACAACTCGTTCCATCTGCGATAATCAATTAAATTTCAAAAACAAATTCATAAAATTCTCAATTACCCAATTTACCTGGCGGTGGGTAATTCTCCAGTGAACCGAGATGCCACACAGTTCCCAAACATCACCATGCACTGCTCCCTCAACATTTCTAGCAGGTAGGGTGGGATGTCGTCCACTAAGCTGACGGCGGGTGGACCATCCTTCTCCGTCCCCATTGACGAAGACGATGCTGACGACCCAGTCGGCCCCGTGTTTGTGTTTGTCGGAGTTGATAAGTTGGAACTAGATTTCGACGACAACATGAGAAAGGATGTTTTCTTCCTTTCGTACCAGTCGTCACTCGGGAGGGCGATAGGTGCGACGGAAGCTGTCGTAATTTCGTACTCGTCCTCATAAAATAAGCCAGAATGGTGGGCCGATCTGCAAAAACGGTAAAATTAGGGGGTCACAAAAATCAGTCAGATATTTATCGAGGTCATAATCATTGTTATAAATCAATCTACCTCCGATTCACTGTGGCGCTGAAGCCGCAGTTGCATCGAACGGCTTCCTCGTCCGGCGCAGAGTCATGAATATATAGTCCCACTTCTGACCCACGGATATTCCCGATGACTTTGTTGCTCGCGTTGCACACGCACATCGTACAACTGTCAAAGTTGTGGTCGCGAAAGAGGTTGATGACCGAGTCAGAGAGGGAGAGATTGACGACGAGAGCGTGTGCCTCCACGCCCCGAGTGGCATACATGTGAGGCGGATGACCAGAATGCGGAGGATGTGGAACGTTATGAGGATGTTGTTGTTGTTGAAGCGCTACAGCATTTGGAGGCACATTCGGACCTTGCTTCAGGTACATGTTGGAGGAGGGAGGACTTCCCATGTCAAATGGAGTGCCTGGAAATTTAAATTAAATAAATACTTCTCTAATTTTTCATCTTCATGACTATATTTAGTTTTTTAAGACGAACATTTACCTCTAATCGAGTTTGGAACAGGTGAAATGGGCGAGAGTCCCGGCCTGAGGTGGAGTTGGTTCGGAATATTAGGTCCAGCTAACATTAAGTGTTGCGCGTGAGAAGAAAGGGGATGTCCAGAAGAGGAAGTCGCCTGGTGTTGTTGCTGCTGCTGCTGCTGAGTATGCTGAGGATGTTGCTGCTGCTGGGTTTGTTGGATGGGAGGGGGTGGGAATTGCCAGGAGGCTTTGTAGATGGGATTTGGTGGAAGGGTGAGTGGTGGGAGGTGGTGAGACTGGGAGGGGAGGACAGCATGTGGCGCATACTTTGGAGATACCAGCATTTTGTAGAGCATGGGCGGTTTGAAGACGTATGACCAATCCTGCAATTGCATTCGTAGCTGGTGTTGGGCCACGGTGCGAAGAGGATGAAAACTGTTATTAGTTTCCAACAATCTTACCTCCGCTGGCTCATCGAGAGGAGATCCCAGCCCGGAGTAGGAATCCGCTCCCCGTCGTAGACAGACGGCTGTGAGGGTGGAGTCGGTGAGGCCTTCAAGGGAGGAATTCTCCGAAGTGGGGCCGACTGGGGAGGAGATAGGATTCGGTTCGTGGGAGGGAGGAGTGGGAAACATTTTGGAAAGTTCTTCCGGCCTGACGGCGGTGATCATGCGACCGCCACCCTTATTCGAACCACACCCAATCAGACAACTGCTCCCCATGTCGTCGTGACTCCCTGCAGGTTTATTTGATCCGGGTGGTGTTGGAACCTGAAACTGTGGAAAATAATTTATTATTTAGATGTTGCACATGTTCCAACGCCACGTTTGTCAAAATTTTACGTTAGATAAATCGATGCAAATGTAGCTTGGCATGTGATTTATCCAGTCAATTAGTGGATGTTAACATGTGTAAATGTGAATTGCGTACCGTTTCATCACTTGAAGTATCCGAGTTGTCGAATAAATTGTCCAAGTCGCGCAGAGATGGGTGAAGTCCTTCCGTCGTGAAGAGATTTCCGGTCACGATCTTATTTCCATTTGTCGTATCCGTCGCGCAGAAAGGGCTCTTCTCGTCCTCCTTAGTAACAATATTAATCAATATCACGCCCTTTATTATCAACAGAACAAACTGTGCTTCACTTACGCCATCCTTCCTTTTGAGTCCGTCCATGCTAATGACGGGTGCGAGATGGGTTTCGTCGTCAAATTCGTACGGATCAGCTGCCCGTTTCCCCAACTGGTGGCGTTCATGGACGCCTGCTGTCCCAGAAAGTGGGTGCGATTTCTTCATCCCAAGTCCCCAATTGTACATTGACGTCTTACTTTGTCCGTCCTTAATTTTGATACGTTTCACGGGGTGATATAACCTGCACACAATTTCATATTGAACAATCCTCTCCTCAAATTTTCAAAATTTTTCAAAATTTTACCAAGCTTCTAGAGATGAGTAGTCGTAAATGGTGTCGGATGGTTGACAAGTGTCTTCCTCGACGAGCAAGGCCTCATAGTCTTTGCTTGGAAGGGATGGTCGTATCAATAAACCTCGCGACGACGACTGATTGTTACCCGTCTGCTTGTTGGCACTGTCCTTGTTGGTTACGATGAAGTTCAAGTCTCCCAACGGCGGAGGACCCGTGGATTGTTCGGCACATCCATTTTTACTATTAGCACCATCATATCCGCTAACCAAAGGTGAGAAAACCTGGAAGAAAGGAACCGCAAATTAAAATAAATGAAGTCGGTTGTTAATTTAATGAGAAACTGGGAAAAAATAGATGGATTCAAGGGACGTAAACAGGGGAAGATTTTCATACACAGTTACAAAGCTTGCTAGGAATGTCTTACTTGGTGTGAAATTGAGTTGGAAGCACAATTGTCAGGTGAGACGGCGAGCAGGGCCTTGTCGCTTGAAGGTTGTGGACTCAGTGTGGGCATGGAGGGCTCCTGTTGGGAGACGGAGGCCGGTTGTGACCTCGGCGTAGGTGTGGGGAGCGGGGAGGGCGCGGCGGACGGGGGAGAGGGTAAAGGTCCTTCGCTCCCAATACCCGGACCCGCTTTGAAGGAAGGAGGACCACCTTCGGTGTCACGAGGTTCGGGTGCTCCGCTACTATAGAGTTGATAAATTAGGGTTGCAGAATTATAAAATAGCGAATATTAATAACTTACCGATTGCCAGTGTTTTGATTATTGGCACCACTTCCACCTCCTCCTTGCGTGTCGCCACCACCTTTTGGTTGATTATTAAGGGTACGTTGACTGTTGGAATTGCCGTCCCAGTGATTCACCCAGTGTTTCACTTGACATTTCTGAACTCTTCGGTGAAACGTGCTTCTCTTCACTTTTGAACTTTTTGTACTTTGTCCTGACCCACCTTGGCTTTTTGATCCAGAAGAACGTTTACATCTAAGCAAATCAAATTACCATTTAGAACCATATCGGGCTATGCACGTAAGCACGTAAGCTGAACATACTTTGAACATATGCAAGAAGATTTTGTCATTGGATCAACAAAGTCCCATTGGCCCAAAGTGCTGCTGGTGCCTGTCGCCCCGTTTGGTAACTCGACCGTTGCCGTGACATCCTTACTTGGAGGTGGGACAGCACCAAGGGCTCCCTTGTAGGAAGAAAGAATCGCTTCTTGCCAGACACGTTCGGGCAGAGCTCCCTCGAATTTGCATACCTGACGAAAATTTACATAATCAGTTAGTTTGTTGTGATTAATTTAATAATTAGTTTAGTGTTGTTGTAAATTAACAAACAACTCACTTCTGCCGGAGTGGTTGAAGAACTTTGTGGTCTATTTGGTGACACGGCGGGACAAGCGGCGGATTCGGAGTCGACATTGACACCCACCTTAGTCTTGGGCGTCACGCCGGGAGCGGATGATTTTAAATTATTATTTTCCGGACGAAGAGGGAGATCTTCCGGTTCCGTTACGAGTACATAGCACGCGGGATATCGCATCCTCACCCCGCCGAGGAGAACTTCCAGCACGGGTGGGATTCCCGTGTTGGGAGGTGGGGTTTGAAACTGGAAGTTGGAGGGGTGTGGCGAGGAAGAGGAATGTGATGTTTGAGGAACCGTTGTGTCGTAGAGGGAGGACTTTAGAGCTGCTTCAACCGGGTAAAACTGTTTCCACTCGTCGAGGATCTTATTCGACCCGTTCTCATTCAACCGGTAGCCGACACCGGTCAGCATTCCGGCGAGACCGTGGGGAGCAAGGATTACTGGAAGGAGGGCAAAGATCAAGTTAAAATCTGGCAATATACAGGGATCAAGTTGGTAGTCTCACCTGGCAATACTTGATTAGGAGACTGACACGCTTGCAGGTGACCTTTATTGACCCGCTTGATGGAAGGGTGTTGTCGAACGTCCACGCTCATACAGACAGTGCTCTCACCGTGGAGAAAGAATGCAAAGGAAAATGACAGTTGCATCGGAAAGCTGTAGAGGAAAGTATAAAAATTAAGTATAAATTTTGAGTAAATTAGAAAATTGCGCAGTGAAATTGCTCACGTTTTGACCGCTGTCCTCGGACTCTCATCACTGGGTTGGATAAACCATTTTCCTATCCTTACGAAATCTCTGGCTAAGAGACATCTGAAAAAGGAACGAGTTTTTTATAAGTCACCGACACAAAGTAAAATTAACTTGGTAATCCAACAAGACTCACTTTTCAATTAAATTATGTAATGCTTTAAACAGTAATGTTCTGCAGTCGTAGGTTAACCCACTCTCCCACGATCCTTGGTCAGGTTCTAGAAATAAATATAAATTTAGTCGTCAAATTTATGGTTTTAAACGAACACGACGGTAACACGATTTGAAGTAATGAAGGGTTGTGCAATTTGTATATTTTTTTCTCAAATAAATTATAAACTGATCTTTGCAAATTTAATTTTAACAAATAAAGAAAAACTTTCACAAAACTGAACTTTAACGGCGCACTTGGGTTTTAAAAATCGCAATTTGATTCTCTTTAGTGACACAAAATAATAACTGACGAAACAAAACGGACACCTCAACACTTTGCATGCACATCACGAGTCACTTTCAACATTGGAATCATTCTTCGATAAAGGAAAACTTTTCACAAATACAAAATTGCACAATCCTTCCTGCTTCTTGAAAAGTCGTCGTCGTTTCTTAATTTTCAATCTTTTTTTTATTCCTGACCTGTTTTATTGAGGAGTTGAGCATTGACCAGACATTGCAAGTCGGGCTCTTCCCCGTACCAAAATATCCAGAGCTCTTTAGGTCCATTTAAGGAATTGTTGGTTAGATTTGCACTAATGGGAGGGAAGTTGGCGGCAGAATGTGGCATTGGGGATAATTGTGGAGAAAATCCGTGGGGTGGATGTTGCCCTCCGCCAGCACTGCCCGGATAAGGGGGTGGTCCCCCGTGATGTCCAGCCATTTGCGGCCCACCCCCCATTCCCATGGGGAGCTGTGGCGGCATCATATGCGTCTGGTGGTGGTGTTGGTGGTGATGTTGCTGCTGCATAAAATGTGGCGACGCCTGATTATTGGTGGCCGCGTTGATGTGAAACGGATCCGAGGGTGTGGGAGGTTGCGTAAGTTTGGAATTTGGCGACCTCCTCCACACGCACAAAATATCTGCCGCTAAACACCGGGCATACGAAGAGAGGACTGGATCGTCGAGAGGGCCGCATGAGTGATGCGTATGTCCCGGACCAGGCGGCCCTTCCGACACGAGGCGACGCCATCTAATCCCGCACAAGTCGGTCTATGAAAGAAAATTCAATTCAGTGTCGAGTTACTAAGTAAACATTAACATGTGGGTTAAACGTCAACAAGAAATAAATGTCATTTGATCCGTGATCCCTCCAACAACATGAAACGATGAGATAACTCGGCGAGGAAGTAAATTTGGGTCAGGCATTCGTGCTGGGGGAAACGACCCAGTCTACGGAGATTGACCGGGAGGGTGACCTCTTCAAGTTGATGTTGCTGTTTGCATGGAGGTATCAAATGTATCAAAAAGTGGAGGGTTTTTCTCACCAGTGCGAAGAAATTGCTGTGACAATCCTCCAAAGTAGCGCCGTTTGCAGGGTTAGTCATGATGTTGGCTGACCCTCACCTTCTGGCCCTTGCAGGTTCACTTATCATGGCTCCAATTGACCCCTGATGCAGGAGGAAACCCGAAAAAATGAGACAAATCAAGTATTTTTACTTTTCAATGGCGACGAAGATGGCTGCCTCTGACAACAAGCTAGAACTACGCTAACTTTACCACCATACAGAACACTATATACCAGCCTACAAGAACTTACGACAAGGTATATCCCGACATGATCAAAAAGTACGATGTACTCCGCTCTTAAAGGAAAGGAGAGCGAGCAAGTAAATGGATGTGATCCAACATCATGTCCTGTGTTTCCAAATGGAGCCCCTCTCAGAGAAGAGCTCATCAACCCCTCCACCCCACCTCACCACCACAAACCAGCCCATGTGACTTGCTTTAGAAACTCTCTTCTTAAAAGGAAAACGCACACGGGATAGTTGGAGATACTCTTCGTAAAAAACACAACCCTTTCATTCCCGCAAGCACGCACTAACAACTTTCATTTTCTTCCACCAGTTGACATTACTTGACCTGAAGGAAGAAAGAAAAGTCTTAAAGAAAGTCGGCGTAATTCGTCCCCCGGACTCAAATTAACTCAAATTGGTTACCTCGACTAAATGATTTAGCCAATGAAATACATGGATGGACAAAGTTGTGCATAACTGGGAACGAAAAGGTTGTCATTTTTTCATGGAAGAGTTCTGTGGTCCAAATTGCGGGCCCATTTTGCATATTATTCTGGGAAAGGGGGCTACTTGTTGTCAGAGGTTGATGGTCAAGAATTCGCCTTCCGTAAAGAGTAGGCAGACCAGCTTAATGCAAAATTTTCAGCCCGAGTGAGAGTAGTCATTTAAGTTTAGCATGTCACGAAATGTGGGGGTGGCTGCGACCACATGCAAAAATTAAATGGACACTTGCACTCCTCAGGGTGAAAGTGATTTTTCATTAAGAGCTGTCTGCATTTTCATGAGAGTTTCATCACTCACGTTTTGGCTGGCAGCGTGTGGAAGAGAGTGGAGTTGTTCAGTTTACATGTGGCATTTGTTCATGACGATTGCTGTAAAAGTTAACAAAAAAAAGGTAGTTAACTCCGTCGCCTCAAGTTTAAAAGATTTGTATAAAGTTTAATTTTTGAATAAAATTAAAAAAAAATATTGCCCAGACTTATTACTGGCAGAAAATGTACCATTTGATGATGATCCCTATAAAAATTAATGAGTCAAATTAGTCAACAGTTGACCCCATGAATTACAATGCATAAAAATTGTTTTTTCCATTAAGTAGAGAAATCATACTTATCACTACTTCTTATCACTCACCGCGACACAGCCTTAATTGACTCTTGACCTCTATTTACTGTTTCTCACCACCGAATCACTTCGCATAGATTCCGACCGGCTATGTTACCATCAGTCACGAAGCTTTCCTCCTACTCTGTGTAAAGGAAAAACCAAAGAAAAAATTCAGTAAAGGGGCCATGTATGTACATTCAAGTGATCAATTTAAACCTAATTATGGCCTCCTCTCCTCCCCCAAAAGTCAAAGTAATGGATCAAGAGTAGTGATCCTCGTTTGACTTTTACACAATTCAAATCTATCACACCCCATCCAGAATCTAGAACGAAAAAGCTTACCTGTTGTACGCACCTCGAACGACATACCTATTCACTGCAGGATTTGAAGAAGAATCTGGATTTGGACAGGATTTTTCTTGTCTTTGACTCCGTAGAAAGTCTTCTCTTCCACCACAACCACCCACCAAGTTGGTTACCATGGCAACTATGTTCCCCCATGGAAACGTCGTCTCCTCGTCTCAATTTTGTCGTGGTCGACGAAACGTTGCCCTGGTACGAAAGCGAGTTCTTCATAATTCCCCCGGCCCCCACCCAGCTCAATTTATTCTCTGGGAACCTACATTTTTAAAGAATTATATGACAATTGCAGCCGGCGACCTAATACAACCCTCCAGTCCTGCCTCGTGTTTATACCTGTCCTCCTCCTCGTCCCTCAAAGGAACCGATTCCATAATTGAGTCCACAGTTCCGAAAAAGGAAAAGCTGGACAAATTATGATTCAGTGGCTGACTTGGATGACCTACTTCACATTTAATGATTATTATTATTCCCATTTCATTATTATTATTATTGACTGACGGCGACAGTTTTCGGAGCGAAAGTGAGTGCCATGTGCTACTTTGGGAAAATTGAGATTTTTTGGCCAGAAGAGAGACGTGAGATCGTGTTTTTTTAGCCCACCAGAGAGAGAAACCAGTGTCGACGCCGGTAGGGGTGCACCCATCAAGAAAGTGGAATACAAGAGAAAATTAAATTAAGCATGAAAAAAATTTGGGAACAAGAAATTGAATTCTAAACACAAAATGTAATTTTTTAACAAAGTTTCTGCATGCGTGGTGGTCACGATGAAGTTTTTACTATGGGATTCGGGTGTATTGAGATGAGGCGGAAATTGTGGAAATTGAGAGATTTGGTTTAGTCGTGCTTCTTGATAAGTGTTTTTAAATTTCAAATTTTGACTTTAAAAAATTTAAACATTATCGTTTTCGACATGTATCATGGGATGGTCGCCGGTTTGGCGAAACCTGTCTTAAGCTATGCCGCCGAGGTGGGAAAGCCTACTGCTTACTTAGAATTAATTAGGCTAATTTATTTAATTGCAGCAATTTATTAATACTTAAAGTATTATACTTTCTATGTTTCCAGATAACGCCGCTTCTGACCTCTGTTCAGGTGCGACACTGGCGATACAATAGGTATAAAAAACCTTACAAATTCTTGAAGCCGGTCGTGCCCTTGGAAAACTTGAGTAGGGATGAGCCGGTCACGTCTTCCTCTAACTTGGGCGATATGGATAAAGTTCGCAAATTTGAGTGGACTGCAAAATCCATGAATGCGAGAGGGTAACAAAATTCGTTGGAAATATTTCATAAAGAGAGTGTCAAGCAAACGCGATATTCTTATTTATTTGGGTGGCAGGTTTCTCCGATTTCAAAAAGAGTACAAACCCCCAGTAGATGCGAGGGAGCGGATGTTACAACTGTCGAAGGACGTCATCCCCCGTCTCACCAAGTTAGAAACTGAGAAGGCCGTGCTCAAATATAAAATTACTGATGCAAAAACAAAGTTTGACCTCTTGTCGAGAGCATTCGTCCAGTTTGACCATGGCGTCCCCAACTCTATGCTCTACATGATGGACAGTGTCGGTGAGTCGTGTTGTTGTGCTCCTATTTTCAAACACTAATTAGTTTTTACCTGTCCAGGCGACATTGTCCACTTTTACACGACTGAAATTAAAACGCAAACTCCTTTCGATCTGTTAACTCGACAAGCGGAAGATCTCCCCCCGAATCTGCATATTCTACCAAAACCGATCCGATTCCATCCAGGTAAGACGAAATGAATATGCTAAACTTCTTATTTTTAAATAGGCACTCGAGCCATGTCATCGTTTTTATTCAAGATAAATTGAATTTAAAATGACTAAATATTTAAAATGAACTAATTGTAAATGCTAACTATCTTTTTCAGAAACCGACACACAATTCGGAGGAATGACCGCTTTCCCGAAAAGTTCTACAATAGTAACAGGTTTACGAAGTAAAAAGAAATATCGTGGTTATGAAGCAAAGAAAACTTGGCCATAGATAAAATAGGAAAACGTAATAATTTCTGATTTGTTTTTTTCCTAGTCTTTTTTGTTTGAATAAATACTATTGCGGTATTAATTAAAACATATGTCTGTATCTATCTGCGATTAAATTTGATTGTTATACAGAATAAAAAATAATCACTCTTTTTTTACTTGTTACATATTGTATTATAGGTACTAGTAGTATTTAGTAGAGTAAAGCATCACAACTAGCTTGGTATTATTACAAATTTTGACTTGTTAGTAATTCACTTCTTATTCGGACCGAAGAACGACTTCATCAAACTTTTCGTGTCTCCCTGCAAACAAAAGCATGAAATACTTTTTAAAAAACTGTAAACTTGCATTTATTGGCACTTCTTCGAAATAGTTCAAAACGTACCACATTTGCACCCAGCAACATTTTCGCCTTGTCTTCCTCCTGTGGACTAGCATTTGCGTCAGATGAAATTATATTCTTCCTCCACAGTTTTTGCTTAATGGCCTAGAAATCATCAAGTAGTAAATATAACGTATAGGAGAACGGTTTGGTTCAAAAACGACTTAAGATTTTAAATGATATGCAAATTCATCCAATTCATCCAATTCAATTAGCTACCTGTGAGAGCAGAACTCTTCTGCTATGGTTTCTTATCGCGAGGAGAAAGTCGAGCCACGTCCAAGTGATGTTGTTGTATTCCAAGGTCGGTATGAGAACATGGACGTCTTGGACATCCTCGATATTCTTGTCCTTCTCCCCCTTGTAGCTCACCCGGACGGGGACTTCGGGCACTTTGACGCAGATGAATAGCATGTTCTTCTCCGCCCGTTCCTTCATCTTCTCCACGTCGTCCTTCTCATTGTTCATAGCCACATAAAACTTGGACTCTTTTCGCTTAATTTTGTTCTTCTTGCTCTTCTCCTTGGGCGTGGAGATGGTGGAAAGGCTGGTGGATGAGGAGGACATGGAAGACGTGGGATCCTTCTCGCTCAGAGTCCCGCATCCGAGGGAGGCCGTGTCCATGTCTCCACTCAGCTCAACGTCATCCAACTTTTCTGGATCTTTTTCAGGGAAGCAAAACTTGAAGAGTGTCTTGAAAAATTGGTAAGTCATTCCTAACAATAATTAAATTTTTACTCAATTTTCTCTCAATCTTGCAGCATGTCCTTAATTAATTTACCAATCGTTATGGGAGCAATGTTGATTTCAAAGTGTTCCTTCACCGCGATGCCACCCACGGGGGGTCGGTCGCGACAAAATACGCGCAGAGTTCGCTATTTCAAGGAAAAGAATGCACACGTTTTATGGTATTTTCTGTCGTGAATCAAATAAAATAATTAGTAGCACAACTCACTTGTCGGTCCACCGGCATACTAGCGTGAATGTGGGAAGGGACAAGAACCTCTTTGTACATTTGGTTCGGCAGTAAGTTGGTGACAGTGATGTAACCCAGTTCACATAAATGTTCCGTCGAGTCGTCACTCTTGTCAGTTTTCGTATACCTAAAGAACATGACAACAATTTTCCTTAAGTACAAGTAAAATTGATGCTTTTATGTTTTTAGAGTTTTATTCAACTAACAAAAAATTGCTTAAGACGAGATCCGCAATTCCAAGCTGGCCATCAGTCTGTGTCAGTCTCCATTGGGCATGTTTGAAACAAATTTCATACACTCGGACGAGGTAGACGTCCTTATTGTCACGCTTTCGAAATAGGCGCTGAGTCGCGGCTAGTTTGGCTTCCTATTAAATTATAATTCAAGGCGAGTATTAAATAAACAAGTTAACTAAGTAAATAAGATAACAATCTAAATTACTTTATAACACAAAATCATCATGTGCAACTCTTCCCCTTTCGTGGCAATTTGTTCCTTAGATTCGTTCACCTGGAGAAAAAAAAATATATATCAAATAAGTCACATTGAAAAATTAATTAGCCAAATTATCTCATTGGATTACTTGCTGCTCCAAAGACTGAAGTTCCGTGTTTAAACTTTCACTCTCCGGATCCTCTTGCAACTCCTTCGTCACGAGATAAGTTTCCTTCTCCAACCTTCTCAGTTGGTTCACCAATGCGCTGTGATATTCGGAAATTACGAATTACTATGATTGTTAGTATCATTATTATGCTCAAATCACAAATATGTAAATTACCGCAAATGATTCTGCAACTGTTGAATCGGGCGCCGTTGAGCTTCCGTGCTTTGAAGTTGTAACTTAAACCGTAATCTTTGAAGCTTTTCGAAATTTTCCTTCCGCTTCGGATCGACGTAAAGGACCAAATTGTTAACAATGTCCATTATCATGGCATACTGAAGAGAGTTGGTGAACACATTGAGCTCATAATGCATGAGGGTGAATGCTTCGACGGGCTTGTTAATTTCATCCCATAATTCTAAATCCTTCGGTGCTGGAGGGATGTCTGGAATTCCGGAGGGTATCTTATCCACCCCCGTCTCGCCATATGTCGTGTAAAAGAATTCGCACTTGCAACGCGAAACGATCCGTTGGAGTTGAACCGGAACTTCGAGCTCGTCCGAGGAAGCGCCAACCGTCTCGCTCACAACGCCACCCACACTTTGTCCACTCCCCACCATGTCGGGAATGTTGGATATCGCGGCGGCAGAGTCGCGCTCCTCAATATTTTCGACCGACAACCATTGAATATTTTCATCGACAGAATCCGTACTTCCAGCACAGACGGTAGCGTAATATTGCATTCCTTCCAATGCACCGACCCAAGTTGTTTTGGAAACGATTGTCCCATGTTTCCAGACAGGTTTATGTTCCCGTTGGAGGATGTGAGCATTCGCTGCGCTGAGAATGACGTACCCGCTTGTCTCACAACCTTTCAGGAGAACTTGGCAGTTGACGAGTTCGATGAGCCATTTATGCAGAATGACATCGTCCAGTGAGCTTTGCGCTACTCCGTGCAAACTCTGTTGCGGTGGTGGAGCAGTTAAGTCTTCGGAAAACACAACCCCTCGACTTTCCGCTTCCGAGATTAATTTTTGTAAAAGTGCGGCTCCAGCATTTTGGCCTTGAATCAGTGGCGAGGCACCGAGCGAGGGACGTTGGTTTGGAACTGCGCCTGTCGGCGAGGTGACGTCTCCGACACGAACTTTCTTGGCGTCGTTGGATTTCGACTTTATCGGACTTCCCGTCGGAGCGTCGTGCTTGCTAAAGAAACTTTTCAAGGCATCGGTAGACAAGTTCTTTTTCAGTTGCTGGACTTTGACGAAGGATTCCATCAGGGCGAATGCCACGTCCCTGTTGCTACTCGTCCAGGCTCCTTTCAATTCGTGCACGACGAGGCGATGTTGCGGCGTCTCACTTTTGCTCGTTTCCGTCCCGTCGTTCGTCGAAGGTGCCAAGAGAGCCTCTCTCCCGTAGGATAACTTGTCGATGCTCATGAAGAAAAATTTCTCGATCGGTTTCCTAAAGTTCGCCTCGTTCATCGTCTCCTGTTGGATGGAGGACTGCAACCAGATTTCAGTCTCGTTCAGCTCACTGTTGACGTAGAGAACGCTCCACTCCGCCTTTGGCCGGTGGATCAAGCCGTCATTTATGGGCTGGAGGTGTAACAAGTGTTCAGAACTGCTCGACAACTTTCCGCTGAACAGTTCCACTCCACTCTGCATGGAGAAGGAGACCCAGTAGCAGACGTGGAAACGATGGAGGGAGACGGAGAGGCGGACTTTGCGGTAGTGACGACTAATCGGGATTTTCTTGGGACGAATGTTGGCAAACACGGCGCCACGCTTGGTCGGACGAGTAGTGCCGGACAAGATGAACTTTAAGTTTTCAAACCACCTGAGCGTAGAGCCGTAAAGGACAGCAGTGGGACAACTTTGGTTCGCCGTTTTTCCAGCGCGCGCCTCCAAGCTGATGCTCATGTTCAGATTTTCAGACCGGAAAGCACGAAATGAGTCGTGTTCTTGATTGCTCGAATATTCCGGCAATTTGTCTGGAGCACAAGGTGTCACGGCGTGATGATCACTCGCATCCCCGAGACACACCCAGTTCAACTTGAAAGTTAGGCGGACGCTGGGAAGATGCAGCATTCGACAATCGTCGTACTTTGAGGCTGTTTTGACGTAAATGTTGAGATCGCCTTCAAAGATAATTTTTCCATTCGTCCAAGCCACAGCGGCATCCGTCCAAGTCACCTCCATTTCTTCCGTAGTATTGTACGGGTTGAGGGACGCGTGTAGCAAATGTGTCAACGTTTTCACAGCGGTGTACAACCTGCCGTGGAAATTGAGGCGGATCTTGTCCCAAAACGGGAGCGGTTTGCTGGGATCGCGGGACGGGGGGAAGATGTTTTCAAACGCGAGGTTGCACTGGGCGAGAACGGGTTCCCAGCAGGGGCCGAAGGCTACACTCCAACACTCAATGTCGCAATTGAGATCATAATACCACTTCATCCCGTTAAGATTCCGTTCCAAGTAGTCGGACCCGAACGGACCGCCGATCTCTATTTCGCACGTCCGTTTGCTTCTCTTCGTCGCTTGAACTTCCGCAGCAGCAATTTTCCCCCAGAAATGGATGTGTCTCGAGTCCATCAGTGGTTGAGGAAAGTCGCGGAGTTGGACGCGCCATTTTGATACGTCAAATCGGACCGAACGGCACCACAGAGTGCTAAATTCGAGCCCCTCCGAAGGCCAGGGGCTGTCGGAGTCAAGCTCTTGTAAAACTGCGGTGATGTTCTCTTTTCCAGTCGTGGAGGTATCGGCCATCGCGATTACTTGGACGTCGCCCAGCTCCCAGAGGAGAAGATGTGTACGCATCGGGTGATTTTCGTACAACTTCTTTGACCGCTGAATATAGATTAATGAATTCTTCTCCTTCAACTGATTCCTAAGTTCGTCTATTTTCGACGACGACATCAGCAAGTTCGTCTTGTACAGCTGGTTAATCTTACTGTCGAGGACTTGGAATCGTTTCAAGCTTTCGAAATATTCGTCCTCCAAGAGCTCGTAGTTGTCGCGAAGTTTCACTTCAAATGGATCGTCGCCCACTTCGATGCGGACGGCTTGGATCTGAACAAGAAATTAAATTCGGATGAAATTAATAATTAAATTCGTTGAAAGCTTATGCACAAGAAAAACGCACCTTCATGACAAAATCGGACCACACGATGGAATTGGCCTCGTTCGAGGTTGGTTTCAAGTGCAACCTTTTAATCCATTTGAAACACGAGACAAATTCTTCGTTGAATGCGGCAGCAAAGTTGTAGCCATACGGGAAGGTGAAACTCAATTTCAAAATGTCAACGTACCTAGAAAAAATAAACTTCGAATTAGTTACATTACACACGGCAATGTTTGACCTTTCAAGCTACTTAAATTTTGAGATTTAAGGCCGCAAACTTTATGTCTTTATAAAATTAATGTTTTCAAAATAGTTTTAAAATAATGTTACCATGCAATATTTCTCTTTTGTTCTAACTCTGCCGACTTTCGATATCCTTTGGTTAACTCTTGATACGAAGTTCCCTTGCAGAGGATAAACTCATCCCAGCGCATAATAGAAACCCCATCGAATTTGACCCGAAGCCGTTTCAGCCTAGAGTCAAACATGTCCGGGCCGCGTTCAACGTTAAAATTATCTGATCAGTAATCAAATATGCATTAAATTTAATTAAAACACAGTATAATTTTGATGGGAAGTACTCACCCGCAATTATTTCCACGGCATGAACCTTTGCTAACTTTCCGATAATTGTAAAAGTTTTCATGAACTTGAGGCAAATAATTTTTGCTTTGGGAGGATTCGCTTCCGTTTCTTGGGAATCTAAATTTAAAGATAATCAGTTAGTTAATACTGTTACAGTTATGTAACTCTTCACATTTTCTTGTACCTCTCTCGAAGAATAAAACGCCACGTATGTGTTGCATTTTCCTATAGAATTGAGTCATTTGCATATGCAGGAGTGGACTCCAGTATAAAATTGTATCCGACGCGAACGAAAATTCGAATCGTTCACTGGTTAGGGTTGTCGTAGTGTCAGATTTAGAAGAGAAATCGCATTGTGGAATCATCACGAGTGGATTTAACGTCTGACGGTTTAGGAAAATTTATCAGTTTGTGCATAAATATTGAGCAAAATATGCAACATTTCTGGCTTACACAATCACTAAAATTTGAGGAGGAAAAGACTTCAAATCCTTCGAGATTGAAGGTTGTATCAATTTTATTGTTGCTCGCGTACAATGCGTCCAAGTCCATGTTAAAGCAGACTAGACAGAAATAAGATACAAGTTAGATAACCACTTATCTAAGTGGAGAAGAAATTAGTGTTAGTATTTATTTACGATCATTCTCCGCTACGTAGACCACTTTGGAGTCCAAAACTTCCAAATTTACTCCCTTTATGCAGCTGAAGATAGATCTTCTTTTTCCTGGTTTTCTGCAATGAATACAAAATAAAGTAATTTTGACATGAAAATTACTTGAGGGTGTTCATGCCATTTTTTGAAGCCTTAAATTTTTTTGAGATTGGTGATTAATTGACCAGAATTTAGTGATCTTGATTGGCACGGTTTTTGAGCTCATAGATTTTTAAAACCTTTTGATTGACAACTTTACAAGGGTAATTACGAGGCTTCTTGAGTAGAATTTGCATGAATTTCCTTAATCGAAAAATTAAGAAATTTGACAATACTTGGAATGTTTCCTCGTCGGGATCATTGAACAGAGAAAGTTTAGCACTTCATTCTCGACGGGAGGAATCCATTGGATCCGACTGCCCGAAAGTCTTGCGCCGAGATATTCCTGATGTAGATGGATGCCCAGCAAGTCGAATGAGATGGGACGATGCACTTCCTCCCCACAAGTCAGAGAAGAATTCAACTTCTTCATGATGACTTCTAATCGACACGTATCCTCGTCCAAGAAACGGCCAATGTCTTTGCACTCCGCTTCGATGTAGGCGTTAGAGAGCGTGCCCCACTTCTCCTCCCACTGCATGTCAAGGTCCGTGTTTTCAAACTCGACACGGATAGATTTTAAGACTTCCTTGATTCGAAAAGGGCTGCGAGGAAATTGCGTTTTCTGTAAGTAAAAAATCGATTTCGAGCTAAGAAAAAATTGGTGTAGTCACATCAAGAAAACGGAATTAAAATTTAAAAATATTACCATCACAGATTTTGATTTAAACTTAGTCTTTGCAAACTGTAAACATTTCTCGAACGAGCGACAGCTTAAATTTGTAACGTCCAAGTCGACATTTAGAGAGTCCAGTGAAAACTAAGAGTAAAACAAATTATTTTAATTTTGAATCTTCTTTTTTCATAAAATACTGTAATGTTACATTTATATAATTTGAGAACTGGTCCACACAAAAACTCTGATAAGGATCTGGTTCAATTCGGATGAGCCCGAGATCAAACTGTGACTCGAAAACGACACTGTCCACGCCGTCAATCGCACACACGACGCATCTCGACGTGAAAGATAAACCGGACACGCGAGATTCGAAGTTGGTGTCCGTGTTGACATCAGAAATTCGGCACTCGGTTTCATAAATACGAAACTTGATTTCCTTCAAGAAATAAATTCAAATTTTGAATAGAACAATTTTATGACAAAGATATATTCAAATAGGAACCCACTTTTGGCACACATTGCGTAAAAACCATTTCTTCGATCCATTCAATAAAATTCTTATCGTTTCGAGCCACAGGTTGAGTGGTGTGTGTTTGTTTAAATGACTTGAATAAACTGATCGACTTTTCCTTTAGCTCCCACGCGATGGAAAGCTTTTCCACATCGATGGTGAAATTCTAAGGATAACAAAATTAGTGAAATTGAGAAAAAAATTATCATCATCTTGCAACTCACGTCGATAAACTCGTCCGAATTTCTCGGTCCAAATAGTAAACTAAGCCTGAAATCGAAACAGGATTCCAACAGGGTGACACCAGATTTTCCGTTGAAATATGTACTCTCTGACGGGTCGTTTAAATCTTCTGTGGTTGGCAACCAATTTTCGCTTATTCGAGCCTCCACCGTGCCCAAGTTTAGGACCACGCAAGCACAAATGTTCGCTCCTCCGACGGTCGTGCAGCCATCGATGGACACATTTTGTGCGCGAATATTGGCGTGGATGCCCTTCTTGAGGTCGACGGCTTCCCATCCCCAGACGTGTAATTCGTTAATGTGGATTCCCAAAAACTAATGTAACATACAAAAGTTGACGAATTAATGTTTTTTAAATTGAAATTTAAATCAGGGTTCAATCATAATTCGTCACCTGAACCAAATTTGACACGATGGAAGGAGCTTTCAGTTTTTGTCTGGCACTAGAACTAGACCGATTTGCAGTATTTCCACCCCCACTGTTCGGTAACCGTGTAATTTTGAGAGTCGTGATAATAACAGAGAGTAACTTGGGGGCATCACTGTTGACCAGACTGCTCGTAAATCCGACACGGCCAATAATCTGTGAATTCAACAAATTCCAACTTAACGACTAGTTGGACAATTACGTATTTATCATATCAAGATTTACCACAGAAAAGTCATTTTTGCGCAGTCTGACGTTATGCAGGGCGAAATAGGGAAGACCGATTCGTCCAATTGTCACCGTACAGCTATACTTGTACTGAACCATCCAGGCCAGGGCGGAGGGCAATAAGCTAAACAATTTGACACAATTATTACTGTCCAAATTACTTCAAAATCCTGAAATTTTCCACATACCGGCTAAACAAGAAGTAGCAAAGGATCAAGTAACCGATCACTATTTCGAGACCGCTTATCACATAGGACTCCATCCCAGATCAGATGACGATGACGACGAAGACGATGACGAATTGACCACAGAAACCGTGATAACAAATGTCACCTCATTCTACGATGCAACGAATGTGAAAAACTTAACTAAACGAAATAGTAGTGAATTTCGTGATATATACGTTTCCTAATTTTAAGAACTAAATAACGATAATATTTTCTTAATTAAAACGAGAAATCGTGATTTGTAATGTTTTGGAATGTGATATGTGTATTATTAGTCAATCCCATACCCGCTTTCGCTCTGACAACTTCCTGGGGCAGAAAGTTCCTTTTCCTAATTCGGGCAAAAATCCGAAAATCGGTCCGACAAAATTTTAAGTATTGTAGAAAAGTTTGTAATGTAGAGAAAATTTCATAAAAATCTGAAAATCAGGATAGAAACCGCACCCATTTTACGCCCACGATGCATATTATTTTTTTTTAATTTTGTCTCAATTTGGGCCCCCATCTCCTAAAACTTTTATAGTTTATCGTGAAGATAACTACGAATTGGTGCAGATATCTGTAAATGAAGCATCAACATAAAGATAAGTATTTGGATAAGTATTTAAAGTTAATGTTCATTAATAAAGTATAGTCAATTCTACGATATGGTTTTGCATGAATGAACAAATTCATAACGATGAAACACGGAAGAAAACCCTGATGATAATTTAACGATCATTTTTCTCATTGACATTTGTAAAGGAAGAATCGCAATTAGCTAAACAAAGTCAAAAATAGAATATTTTCAATATTCATCATGATATTAATGACTTGAAAAGTATAGGAAATTTACTAATATGCCAAACAAACTGGTTTGATGTACATATCTGGATTGTAAATTTTGTAAAAAATAATTTAACAAACTTATGTACAAGCTTGTTGGTAGCCTGCATTCTTATACATCCATGGCATTCGCTTAAATTTCTGCAGAATTCTACTGTAAATTTTCGAACGTTACGCAGTTTACAGAGTTGTAAAGCTTGGTTCGATTTACCCAGGTAAAAAAGTCATCAACCTTTATTTTAAAGCATGTTCTTATCATACTTGCTATACTTATGTAGTGATTACGAACTGGATGTGTTATCAACTTGACTAGTTAGTCTGCACATACGTGGAAATCTCATTTGTCTAATGTCATAAAGGACTGTGCAAAAAGCATGTGATCGACTGGAGGGGGGTCAAGACATCTAATTATAACGTGGGACGTGGGGCATATATAGGTCACACAAGGGGTCAAAATCCTCCGAAAATTGAGCACATGCTTTTGTACGGCCTTTAAGCAACCTTTAAGGTCTAGATATTTACAATAATTCCTGTTAATGAACTGTTTACATAGGGAGTTGCCTAAAGATAAGTTTGTCTCACATGGTACATACATTTCATAGGCAAACTAACATTAAAAAATATGCTTACACACTTATCAACGATTTGTATGCAGGCATCATGACAAGTTAAAATTCATACTTTACAAACTACTCGTGGTCTCAGTCAGTCAGACTAATTATCGCATGTCACCCACAAAGCAGATATCGCTTCAGACACCCCAGAAATAAAAATATAAACATTATCCATTCATTATTTTGAAATAGTTCCAAAGGACAATTTAATGCACATTTTACAGATAATCAACAAAATGTCCTCGAGTACAGGATCCAACGACCTTTTGACCTTTCATTAGTCATACAAACAAATTTACAATGCCATCTCAACCTGACCAAAGTGATCACACCCCTTCTGCATAACCCCGATGCCTTAACTGTTTCAAGTGTGGATTCCATACTTAAAAAAACTATGCTTAAAATGTCAGTGGTTAGTTATTATTATTACTCTCGTTAGTTTTGGTCTTGTCTCAATTTGATGCACACCAAGAGGAAAAAATACAGTCTCACACGTTCACCATTTTATATTTTAGTTTCATTCATCATCCTCACAAAACCCAACCTGACTCCGTATTTCTCTACTATTTCTTGTAAATATACTCACAGAAAGTATCATCGTAATGCATTTCATATCAATTTTTTCAAACCTGCAACAACACCATAACGCAACGCCACCGTTACTGACTGTTTACTTATTGGGCACTTGCTTTACTTATTTGCTCCACAACAATGCATTATGTACGTATACGTATTAAATGTATTTACTCCCCGTATTAAATATTCTTGCGAGAAGAAATGCAATGCGGCAAATCTCTCAAGAATTGCGAGATGAAAGCCCTACGGCAAAAGGAGGTATGTACACACCATACAAATCCCAAGACGTTGAACAGATACTCCTCGTCCACGCATCGGATACCTTTTTCAATGCTAATGAACCTGTCCCACCTTTCTTACGTGGGGGCCCGGCTTAAAGCACGGCATGGATTTGGGGTCAATTCATGTCAAGGTAACATAGCCCTTGACACGACGTGACGCATGATGACTTGACGCTGGAAAAGCAGTGACACCGAGGTCACATCCTTCCCGCACAGCCCCCCAGTTAGACAGGTAGATGCACACCTCAAGATTTTGTTATGTAGTGATAAGTTTCATCCCACAGTTAAAATTCTTCTCCTTATTCTCATATGTATCCAATTCTAGTTTCCGTCAGTAGTGTGAGAAGTAAATACCGTCAAGTCTACTTTGTTACGCCAACTATTTATTTTGACGAGGTATAAATTGTTGCTATTTTCCTACCTGGTGTCGTTCATCTAATCGATAGCTTGCTTCTTAACGAGCTGATAAGTGCGGAAAAGTGACAGTTGCTTTGATAAGTGTGGTGGTTTTATGCGATTCGAAGAGTGAGGGTGCCCCTTTTGGGGGTGGAAAACTTGGTAAAATCGAAATTAATATTGAACTCATGTAGATTCAGATTGGAATCTAATTTTCGCATCGTATGTCATCATACACCGTGATTAGTGGTGTGTGTACATATGTACTCGTTGTGGTTTTACATAGTTTACCGTAAATCTATGCAAATGTGTGTGTGTGTGGTTAATGATTCCGTTTCTTGTTGTGCCATTGGCGAGTGAAAAATCTTAAAGGATGACATTGCTAACAATCCTAAGTATTTGAAAATTGAGTCAATCATTTTTAAGCATATATCAACTTATTTGATACAAAATAGTTAACAAATCGTCGTCCAAACAGAACATAGAAATAAATCATTACATTTTTATTGGAGGATAGCCAACCTCCAAAACATAATTACTTAACTTTCCTACCTACTAAAAAAAGTTAGTAAATAAATACAAAAGTGCAAGAATTTTTTAATTGCAAGTAATTGAATGGGACATTGTACTGAGGAAAATGTTTTGTTGATAAATTCATACACATGATTTGGCAATGGAGAAATCTATGCAATTCGTCCAGTATTAAATAATAACGTACCATAATTATTGATGACAATTAGTCGTCATCGTCGTCTCATTAATTCGTAGTGCAATTAGTGTCGAGATAAAGTTTTCAGAATGGACAAGGTCGGACAGAAGTTGGTGAGAAACCTCAAATCTCGCAAGTACGAGGTCATGGACGGAATCAACTCGGTCGATCGGGTGGAGACTTTGCAGATCGGTCGTTTCAGTCCGGACGCGTACAGTCAGCACAATACGAGCCATCCCCACGGCGACGACCCCAACCACAATGGTGGCGACGGAAGTCAGAAATCCTACCGTGAACTGGGAAACGACATTGAAATGACGGCATCCGTCTCTGGCGTGGTTCCGGATGGTGAGAAATTTTTATTTATTTATAATGAATTTGCTAATTGTTATAATTTTTGCAGATACATTTACGGTCGCCCAGGCTATAAATGCTCTCGGGTTTGGCAAGTTTCAAGTCATGTTGTCCCTTTTTACGGGACTTTGTTGGATGGCGGATAGCATGGAGATGATGATTCTGAGCATCCTGTCCCCCGCGTTGCACTGCGAGTGGGGAATCAACGAGTACAAGCAGGCATTTCTGACCACGGTAGAAATTTTATGGCAAATTTTACAATATGAATTGAGACCAGGTGGTGACTGACAACTTTTTTGGGGTATGCATTTTGTATCAGGCCGTCTTTTTCGGGATGATGGTCAGCTCGCCGTTTTGGGGTGACCTGAGCGACAAGTATGGGCGTCGTTTAGCCCTCTGGGTTTCCGTGGGGCTGCTCTTCTTCTACGGGACGGTCAGCTCGTTCTCACCAGGATATTTGTGGCTCGTTTTTCTCCGCTGTTTTGTCGGATTTGCGATCGGATGTGTTCCTCAGTCGTAAGGGTTGATATAATTTTGTCTCAAATTTTCTATGTACTTACGAATTGGTCATGTTATTTGGCAGGGTGACTCTGTACGCCGAGTTCTTACCAACCAAACAGAGGGCGAGGTGTGTCATTTTGTTAGACGTAAGTTGAAAGAATCGAAGAATTTTAGATTCTTTAATTTTGAGATTTTCAGAATCACAAAATTTCGAGGTAATTCAGGCCTTGGTAACCTTGTAAAATCCGTAAATTCTGTAAATTTATAAAAGTTTACAAAACTTTCCATATGTCTGTGAGAATAGTTAGCTTACAAATTTTTGTAAACTTGCTCAGATCAAGGGCGTCTTTTTATCTTGTAAAAGCTTGTAGTGTATTTTACAAAACTTACCGATTTTACGAGTTACTAAATAACTGCGTAAATTGCCTCATTATGTTTAATTTATTTTCCAAAATACGTGTCCTGTTATAACAATTTATTGCAAATGTGACCTTTTCCCCAGTGTTTCTGGGCGCTGGGGGCCTGCCTGGAAGTTTTGCTCGCTCTAGTCGTGATGCCCACGTTGGGTTGGAGGTGGCTTCTGGGACTCTCGGCGCTGCCAATTTTCATATTTTTCATCATGTGCTATGTAAGTGAGGCAGCAAATAAACATGTATTTCATACCGGGATGAATTTCACCCTCAATTTTTCAGTGGCTTCCCGAGAGCGTCCGCTTTCTGGCCGCGAGCGGTGAGACGGAGAAGGCCTTGTCCACGCTCAAGAGGATCGCGAAGGACAACGGGCGACCAATGTTGCTCGGCCGACTGGTCGTTGACGACATGCAGCAAACGGAACGTGGCAGGATGAAGGATCTCCTCATGCCAGAAATGAGAAAAACGACACTGCTCCTTTGGTTCATTTGGTGAGTTTGCAAAAAAAAATTGCAAATTCCTCGTGATTTGAATTGCCAATTCATTTTTCTGGTAGGATGACATGTGCCTTCTGCTACTATGGGGTCGTCCTCCTCTCGACTGAGATTTTGGGAGACACTCCACGCCACAGAAGCCTGACATCGTCCCCCACCATCACCATGTTCGGCAATTCGTCGTCTTCCTCCACCACGTTGTCGCCCCTAGCTTTGTCACTCGTGCAGGGGAATGGCACCTCCATTATGAGCGAGTGCAAGAATCCGGACCACAAAATGCTTACCCAGAGCGACTACATTGACCTACTGTGGACAACATTGGCAGAATTTCCAGGTTTGGTCACCATAGACGAGTTGTCTGTAAAATAAATAAGTTTTGTTAACATATTTAATTTTTGTAGGGATTCTCATCACTATTTTCGTCCTGGACAAAATTGGGCGCAAGAATACCATGGCGGCACAATTTGTCCTCTTTGCATTGACAATTTTCATGTTCTGCTTTCCCATCGAGGAGTAAGTTTCTGCTTACAAATTTCCACAATGTGTAAATTTTGCAAAGTTTCTAAAAAGTATAGTAAATAATGCGGATTCAGCTATAGTTTTAACCAATTTCTGCTGCTCAATCCTCAATTTTTTTGTCCAGTTTTTTTAGCCCCCACCTCGCAAAATTTTCACGAATTGTAAACAATGACCGCTTAACTAACAATTTACAAATTTCGTTTACAGCCGTGTCGTTAAAACGATCATATTATTCGCTGCGAGAGGCATTGTGTCTGGAGTGTTCCAAGCGGCCTACGTGTACACGCCAGAGGTGAGTAATTGCTCTTCATCGTTTAAATATCACAGCTTATCTTGACCTTATCATACAACAGGTTTATCCCACTTCGATGCGATCCATTGGAATAGGGACGTGTTCCAGTATGGCCAGGATTGGTGCGATGGTTACCCCATACGTTGCACAGGTAACATATTTCGTCTCAATTTCCCCAATTGTGTAACTAAACAGCAATTTTCTTCTCATCACCTTCAGGTCATTTACAAGCAGTCCGTCGCCCTTGCTGCTGGCGTGTACGGCGTCATCGCCTTGATGGCGGCCGTCGTCGCGATCATGTTGCCAATTGAGACGAAAGGCAAAGAAATGCCGGATAGGGTTCCAAAGTCATGAAGATTACACGCAAATTCATACTTTTTAAAGTGGACACGATTTTCACCTGCTTTTTTGCACTGGTGCAATTACAAATTCATTTAGTTCTTATCACAACGCTAATTATTAGAGTTGATGGAGAAGGAAGACCACAAACAAATATTAATAATGCAAATTTCGGGAATCACACACGTCATATTTATTTTACTTGTAACTAATCCTGTACCTACGCATACATGATAACTTGTTGTTGTTGGATTAGTGACCATGCAGAATTCAGTAAATTGACCAACCATTTTAGAACTACTTGTACTTGTGTAAAGTATACATTACATGTACAACATTTTATACCCCTTACATAAAAATAAATGCATACCAAAGAAGCCAATAATGAAAAGTAATACGTATTGTGCAATAAAAAAATAGACTAGTTTTTAAAATTGGAGTCGTATTTTTGACATATTGGTCTTTATTCTGATTGAAGTGTGTCATCTGGCTGAATGATTCCCCTCCGGAACGATTTCCTCCCATATTTGTATAGGACTCACTGTAGCAGATAAATAAAGAAATCCTTAATCCGGGACTGGTTTAGCAACACAACGCGTATTTGTGGTTGTGGGGTTAATGGCTTGTGGTAAATATGTATGTATATCATCGTAAGGACGGATTTTTTGAAATAAATAACCACATTTTTCGAAAAAGGGAGTTTGTTCATAACCTCATGTTCGCTTAACAATTTCCTTTGCGTGGGGATAAGAATGTATTATTTTTTATTGAACTACTGATTTTCCAGACGAGGTGGAACGTTCTCAAGTTAGCATTTTAAGCAGATAATCGGAATAGTCCGAAATCCTGGGTGCATATTGTAACGAGACTAATTAATTTGTCCACCTTGTACTTTATTATTCGGATTCACTTACTTAACTATTCTACGAGACCAGCAGATATTGGGCGACTCTAAATAAAATGAGGATCGATTGGATTGTTTGACATCGTAAAACAAGTTTATTATCCATCCAGCCACTTTGTAATGATGACTAAGCTGCTCTAATTTCACTTCAAGTTCCAAGAATGAAAATGAGACTGGAAATTTGAGCCGGTTGTTTTGCTGCGTTTACTTATCTGGACTGGACTGGATGTGGTGTGATTTCATCTCGTCACCACACTGAAGAATGGACACAATGGAAATAAATCCTACATCTTGTTGTGAATTGTACAGATTTTAGAACATTGTGGGACTGTGGAAATTTGGGGAGTGGAATATTTAATCATTAATATAAACTCCCTCCTATCGGAGCAATAAACTCATCCGAATGGAAAATTTTTATTGCCATCGCCATTTTCTGTAAGTATCGATGCATCTGAATTAAGCGATTTTAGTTAATTGCCAATTACATGTATCCCGGGGAATGGATGGATATCATTTAATTACTTTGTTTGACTTTTGTTTGACCATCGATCTCACACTTTTCATTGAAGTAAAAGTTCAAATCGTAACCTAGAAATATATTTGGTTTTCTGGATAGCACATTTTAGCTTAAAAGTTGAATCATATATTAGGATCAGTAAAATAAAAGTTTTGCATCATCGCAATGCGTAAATCGGTAAGCACCATGAAGAACTTAACGAATTAAATAAATGTCAAAATTTAGTTCTCTATACCGCTTAAAAATACTTTGTGTTTCTATTATTTCTTAAGCTGAAATTCTCAAAACTACTAAAATCTAATGTACATCTGTTGCAACAAGTGTTCGGCTTGTTAACAACTTGTCATGAAAATTTGTTAACAAGAGGAACGCTTGTTTGAAACAAAATTTACGCATATCTGGAGAACCATGTTATTCATAAAGTTCAGAAAAATTGACCTTTTTTCAATAAATTATATGACCCATGGTTTAAAAATGAGTCTTATGCATCCAACCGTTCACGCCTCTTTAGTCACGCCGTTAATTATGTGTGAACAAGTTCATATATAATTTAACGTGACGCATAACTAACACCATTCCGTGAAGAAATACCATCCAGATTTTAGCAAGTTGAACCCCAAAGAATAATTTTATGACGAGAAAAGAGCTCCCATTTCCTAATCTCACTTTTCCTGCATTTAAAATACTAAATCTGAAACCGAAATCTGACAACGGAGAGAGAAACTCTGTGCAACAAATTATTTTTTTCTGTTTAGGCTGGACAAAATGTAGATAAAGAAACTTTGGATTGGGAACAAATTTTTAATTGTCGAGTTTACGCTAGATTTGGAAGAGGATAATTCTGACCCCTCATCGCGGTCTGCGAAGGGATTCCTTTTCGAATGCACAGCCGGGTAGTAACTGTCGGCTGCTTGGTTTTATGGGGACGTAAATGAAATATTGTTAATTGTTCGTCCAGCCCGGTTGGTTTATTTTATTGCACTTTACTTACTTGAGCCGTCGTGTGAATGAGAGGAAAAAGGTCTCCCATGCAGAGAAGCGATTTTGTGACACTGTTGCATTGGGTTGGGCTGGTTCGTTACGGGTGCAGTGCATATTAGTTGATTGAGATGGCTTAAATATGTAGAAAGAAATGTATAAAGGGATACTGAGGTCAGTTTCAACCTCAGTTTTGGTTGACACCTCGACTTTGTTACAAAGTTGGGGTAGAAATATAAGTACATTTTTGGTGTGGGGAGATTGAGATTTGTTGAATTTTGAGAGTAAAATCCCAACGTATCTCAATCTCCCCAACGGTCTAAAATTGAGACAATCTCGTAGCTGTTACGCATCCAAAAATCTGCTGCTCTGATTTTATACAACTGGGTTTATCAAAGAGTTTATTACAAAAAAATTGTTTAGCAGCGATGATTTACCATTGCTTATTTTTAACTCGAAAAATTTAAAACCGGTCTTACGAAAACTTGGCCAAATGGGAAAAATCGAGGACAAATTTTTTAAAAGTCTTCCAATTTTGGATGCCCTTAAGAGTGTTTTTTCAGTTTAAAATAAATGTGTACGAGTTCATCAAAAGCATAAATCCGTCAATCCGGACCAAGGACGAGCAAATCAACCCGACCCGTGCAGATCAACAATGTTGAGATAAGTTTCCAGAAATTTGAAATATCTATACATAGTAAAGTTTTATCTTTATTTGTGCATCCATCCATTCAATTCGCTCTGCTTCTCACTCACAACGTCCCTTTTTTATGGCATGACCAAACAATCCGCTTTTGAAAGGGATCAATAAGGCTGCCCACTTTATTTTCCTCTTGCGCGTGACAAATATTTATTTAGCTTGTTCTACAAAAATGCGTAATTTTTCAGCGTGTATAATTGAGGAGACCTTTAACATTCCAGGAACTGCGAAAGTGTAAACAATTCTTCACTGGATACTTAATCTTTATGTCGTTTTTGATAGATATGAGAGCACTTAGTCAGCTTGATAACAACTTATACAGATTGAGCGCTTATCGTTTCTTAAAATTGGAAAAATATCAAAATTGTATTCTCGCCTTAGTCACTTCTAGTGACTATTTAGTTTCATTTGATAAGCTGGAAGAGAATGAGGAAGAAGAAAAAGGGGCGAGGTGAGACTAAGGGAGAAAGTTTTTCTTAAAAAAACTTACATCATTCCAATTTCAATTTTTAACAATGTGAATAAAATTAAAGTGTCCAAAGTCCAGTTTTGTCGGCAGGGAAAACCTCAGTTTTTTTACACCTCAGTTAATGGACTAAGGCCGTCTCAATTTCCCAGTTTCCTATGGATTGCTTCGCCGTAGTGTAGTGAATCCCAGTCTCATCTTACCTCCCACTTCTACCAATGGTAGTCTAAATACCATGAGGTACATTACATCGATAGCTTGCAATATAATCACTACTTCCTCCAATCTTGCTGTACAGTGAAAATCAAATTGCATAAAATGGCTTCCTCCAGTGATTTGTCCACTAAATATTTGCGTTCACGCAGTGGCAAGACAACTAAATTAACCGACATCATCATCAATTTTTAGTTAGTGGTAGATTTAGTTGCACAAGATTGCTAATCCTGCCCGCCCCTGTCCCTATTTGCATATCTCTACTAAATTCTCCACATAAATTCGCGTCCGGCAACAAAAGTAGCTCATATCAATCACGACGGCGACATTGGGATTACCATATCTCCACCACCACCACGACATACTCGCTGCCGAGAAAGTTCCAAGTTTTCTGCGTGGGTTATTAAGTAGCTACCTAAAGAATTAATTATTCGAAAAGAAAATAAAACGCTCGACTTCGGATTGTCAAGTAAGTCTGCATACCTACATTTTGTACTCCTAAGAAGTCGGATTCGTTTCTGAGACCACGGTAGAATTTTTGAGAAATGGGGAAAAAATAACATGGCGAATCTTAAGAATTGAATTGGAAATTTGATTAAGCTGTTCTAATTTCGTTAATCAAATACTTGATTAGTTTGGTCAATTAAGCTAATTTAATTAATACAATTTGTTCGACATGGAATTTCCCTGGGGAGAAAAGTATATTTGAAAGTACCCTTAATTTTTTCGTTCAACATGGTGAAAATTAGTTCATAAGCATAAATTAACTTGTTCTTGTTATTAATTGTCACCTGCAGAGAGGCAAAAAAGGGAGTTTCACATTCTCATTTTGAAGCGGATTCTATCTAAAGAGAATTTGACAGATTAGAAATGAGGTATTGATATCAAATACTAAATAAAACTTAATATAATTAACGATTAATTATTAGCTTGGCTTGAGTTTGTGGTTAGTGGTTATTTCGGTGGTGGTAATTTCCTATTATTTTGAGGACGTTGATCTTTTGGCTTTGCTTATGTATTTTCTGCTTTTTGGACCTTTTTTGACTTGTCTACATGCATTTTGCTTTCTTTGATTGAATGGTTATCAAAATCGAGTTGAGAGTGAGTGAGGGTGAAAATTGTGGCCAGCTAAATTCGTTACATTTGTAGATCGTCATCTCCAAAATTGAGGCCTCGCCGTCGCAGATATTTTTTTTTCGTCGTTTTTTAGGAAAGTGAAAGTTAAGCTGGTCTTATCAATGATGAGTCGTCATCACTTTCACTCTCGCTTTTCATCGATATTCTTAAATTTAACCACCACCAACCTTATACTTGATTCATCTCAGACGCTGAAAAATTAAACGTTTATTATTGTTCAGGACAAAACGAGGAGCTCTGGCGACTACGACCAAGGCAACCCGTACCAGTCGTACCAGCATGGCTGCTAGAAAAACACCCCCAGAAGACGAGGGAGGAGATGGAGCTCCTCAGAAGAAAATGCGTAATTTATCTCCACCCGAAAATCCGATCGTGGACACCCCGATTCCCCAAAGTGGCGACATGTCAAAGCAGCTTGAGCAAATAATGACCAAATTTATGACGGGTATGGTGATTTACATATTTATTTGCATAACATTTGCATTATTTTGCATATGATATTTTCTTGTAGATGAAGACTTGAAGACAAAGCTGCGCCGGACCTTTCAAACTCTGAGTGCAGAACGACAACCATGCGTGGAGGAGGGTGGTGCAACCCCAAATTCGACCGTGGAAGAAATGATCGTCCTCGTCGACCCGTCCACCGTTTCATCCACAGCGACGCCCACCCACGACGACGAGGATGACGACGTGCCTCTCATTTCCGACAACGAAGTCTATCTTGTTTCAGAGGACGTTGATAATGAAGTTGTCGTTCCCTCTGGAAGTAATACCCCGCCGCCGCCCTCCGGGGAGTCTGTCGTCGCCCCCTCTCCAGACCCCATTCCTGCCTCGCCAATGGAAGGAATTCGAATTCGGAACGACTTATTCGAACCGGAAGACGCCGAACTCACCGCAATTTTTGAAGATTTGAAGAAGAAGTCGAAACTGATAATGGACAGCGTGAACAAGGTTATCGACAAGTTTCAAAGGTCCTTCAATCAGAGTGAGACCACTGTTGCGGAGAAGTTGAAAAATTTCCACGATATTCAAACCTCTCTGTCTCTCAGCATCGGAATTTTGGACGTTTCAAACGTAAAACTCCAAATAAATGAGCATTATCTTTCGCAAGCCGGGCAAGACCGTTTTGCGTACGGATTGATCCAACGCATCGCTACGGAAGAGATGGGAGAGTATTTCCTCAAATTAATAGCAATCACAATTTTCCTCAAGGTGCCGGCCTGCGACTTGTTCGCGACGCAGATTACAATCATTCACTACCGGGTTTGTCGTCTGCTGAACTATTACGCCATCCTGGAAGGAGGTTCCGATCCGGAAACCACTTTGCAAAATATCCTCCTCGCCATTATGCCGGATGTTCGTCGTTACAACGTCTCGGCTGAAGCTATCGCCCGGACTTGGGACAAAGTTAGCATGTTCCACCTGCGAGCTACGTATGTTAAACATTCCGTTCTGTATGACCAGACGAACCTGGGATTTCTAGGGTTTGGACGACAACTTGACGCAATTTTGATCAAGGTTAAGGAGATGGTTTATCGCGAGAGAAACATGCCCCCTCCGCCGCAAAGGGCAAGCTCAACGTTTTCGTTTGAAGATGACATGTATAGTTTCTATGAAATTACGGGAGTCTCGCTAGAAGTTGTCCCTCCTGTTCTTGTGTCCTCAGCGACGAACACACTGCATCGTAATGGTCAACCAACGACTACTTCTGTCAACATGAATCAAAGCCCGATGTCAATGTTGATGCAAGGATGCTCCATGACAAGCGAGGACGTGTTTCGTACTCCAACATCAAGACCGGTGCAAATGGCTGGTTATTGTCCCATCCCAACTTCAGCTCCGACAGGATTACAAAATATCATTATTCGTCCCTCAGGACCGAGACCAATGCAAATGATGGGTTATTCTCCCTTCCAAAGTCAGGCGTCAATGGGGTCACCAAATATCTTAGCGCGTCCCCCTACAACGCAAATGGTGGGTTATTTCCCCATCCCAAGTTCGGCGCCAACGGCGTCACAAAATAGCGTGGCTCGACCACCAACTACACCCAGGATAATTCAAATATGCATTCGAGGTCAGGCTCCAGGTCAAACTGGATCACAAAATATCTTAGCTCGTCCCCTGACACCGCAAATGGTGGCTTATTCTCCCATCCGAATTCCGGTGCCAACGGCGTCACAAAATAACGTGGATCGTCCCCCTACGTCGCAAATGATCACCGCACCAAGTCCGGCACCAACAGTGTCACAAAACCGCATGGCTCTTCCCCCTACACCGAGGCCAACTCAAATTCGAGGTCAGGCCCCAGGTCAAACTGGATCACAAAATAATATGGCTCAACCTAATCATACCAACAGTCTCCCTACTTCTGCCGCATTTTTCGCCGCTCGGCGTACAAACGACACCACAAATTCTCCAGGTGGAGCACGATCGGCGTCTTCTTCTTCTTCTGGTGAAGTACGACCAACGAGCAATTATCCTCGTTTCCTTCGACAATAATAAGTATACCACATCTATTAAGCACTGACTGTTTAATAATATGTATGCATCTTCTAGTTAAGTACAAAGGCTACCCTTCATGACTATAGCTGACCCATAGTAGCTAGTCTATCATTCTTGTTTTTTACGAGAAATCATGCATTTTTAGCAGTTTTAAAAATACTTACTTTCCTAACTGTTACGTATACAAGTTACATTTTACTGATTGTTCTGCTGCATTATTATCAAGATACCATTTTTAATGCTAACCACAAATTTGCCATGTAGGTACTCCTCTCTCTATCTATACCTGTGCCTGATTATTAATATGTATGTAGATAGCCAGTCTTGAGACGTGAGACGGTGTGAATGTATGCCACACATAAGTACATAATACGTACATACGCTATGGAAACGAGTACTAATAAAATACTAGTAACAAGAATAGGCTTCACTTTGTCTTCAATAACATCATCATCATCACGACCCTTGTTGTTTGTCTGCATGGAGGAGGAGGTGTCGCAATCCGGCTTGTTTTTCAGTTTCGTTTTCACTTCATTTTGACTGGGGGGAGGGGAGTGGAACGAGTTGCTGACCAACTAATTTCTTAATATTTGCTACATATTCTCCAAGTTTTGTGTGTGCAGTTGGGAAAAAAAGTTTGGTTAAGGGGAGTTTAAATTTATGCAAAAATTTCCATTTTCACGCTGGTTAATATGTGACAGTAAGAAATTAAGAAGTGAGTGTGGTTTGGGAAAATTTCAAAATTTCTTGAAGAATTTGGGTTGTTAGCAGCACATTTCTCGTGTCATCATGATGAGGTAAGTATGTACACAGGTAGCTGGAATTGGCATACTAATTAGCAAAAAGTCTAAACTTGCAATAATTTTTTTTAGGAAATTCACTTATTTATTTATACCTCAAAGTTTCAGATTTTTAGAGGAATCTTCATCTTTTCCGTCATGCATGACATGACGGCCTTGCATTTCATACTTAATTAAAGGTTGAATAAGACATACATAAGCACGTTGCACAATGTGTATGCGCATAAACCAGGCAGGAACATCCTTGTTGCTTGCTGCCTTTACATAAACATTCTCACGGCTCATCTATTCATCTATAAAATACCTGACGACAAGAAGAAGTGCATCGTGTTTGACTGGTGACGACGACGTCAGTCATCTTCAACATGACCCGTGGCGATGATAAGCTAAAACAATGAGTTATTTTAATTAGGGTTCAAATTGATATCACTCGTATGGTTTTTTCATTTCATATATTAGTCATACAATGATCAAAGTGTCGATTAAATCACCCCAAAATAATCACACTCATCCTTCCAGCTAAATCCCTCCTGTAAATATTTCAATTATACAACATTAATTTTCATTATTGGTCAAGTGGGTGCAAAAAAAGTTGCACTTTTATTTTAGTCCGTGACTCAGAAGCTATTTACTTTTGACCTTGTCCTCTCACACGATTTAACGTGAAAAGCGTGTAGCAACTCTGAGATTTGCAATTTATAAAAGAACCACATTTGACTCTGATTTCACTTTCGTTCGTCCGTGTGGGGTATGATTTACCATCAACTACATTACGTATCGCTGGAGGTGCCCACGTCAAAATTCCATGAACATCAGATTACATATTTAATGATGCAATCAAGTCACTCATCTTCTTTCTTTGATGAAAATTGTGCATTGTGTTTTTTGCAACGAGTTGATTGCAAAATGCAAATATTATTTTGTACGTTCGGTTCTGCAGCTTTTCCAAGTATTTTTTTTAACCCTATTTCATCTCTCTACTCGTACCGGAGGTCATCGATACCTGAAAACGACAATTTGCAAGGCCCTTAACACACAACAATTTATTAAACACAATTCATTTCATTGTGCAAAGTGTCATCATTTAATTGCAAGGCTGACAAAGTCCCATTGCATTATTCACTCTGAACCTCAACCAATTATTGATTCAAATTCAAACCACATGCAAAAAAAACAATGCGAGATTGCAAAATCCGTGATTGGGTTTCATCTAAGATGCACATTGTACATTATTGTGTAAGCTGCAGAAAAGTAAAGGTGCATGGGCATATCTACATATGTATATTTAAGGCCAAGTTTTGTACTATGTAATAATCTGGGTCATTTGTGTATGCACAAAAATGCAAGTAACTATTTTTTAATCGGGGATGCATCTACGTGTAAGACGCCTTCTGAAATAAAATCTAGACCGTGCATTAATTACGTGTGTAGCATGGATGGGTCAAAGGTTAAATGAATTTACCCCACGTATTAAAATGGTGTTTTATGGGTGGATGAAATGGAAAATTCGCGATGAACGGCCCCTCGCTAAATGTTTCGTCTGGTCAAAGTCGCATATGTCGCAAGATTTTTGTCTGTCGATTAATAGATAAGAAAGTGATGTCAAGTTTCGATTAAGGAGCTAATAATCAATCAAGCTGAGCTGTTTATTGTAGGTTGGATTTTAGTCCAATTTTTGAAGACTCAGACATACGTGACTTGTAAATCAGTTCACAAATTTGCACCTTGTCGTAGAAATGTGCATGTTTTACTATCTTATTGTAACTGACCTTACTTTCGTTTAGTCAATTGGACGACAATTCATATCGAAGTTTAGAGATGAATGACTAGCTGAGATTTTTGGCATTGTTCAATTAAACAAAATTCTCCTGCATTTATTTCCACCCAGATCAGGTCTGTCGTCGTCGGTCCGGATGCGAATTAAGTTAGGGTGGTGGTAACATAATGCAATTAAGGTGATGAAATTAGGCTCGTCTTCTTGGAGAGATCGGCGCTATAAATAAATCTGGAATCAATATTTCCACACTATTCTCATACCCAGTTCCGTTTCAAGGACTTCTGTCTCATCGTCGCAAAATTGCATTCAAAATTGTAGAAAAATCGTATTTGATTGAAAAACTAGACATAAAAAGATTTATCTTTAACACGATTTCGACGACGGGTCCTCCTCCTGTGCAAAAAATGCCTGCTCAATTTTATTTTCGTGTGGGAGGGAAGTCATATTGCACGCTTAGTTTGACATTGAATCCTTCAACTAAAACCAATAAAGAAGGATGCAAATTTGCAATTTGCATAGTAAACAAATTTCCATTTTTTACGACTTTACCGTTCAATCCGCTACACCCCAAGCTAAAAAATACAACACTACTATGTAAAATGTATATTATTAAAACCGGATGTTGTTTATGTCGCCAACTTTTGTCTAATTGCAGTCGTTTCCATTGTTTTCGCCTGTGCAGGGGCGACACCATAAGTACCACGTAGTCATATTCCATCTTCTTTCAAGTAGCATGAGTAGTCTCATTAATTTCGTTTCGTTTATTGTTCCTCTTGCACAATGGGTAACACAATAAGGGCCTCGGGAGAGTAGTCATCTCCTTTTTGATGGGTCAGGTATGTACACACGTCGCGATGACCTGTCTTGACATCGGGTTAAAAAAATAGTCTAAAATCCATCTCATCAACTTCCTTCTCAAATCCTAAAATAAGGCACTAATCGAAAAAAATGTGACACCAATGGTCCCAAAACCTTACTACAAAAGGTCCTCCAAAACCCAGTGACCTATAATCTAACCATCTATCCAGCCATCAATTCTCATCCCATCTTCTTCTAGGAGATGTGTAACGATTAGCATAACTTGTGAACTTTTATTGTTAGCGAAACAATGCGAATTTATTTGCATGGGAGATGCTATCACAGTGCGAACAGTAGACACGTCTCAAGGTCAAGGCATCTCTTGAATTTATATGTACATATTTATAAATCCATTGTTCCTTGTCCACGTGTACTCTTTTTTATTAAATGAGCTAAATTTAGAACTTAAAATTTAATATTATTGGATTACTAATTTTTCAAATGTTTCAGGGTGACCCTTCTGCTGGTGGTGGTGGTGTCATCGTCGAGAAACATTTTTTCGACAGGATTGCCCAACAAATTCGTCCTGCCCAACATCACGAGTGACGAGATTCGAGCGGCCCTCGCCAAAGGGGAGGAAGCCGTGAGGGAGCGGTTTGAAAAGTTTCAGCCTCAAATATACAAAGGAGGTAGGAATTTACACATGTATGTATGCGTGTATATGTACATAAGCATGACCTTTACGCACGGCTGTCGCTAATTAATGTCACTATCGCAAAGGTTATCTTCCCCAATCGACAGGAATAAGTAGACTTTGTTGGTTTGGTTAAGCGTGTGAAAAATATTGGTTGGTTTTACTAGACAATTAGTGCATGAACCTTTACTCTGTAAACAAAGTTGCCTACCTCCAATTGACCATGTTGGTTTCACAAATTTCCAGAAATTTCTAGTCACCAGACATGTTTAGATTTGCATGGATTTATTAGAAAAAATCTGATAAGAATCTAACACAGAAGGTTATAAATAGTGTGAATTTGAATGTATACATAATTTGCATGGATTGATTTGGTTTTCCAGGCGCTTATCATCTCCCCAACTCACCTCCATGGTTTATGTCCGTGTCTCACAAGGCGACCCATGTAGCCGATAATGTCACCTGGATTGCACTCTTGTCGGAAGAAGCGACACAAATTATTGCTCACAAGTAAGCATATCGTCACGATAACCGGTGTCCATAAATATGTGATCCCTTCGAGGTCAGAGCCAAAAATTGAATACTTTTGTCCTTCTTCTGTGTAGGCATCAACTGAGTCGCGAGCAGATCGTGTACTCTCTGCCCAGTTTGGACGTACGGAATACGACGTTGGAGACCGAGTGCCCGGTCAAAGTCGACTTTCCCTGTCAGGCGAGAAAGTACAGGGCCTTCTCAGGCTTCTGCAATAATGTGCAGCATCCACGATGGGGGGCGAGCAATGGGCGCTATTTGAGATATTTAATGCCTGACTATGCAGATGGTGAGTGGACCGAACATTGCTTCAAATGTGCAAATTTTATGGGATTTTAATACCGAAATTGTGCACACTTTTCCAGGCGTGAGTTCATCCCGGATGTCAATGTCGTCCGATTTCCTGCCCTCCGCGCGTCTCGTCTCGCTCCTCGTGCATTCCGACTCTGACAAACCACACCCTCATCTCATGGCTCTCACCGCTTTGTGGGCTGAGCTCGTCGCGAAGGACGTTTCCCACACCGCCCAGTTCTCTGGCTTCAACCGATCCGCCATAAAATGTTGTGGCGTCACCTTTGCCAACTTCCACTCGGACTGTTACCCCATCCGGATTGATGTGGAGGACCCATTCTACTCGAAATTGGGGGGTGACAACTGTCAAGAATATGTCAGGTCGAGCGTCGTGCCAAGAAATGGGTGCACACTGGGTAAGCCAAAGAAAGTCAGGCTTAAAAGTCGAGAGCAGTGTTTCATTTCTTGTGAATTTGCTAAATTTCTTGCACTACATAACAAGCAACGCAAAAAATGCGAAGTGCAAGAAACTGCAAGAAGTGCGAGGTGCAAGAAATGTGCGCCACCTTGCCACGCGCCGTATGAAGTATAGCGGCGTTTATTGCGTCTCGCATTTCTTGCGGGCCAAATAGCTGCAAGTAACCACTTTCTTGCAGTTATTTCTTGCAATTGGTTACTTGCACCAGAAACACTGGTCAAGAGTTGTATGTTATTATTTCTCCCAGGTCCACGCGAGCAGATCAACCAAGTTTCCAGCTTCCTGGACGGGTCATTTCTCTACGGATCCAGCCGCAGTGACATCGAAGAATTACGCCTTTTCCAAAATGGCCTGCTCCGCACGCAGGTTGGACCAGGGGGGGAATTGCTGCCTCCAAACAAAAATTTGGCCTCGTGTCGACAGAGTGAAGATAACTTCAAGTAAATATGTCGTCAAAATAGGACCATAACTTGAGTCGCTCATCACTGATTTCATGTTTTGCAGATGTTTCAAGTCCGGTGACGCCCGAGTTAACGAGCACATCGGCCTCGCCATTATGCAAACGTTATGGATGCGAGAACACAACCGCGTGGCGAGAGAACTCTCAAATTTGGGAGGCGATTGGAGTGACGAAATCTTATTTCAGGAAGCAAGACGCATCGTTACGGCGGAAATCCAGCACGTCACGTACTCCGAGTTCCTTCCTGTTATTCTAGGTCAAGAGTTAGTCGAAAAGTATGACCTACGCCCTATGTCGACCGGGTATTATTCGGGGTACGACATCGGTACAAATGCCGGAGTTTTGAACGGTGTCGCGACAGCAGCGTTGTGGTTTTTCGCTTCACTGGTTCCCAAAGTCATGCCGTTTTATGATTCGGTATGAGATACAATTAGTAAATGAGTAATTAATTAATTAATTAATTGCTTATTAATTATTACCCAGATTGGGAGAAAGGTAGACGAGAAGGCGATCTCTGATACGTTCTACGCCCCTTTCGACCTGTACAGAAATGGGGTGTTGGATCAAATCCTGCGTGGCCTCTTGAGAGGGAAGGCTCAAAGTGAAGACCAGTTTATCAACGATGTCATGACAAATAGGATGTTTGAAGATCCAGATACCGGTCAGTTCCATGGTCAAAGGTCATATGTGTGTCACACACAACATTCCTATGTCACAAAGGCTATGTGTTAAATTCTTAACTAAATATACATATTTCAGCCCAATCTCACTCCTCATGCATGTTGTGATTTTTCCCTGTAATGCATGTAGCTCAAATTCGCACACTGGTGCTTTGTCCCAATGTTTGGCATCCATAAAATAAATAAATACGCAAAAAATATTGCGTATTAATTTGACCCCAAACAATAATTAACACAATTCCAACCTATTTTTTATCCTGGGATGGGTGCAATAACATTGATTTCCGCATTCCTATCCAGGTCTTGGGTTGGACTTGGCAGCACAACTAATTCAACAAGGTCGAGACCACGGAATTCCTGGTTATGTTTTCTACAGGGAGTTATGCGGGTTGGGAAAAGTCTCGAATTTCTCAGAGTTACGGGGAACCATGTCAAACCAAGTTATTGCCTCGCTCAGCATCTTGTACAAGTAAATTAGTCATAAATAAATTGGAAGAATTTGTCACAATTTCAAATTAGTTGACATCTTAATTATTTGTGCAGAGTTCCCGAGGACGTGGATCTATTTACGGGAGGACTTGCCGAGTATACGATCGAGGGGGGTGTGGTTGGTATGTAGCTCAATCGTGATGACTTTCATGATAAGCTTTCACCTGGAATTTTTTTAGGCCCCACTTTTGGATGTCTGTTAGGAATTCAGTTTCAAAAGTTACGGAAAGGTTTGTGATTTATTTTGTTAAAATGAAATTTGCTTAGTGCAACCTTAGGATTAGAGTATCTAATAGTCATAACCAGAGCTCATGGTCCTGAAAATCAACAACTTTTTTTGTTCGCATCGGATACAGTCTGTATCATACAGACTATCATAAGGATGGGTAATGATAATGATGGTGATGAGGTAAAATAAGGATGCAATACTTTCTAATAACAAGTATAATGTCACACAGTTGCATAGAAATCATTTTTCCCCATTGTGAGGTAAAAATAGTTACCTTGTGTGAGAAATATATACTTTTAGGAAATTTCATCCGAAATCCAAATTGTTGCATGATTTTTTTTGTGAAACTACGTGACATTGGTATTGTTGCATGTATTGCATGTATTGCAATTCTTCATTTTTAGTGCTCATCTACTATAGACAATACTATAAGTTTCAAAATTTGGGATGAATTTTGCATCCTTTTCAATATTACTCATTACGAATTTGACACGAGTTCGCATTTTCATATTGCAACATGATTTTGAAAAAAAATTAGCCAAAAATGAACTAAACTAGCCATGTCAACATTACAAATGAAGTTTCAAGAAATCTTTTGGCTAACTTGCGAACTTACAATTAGTATTGAGGTATACAATGAGATACCTGTTTTTTCAGCTTCCAACACTTTTGGTACAGCGGCTCAAAATTTGATTAAATTCTTATATTTGCATATTAGAGGGGATCGGTTTCGCGAATCAAGCCAAAATGTGCAACTTTTTTTTGCTAGTTCGCAAAATTCGCAAAATTTGGTTTAATATGACAAATGGAACGCAATTTGTCGATAACGAGGTGGTGGCGGTGGTTGGGGCATTGCGACATGTCAACAACACCGATAAGAACCATTGTGCCCAATTTCATGCAAATCGGACGAGAAATGGCGAAATTATGGCATGGCGACGATATTTGGCGAAAACAATGGGGGTGGAGGTGGGTGGGACCTTGCGACATGTCAACAACACCGATAAGAAGCCTTGTGCTAAATTTGATAGAAATCGGCCGAGAAATGGCGAAATTATGGCATGGCGACGATATTTGGCGAAAACAAGGGAGTGGCGACGGGTGGGACCTTGCGACATGTCAACAACAACAATAAGAAGCCTTGTGCCAAATTTCATGCAAATCGGCCGAGAAATGGCGATATTATGGCATGGCGACGAAATTTGGCGAAACCGAGGGGGTGGAGGTGGGTGGGACCTTGCGACATGTCAACAACACCGATAAGAAGCCTTGTGCTAAATTTGATAGAAATCGGCCGAGAAATGGCGAAATTATGGCATGGCGACGATATTTGGCGAAAACAAGGGAGTGGCGACGGGTGGGACCTTGCGACATGTCAACAACAACAATAAGAAGCCTTGTGCCAAATTTCATGCAAATCGGCCGAGAAATGGCGATATTATGGCATGGCGACGAAATTTGGCGAAACCGAGGGGGTGGAGGTGGGTGGGACCTTGCGACATGTCAACAACACCGATAAGAACCATTGTGCCCAATTTCATGCAAATCGGACGAGAAATGGCGAAATTATGGCATGGCGACGATATTTGGCGAAAACAATGGGGGTGGAGGTGGGTGGGACCTTGCGACATGTCAACAACACCGATAAGAAGCCTTGTGCTAAATTTGATAGAAATCGGCCGAGAAATGGCGAAATTATGGCATGGCGACGACATTTGGCGAAAACAAAGGGGTGGCGGCGGGTGGGACCTTGCGACATGTCAACAACACCAATAAGAAGTGTCTGTCTAAATTTGATGGAAATCGGACGAGAAATGGCGAAATTATGGCATGGCGACGATATTTAACGAAAACAAGGTGGTGGCAGCGGGTGGGACCTTGCGACATTCGACAACACCAATAAGAAGCATTGTGCCAAATTTCATGCAAATCGGCCGAGAAATGGCGAAATTATGGCATGGCGACGGAAGATGTCGCCATGCCATAAAGTGGGGGGAGCTGTTGGCCGCCCTAAAAAGGGCGTTTCCAGAGCACACGACGAGGACGTCGCTCCCTCGTGCTCCACGCGGGTCGGCCCCCATGGACGCCCGAATGCGTCCGCGGACGTCTACCTCCACCGACCGGGAAAGCCCTGCCCACATCACCGCCTCTGCAACCGCGTTCCCCTAGGGGGCCCGTCTGACCCTCGCCTTACGAGGTGGGAGCGCACCCGTAAATCGGCCCCCATTAAGGCTTCGAACTCGGGAACCCGGTCGGCCCCAAGGGGAGGTATCGCTAAAGAGCGGCGTCACCCAAGGGTTGGAGGTAGAGAGCCCCTCTCACTTGCCAAGCGCCACCCGCACTTTTGGCAAGCCCCGCCGGCTCCCCACCCGGTGAGCCTGCTTGGTGGGAGGAGCATTGGAGGGGGGACCTTCCCGTAAGGCTCTCCCCTTGCAGCGTTGCTCCCCCGGACCACCCCTCCAACGGGAAGAGAGTCGGGGCTGTGGGACAAACCACGGGTGGACCCGACTCCCCAGAGAGGCAGGGCGGTCCAGGGGCGCAGCTGCAATGGGGAGCTCACCCAGGGACACGCCCCCACGAGCGCCTCCCGCAGACTAAAAAAATTGCGGAACGGAACTTGTACTAGGCAACTTTGTCCCCCTAACCACAAACTGTGGTCACTTTTGCAAGGAAAAGGTTCAATGACCTGACTTGAAACTGGTCAAATCAGCCTATTTTTTAGTTGTAGGGCAGTATGATCTTGCATTTTGTGCATTAAAACTTTCAAAAAGGTCAGTGGGGGTTTTCAAAAGGAGGGGTGGCTTATGGCTGATATGCCAATATCTACATGTCCACATGTTCTATGTTTACAATTGTTACAAATAATTCAATTAATTATATCAACGTTGTTGGGGGTGGGAAAATATCGATTCTTATAGTTTTTTGGTCGCTGATTTCGAATCTGAGGTCAGTTTTTCGATTAGGGCATCATGAGAATGGGAAGCGGCCAAAAATTTTGCTAAAATTGAATCCCGTGAGGCTACCCCTCACAAAACGACGGAACTTCATCATCAGAGATCATCAGCTAAATGATGTCCATTTATTATTTTTTGTCGTTGATTTAATCATAACTTGTTCTTGCTAACGATATAAACTCGTTATGAATCAAGGTAATTTATGGAACCATAGTGTTATTTTATCCGTGCCTATTATTTCCAGGGGATAGATTCTGGTATGAGAATGACCTCCCTCCCTCCGCCTTTAGTCCAGGTGAGTGAACAGACTTTTCCCATCTGAAATTACTGACTAATTATTATTTATTTCTGTAACAGAACAATTGCAAGAAATCCGGAAAACAACGCTGGCGCGGATAATTTGCGACAATAGTAACTCTGTGAACCAAGTCCAGCCCAACGTGTTCCTCGATAGGAACCCATTTCTGTGAGGAAAATTATAAACTTAATGAACCTAAATATCTCATAATAAGTGCTCCAAAGACCCACGAAATTGCGTAAAATGAACTGAAATAGTGGAAATTAATTTTCTATTGGGAAATCAAAACAATTTTAGAAAATGTGAATTAAAGCAGAATAGTGAGAGCTATTTTTATTCTTCATTTCGCGTATGATACTAAACGAAATTTTAAAACTATACTAATTCTGAAGTTTCGCGTAAGTGCGCATTTAACACAGAAAATGTAATTAATTAATTACTTAATTTCTTGGTAGAAATGCTCCCATGCACTGCGAGGGAGATGCCATCAGACACATTGATCTCAAAAAGTGGAGCAATGAGATGCCCCCTCAATCCAGGTCGTCCAAGTCGTCCCTACCAAATTCTCAACTTTCTCAAGCCATCCAACAAGCTCGCAGTGATATCGTCCTCTTCCACTCAAGGGAGATGGATCTCTGGAAAAATGGTTAGCCCACTATTCTTGTACATATGTACTTTTAGCAGAATTCCACAAGGTTTGAAAAATTACGTACATAATCAAAATGTTGGCACATTGATTTAATTCACATTAAATTTTGCAAATATTTATATAATTTGGGTAAAACATTAGCGTTTTTATAACTATATGAGTAGCTATAAAAACGTGGTGTAAATAATACCGTCAACATTACTGAAAAAAAATTAAATTAATTTGAAATATAAAATATGGCTTAAATTTTTATAAGCGTCCAACGTCGACCCTCTGTCTCCCATCGGAACCGCGTCAGGTTTCAATAAGGCGAAGAATCAAGCCCTCGAAATCGCGAATGCTTCCTTCCTCCTCCAATTCGCCACGGAACGATTCCTCTCCGAAGTTGGTGGGAGGTGAGGGAAAATAAATTTGCACGTGTTTATAACAAAATTCACGTAAAAGTTATATTTTTTGCCAGCATTTCACTTCAAGACAGCGAAGGCTCGCCGGACGGGGGGACCTCTGGGTCACGAAACCTTCGCCAAATCCTAAACTCATTGCAGTCCATTGACGTTGGAGCGTTGACGGAGCTGCCGAAAAATCAGCGTTGCAGCGAACACGACTTGCCGTGCGATCACACCAACATTTTCCGCTCGATTACAGGATGGTGCAATAATCTGCAAGATCCTAAGAGGGGAAAAGCCTTTGAAGCATTTGTTCGTCTTTTGCCCCCCACGTATGATGATGGTGAGTGACATTCTTTTGGTGTACGTGCTAAAAGAGGCAAAGGCGAAATGTGTATAAAAATGGGATAGAGTCTCATCTTTCACATTTTGTGGCCCACTGATTTTTTTGAAAAGGATATTTTCTTATTATTTTGAGAACACGGTCGACAAAATGGGTGAAAAACGTGCCCCTTTCATCCCCAAATTTTCAAATCCGATGCATTTCGCCCTCATTAATTCCACAGTTTCGTTTATTTTGTCCTAGGTTTGAAGGAGCCCAGAATTTTCTCTTCGGCCATTCCTGGAAAACTCTTGCCGAGTGCGAGACTCGTCTCTAGCACGTTGCATGACGACATCAGCGTCCCCCACGTCCGTTACACCCTTCTCCTCATGCAATTCGCCCAACTCTTGGACCATGACTTGACCCACACCCCCATCAACAGAGGTATCCACAATACAAATACTGTACATCTCCTTAATTTTGGCATTGCTACCCCCATCAGCAAGAGTCTAAAGAGAATAAAATTCGACAGCAAATCTGGTTTTGCGGTGGAATTCCTTCTTTAACGAGAATCGATCTATTGTTCATCAGTTTGTATTGTGCCCCGTATTTGATGAGGAGACGTAACAATGTAATAAACAAAATTAAATATTCACCCTCTCGTGGTGATGAATTTTGTGCCGTCGTATTGTATTCCGGTCGATCTCATTATGACGACGACCGTCTCAGGTTCACACTTTATCTCTCTCCCTCTGTCGAATCAATAGGGGCCGTCCTCGCAGCACGTGGACACTTAATTTGACATCCAGAAACTTTGAAGTCCAGTATTTCCATTTCGAGATAGGAAACATTTGTTAGACAGACTTTTGCCCAAAAATTGTCCACTTTCTTTATGGATGGTCCATCGGCTCCCTTTCGTCTCATTGAATATACTAATGTTGTCTCGTTTTTGGTGTAAATTAGGGTTTGACAACTCCATCCTGAACTGTCACAGTTGTGACTCGAGAACCACTAGTCATCCCGAATGTTGGCCTATCGTGGTGAGTATGTATGAATGTAAAGTGATGGAAATATGTAGTGGCAGGGGTTGGTTTTAAGTGTTGAATTTGGTGTCAGATTCCGCCCAGGGATCCACACTTTCCACAATTTAATTCCTCCACTGGTCACCCGGTCTGTCTCCCCTTTACCAGATCGCTACCTGGACAGTTAACGTTGGGTGAGTTGAAATTTATTAGTACTCAAAAATAGCACGCAAATTCACGTGAGTTGAGATGAGTTTGGTCATAACGACTGGGCGCCGTATTGCGACATGTCGACAACACCGAAGAAGGTGTGCCAAATATTCATGTAAATCGGGTTTAAACTGCCGAAACTATGATTTGGCGAGTAATTACCTCGCCACGGTCACGACATATAGCAATTTTGTATTTTTTTAATTGGACGACCAAGTTACCTTCGGGTTCCATCCGAAAAAAAATCGATTAGTTAATGACAAATTGTCTTGACCTCTTTTACTCTTCCTTCCAGGCTACCGAGAACAACTCAACCAAGTGACGGCATATCTCGACGCCAGCTTTGTGTACGGTTCGGATGTCTGCGAAGCAAGAAAGTTGCGTTCTTTTGAAGGTGGAAAACTGAACACGACGCGACACCCGGGTGGCGACGAGTACAAACCGCTTCTCCCTCAAACGCCAAGCCATCCTGAGTGCAAGGCACCCTCCGGACTCTGTTTCGAAGCAGGTATAGCCGGCATAGCAGGGACCCTACAAAAAGCTTGTGCAAATTTCATCCGAGAAAAAAGAGAGACAAAAATCTATCACATCCTTTATGCAAAATCAACCACTGCAAAATTATAACTGAACAAAAAATACGTTTAAATAGCAATCGATTAGTCAAATTTGCACGTAAAATTGGTAAAATTTTGAACCCCTTTATCATCCAATGCCACAAATTGACTTGCTCCACACCCCACAGACGCCATAAATATGTAAATGAGGTGTGGAACATGGGCGATTTTTGCGCTTTCCATAATTAATGAATGATCCATATCCTCAGGAGAGAAAGTGAGCGAACTGGGCTCAAATTGTGTAACTTGAGACGCTAAATAATTCCCCGTGATGTGTGATCCTGTCCAAATATGGGGCGCAAAGCACACTTTCACTCCATTGTGAGACACAGATCGAATTAGTTTCATCACATTTTACCACCAAAAACCAATTACCGAATTCAAAGTCCCGTCCAGTCAATCAACACGGAGACGAATATGATGATGCGTAACTGGATAACTTTATTTGCTAGGAGGAGTACGTACTCTCGTGGGGAATAAAATTCCGGAAGTTGGCTCACTTTTTTGAGACTTGGAGAGAAAAAATTTCGCAAATATGTAGTAGTGCAAATTTTTTAAACTGTGGTGGTACAATAATTTAAGAAGTTTTTAAGAAAGTGTACAAATTGATAGATTTCGGAAATGTTATTCAGTTTATTTGACGTATGTGAAAAACAATTTTTTTTGTAAGACCAATTTTTAACAATATTTAATCATTACTTGACATTTATCACGTCATAATTATAATGTTTGCTAAAATTGACCTAAAATAACTAGTTTCGTCCAAAAAAATCTTTAAATTTAATAATTTAAAGTTTTACCATTGACCCAACTTACCTTCTTTATTCCCAGGTGACCTCCGCGCCTCGGAACAACCCGTTCTCGCTGTGATCCATACGATCTGGCTTCGCGAGCACAACCGCATCTCGTCCGCTTTGGCTGTACGGAATCCGCAGTGGGGCGACGAGACCATTTACCAACATGCCCGGCGTATCCTCTCCGCGACCACGCAGCACATCACTTACGCCGAGTTCCTCCCCCGCGTTCTTGGCTGGGATGTCGTCCACAAGTTCGGTCTCGACCTCCTCCCCGACGGATACGCCACCACGTACCAACCCACCTGTAACCCCACCATTTTCAATGAATTCGCCGCCGCAGCCTTCCGTTTCGGCCACAGCCTCCTTAAACCCTCCTTCAAACGGGTACCATAATAATATTCTCGCTGTCGAATATTCTCGCTATTATATAATTGTTATATAATATTCTCGCTGATTAGTAAAATGTGCATACAGTTTTCGATTTTACAGAAAAATGGGTTCAAATTTGTCATAAAAATGGGGCTTGTCACATTGCGAAAACGGATTTTCAATTTTTTATAATGAAAATAGTTTCGATTTACTATTTACTATTTTTCATGTAAGAATTAATTGTTCTGAAATTTTTTCCCCAAATTAATGGCCAATTTTATGGCAGTATAAATTCTATTTACAAAGATATTGATATCCAAGTTTAAAAACCTTGAAAACCAGTTTTACGAGAATTTATGAGACAAATCAAAAACCGACTTTTCAAAATCAACCGATTTCGAACGCCCTTAGAACTTTAACAACTCTTTCTTCCACAGTTTAAGTTATAGGTTTGGTTTTGGATAAAATCGAAAACCAGTTTTACGAAAATTGAAAATACCTTAACGTAAATGTATTTATATTGGAAAGATGTCGCCCTCGCTCCGCATCCTGGAGCCGAGTGTCCAACTGCGTCACACCTTCTTCAAGCCGGACCTCCTTTTCAACGTGGGAATAGTGGACGAGCTGCTGGTCGGCCTGGTGAACACGCCGATGGAGACGTTGGACTCCTTCATCACGGAGGAGGTGACGAACCACCTTTTCGAGGACAGGAAGCGACCCATCTCCGGCATGGACCTCGCTGCCCTCAACGTCCAAAGGGGACGAGACCACGGCGTCGCGTCCTACAACGAATACCGAGCCGTGTGCAATTTAACAAAAGCCGTGACATTTGATGATTTACGGAAGGAAATCCCACCCAGATTGGTGCAAAAGTTTAAAAGGATTTATGCCAGTGTGGATGACATTGATCTCTTTCCGGGAGGATTGGCAGAGACTGCGGTGATGGGAGGGATAGTGGGGTGAGTAATCTCATGTTGCCTCTTCTCCGTTTATTTATGAGTCTCTTCTTGCCTCATAAGTTGGCTGGGAATCAATTTTCCTAAATTTCATAAAAACCTAGAATTCACAAAATGAGACATACTGAATTTGTAAAGGAAAAAGGGCGAGATTAGATTAGATTAGAATTTTAGATTAGATTAGAATTTTCTCATGTTGCCTCTCGATCCTATATATTTTGCAAGGTCTCATCTTGCCTCATGAATCTCGGCTAGGAATTAATTTTCCAAAATTATACAAAATATGAAATATATCAGTAGATACAAAATTACTTTTTATTTACACCTCAATATCTCATTTTGCCTCAAAAGATGTATATTTAGCAAGTAAAAGCTGTAATTTTATTGATGTTTCTAAATTTTAGTCCCACGTTCGCCTGCATAATCGCGAAGCAGTTTCACTCGCTTCGTCACTGTGACCGCTTCTGGTACGAGAATGCCGAGCCGTTAACCCGCTTCACAACCATGCAGCTGGCCGAGATCCGAAAGTCCAGTCTGGCCAAGCTTCTCTGCGACAATGGCGACGAAATCAGATCCATTCAACGATCCGCGTTGGACGTTCCCGACCAATTTTTGTACGTTCCCATTGTCTTTTTTGAAGGGGCATGCATGCATGGATACCCGACGTTTGGCCTGTTTAGTCCACATGCCATGAATCACATGCGACCCTCTGCACGGCCCTGATTGTCCGATTTCGGAGTGGAATTAAATTGATTTCTTTGTAGAAATCCCCGCACGGATTGTGCCTCCTTGCCAGCCTTGGATTTCGACTGGTGGACTGATCGGGTGGAGTGTATCGTGAAAGGGAAGAGTATTAAGGTCGGAGCTGCCCTCAGAGTGTCGCCCTGCGTCATGTGTACTTGCACCAAGGAAGGGGTAAGTCAACAAGGCGAAAGGTTCCTTAAATGCAGTTTTTGACACACATTTTCGCACTATTTTTGTACTGATTGTATGTATACAATTTGGTATACTCACGTCAATCACAAATTTGAACTGATTTATGACAAATTTTGTGCGAATTTAATTGATAAAATTTGGACATCTTAACACAATTTGCAATTCTTTTGCAATAGTTGTATTCACTTTAGCGTCCTAAATACTGTTTTAATTTTAAATCCCATAACGTTTCAAAATGAAATTCGTACCAAAAACTCCCCAATTTTGGGAACCCTTCCATATTTCTCGTTTACCGAAGCTATTCGATTATTTGCTCTCTCTATCTCCATTGATGTTGCTTAATTGATTTCGCTCTCTGGCCTGGAAATCAAATCCAAGACGGAGTACTGAAACTATTTTGGTCTCAATTTGATGATTTTGACTCCAAAATTCCAGCCTCTCTGTCAGTCCATGAAGATCAACAACTGCGTCCGTCTCTCGCGTTTGTACGAAGCCAGGGAACTGGTGGAAGATCACGTATGCAAAGTGCAGTGCGCCCTCGTCTTCAAAGTCTTCCCCACGACGACGAATAATACGACGCGAGAAATTGGGAATAATACGCTCTAAAATTCTGACTTTTTCTAAATTTCATCTCCGATATGGTGGTGGTTGCTCAGCAGTTATATATATTTTTTACCCAGTATTCATTAACGGGGAAAGCGGAGAAAGTTAGTTAATGGGAATGTGGACACCAGAAATTTTGTACGCATTTACGAATTTTGTATTTGTCCGACATATGAAACTGCATTTATTTTTAGGATATTAAACTCAGTATGGTAACAATTACGACTTTTTTTATATGATTAATTTATTCTGATGTACTGTCAAATGCTAGTGCCATAAATACGAATTTTGCAGCCATACGTACCTGATAATTACATATGTATGATGACTGAATAAAAGAATCGATTTTGCCGAGAGAATTGTAACGTTGTCTTATTTTTATTCAGGGTTTATATGCACCGTGACCTCTCCCGTCTCATTAATGGGTCACCAGAGGTTAATATCGGTCAAAAATGTAGCACATCCTTCCCGTTGCCGTGTATGTACAAATACATTTCCATGCAAGTGTTCTGTTCACCAACACAGAGCGGATCTATCCGCCTCGCATACAGATCCACTTTGTAGAAGAAGAATTCACTGATCTGACTGATTCTCAAAGTGCCAACTTCTCAGGAATTGCATTACGCTGGAACAATTTGCATAATAAGTAGAAACCATGTGCAGATGAATCGTATGCAAATTGAAATTAAGTTGTGCGAATTCCTCATTCGTTTAAATCTCTCCAGGAGTGTAACGTGATGCTGACGATGACGATGACGACGAGATATATAATTTCACATGCAATGCAACCCGTATGTACTGCATAATGGTACTGAAGAAGATTAGAATATTTGGATATCGATACGGCCTATCAGTTCAACAACCAAGGCAAACTCAATAACTAACTGTTGTCCAGTCTATCTTTTCGTCTCGCTGTTTGTTTTCCAGTCCAAATCCACATAACATAACTTACTGAATGGATGGATGGATGGACAATGCGATACATACGTACCTTTATTTATTTCGAGATTATACACATATCCCCGAGATCACGGGATCCCTCTTCTTTGGGAAAAATAGTGTGTGGTGAACATGATATTTAATTTGACTTCATTCCTCTCGACGATTTTAACAACTCGTGAATGAATCGATTCCAAGTTTTTTAAAAGTTTAAACTTTTCTTTGGAAAGGGGTGAAATTATAGAAGAATAGAATTTTGTGTGTGGGTTTTTTGTTCGTGGTATACGAAATAAATAGCTGGACTGGAGGAGAAGGAGGCGTCGTGATAATTTGTGGCGTGGCGTGGCGTGGGTGTAGAACACGTTGCTTTGTACTTTTAAAACTTTTCACGGAATTAACAAGATGTTCACGGAGAAGACGAAGTTGGTGGAGAAGAGGGAAAATCCCTTTTACGGGAGTTACAAGGAAAAAAATATTGCGGAAGAGATTCACTGGCAGAATAAGTAAGTTTTGGTCATTAATTTTCCCATACAATTTAAAAATCTGAAAATTGTAACCCTGTTTAAATTAAAAAATTACGATCTGAACTGAAATTTGTATTTTTTCAAGGAGGAAACGCCAGCAATTGGCCATGGTGTCGGCCGTGATCTTGATCTTGGTCATTCTCTCGATCGGGATCACATTGGCCATCACGCTGCCTCCCATGCTCGAAATCTCCATGTTAGATCCTGCCGACCCTGACGATTTCCTATCCCCGTCACCCTCCGTTCTCAGACAGGTAACAGTTTTTCAACAATGAGTATCGAAGCTATTTTATGCCATTTTTTGCAATTTTTAAACAAAATATGACAAAATTCTGTACAATTTGAACATGTTTCTCACTACATTTTTCCAGCTTCAAACCTTACAGAATAGTGTCATGTTTACCTATAAATAATTAATTAATTACTCAATTATGTATGAACAGCTCCAATCGGCCGGCGTCAGTTCGGAGTCTGCTCTTTGTTCCGAAATGGGAAAGTAAGTCAGTGTCGTGGTGGACATGACGTGTATTTTTTCCTCCCTATTTCTGGACCTAATTAAAATTTATATCCGTCCAAATTAGAACCGTTCTCGAGGCTAAATCCGGCTCTGCTGTGGATGCCGCTGTCGCCGTGACGTTATGTCACGGAGTAACGAATCCGCAAAGCAGTGGGCTTGGGGGAGGTCTGTTTATGGTCATTTACACAGGAAACGAGACCTGGGCTGTGAATGCGAGAGAAATTGCACCCGCACTCGCAGATCCTGTCGTGTACGAGAGAGATCCCAACGCTGCGAGTCGAGGTTAGTAAATGGAGACGTGATGGCTTTCTCTTTTTAGTTGTTACAACAGTGGTTGAGTTACATAAGTGCGATATGGAAAGAGGAGACGAGATGGATGAGTGAAATTGGCCAGCATGGGTTTCAACCATCAATCCGCGAGGAGGTCACAGGTCACTAATTTGTGCCGGTTTCTACCTACTTTTCTTCTGTAGTAGATTATGGGTTCAGGTTTTCTGTAGATTTTTGCCAAATATGTAAAAGAATGTGTAGTTAAGCGAGATGAAAAGTAGACGAGGTGGATGATGAAATTGACATTTCGATAAATTTTCCCAGAAACTAATGAATTCTTTGTCCATTTGGGGAGGGGGTCACAAAAGTCAGGTGTCACTGACTGCCTAATTTTTCAGGCGATTTTCCCCCACAAAAATGAGGGGTCCCAGTAAATGACTCTTCTTCCAGTGAACTTTGGTGTTTCACAGGTTTCGAATTTTTTTCCCGTTGCATCCTCCAAAAAGTCATACACACTGTTTCGTCACCTCTTTCCACCTACTCGGACAAACTCGCATACAATTAAAGTTTTAATTATGTGAGTTTCCTGCCATATTTATGTATGTACGTATGAGCTAATTATGCCCGTAACAAGGTGGTCTGTCCGTGGGCGTGCCGGGTGAATTGGCCGGGTTGTGGGACGTTCATCAAAAGTTTGGCAAAGTTCCGTGGTCCGAACTTGTTCAACCCGTCCGACTTTTGGCGGAGGAGGGCTTCGCCGTCTCACCGCAGTTGGCAAGGTCTCTCCAAGAGCATGCAAATAAGATTAAGGGGGATTCTGTCCTGAGGTAAGTTTCCTACGAAATCCGAATTTCCGAGATCTGTGACACAGTATAGATTTACTTTTTTTAATTCTCAGATCGGAGTTCGTGAACCCCTCCACGGGCGAAGTTTGGCTTGCGGGCGATCTTTTAAAACGGTCCAGATTGGCAACCACCCTCCTCGACCTGGAACAGAATGGAGTGACGGGATTCTACAATGGCACCATCGCGGCCGAGATTGTTCGCGAAATCGGGGCTTCTAAGGGAATCATCAATCTAGAAGATTTGGCTAGCTATAGGTAACCATAAATATTACGTAGAGATTCTTACAAAAATAAGAAAAAAATGAAATTCGAATTTGAAAACCTTGCAAGAATTGGAACTCATTTGTTCAACCGATGTTTCACTTTTGTCTAATCGTAACTTGCCTTGTTTCAGCGTGGAATGGGAATCTGCTTTCGAATATGGTTTGACTAGCAATTTGACGCTGCACTCGCTCTCGTTCCCCTCCAGCGGACCCGTGATTGCTCTCGCCTTGGGAATTCTGCACGGTTTCGGGTTAGTACATATTTCCATGTGCTAATTTTACATTTGGGCTCTGTGGGTTTTTGCGAAATTTACGAGACTTTGCAAAACTTGGGCTGCAAAAAGGGATTTTTTTTCTCAAAATTTATCCAGTAATGGGTATGTTTTATTTCATAAAGTTATTTCGCAAACTCGTCACAAGCGATGGAAATTGCACATCATCCACTAGACGACGTCACACACTTTGCGAAATTTGCGAAATCATATTTACGAATACCCGAAACGACAAGAACTCTGTTGAGCTTGGCAAATTTACTACATAAGACTATTTCATTGAAAACCTCTATACCCAAAATTTCGTGATGTTTTCCGTTAGCAAATTTACTTATTTATTTATTTCGATGAAAATTAATATTTCCTCTTCCTTAACACAGAAAGCGCCATTCAGCCGACCTTGTTGACCCAGTCGAAAGAGGACTCGATGAACACCAGTTGGCCGAAGTGCTCAAGTTTGCAAATGCTCACAGATCCCTTATCGCAGATCCAGACTACACCGACATGTCCGAGGTGAGAGAGCACAGTGCTCAGTCAGTTTATGAAATAACTTTGCCTCCACCGGACCCAAATGGCACATTATTATTTACATATCTCGTCCAATTCATGTCCCAAAATCTGATTGAATTTTCCTTTCCGGAAAAATTAAGCCAAAAATTCAAAAAAGATTGAAATGGGACGAAATTAACTTCTCCTTGTCTAGTTTTTCACCCACTTTCACCACTGGTAAACGTGCTATGAAAGTCATGAAGTTATGCTGATTCTCAGCGTGTACTGTAAAAAAATACCTGCAAGAAATTGTTGCTTTTGCAGGCATAATTTCTTGCAGGAGTGCAAGAAATGCGGACAATCCAGATAATTAAAGGGTGAACCGCTAGTTTGCACATATTTCTTGCATTTCTTGCAATTTCTTACACTGCAAGTGCAAAAATGTGGAAAAAGTGCAACCAATCAAACACTGCTGATTCTCCTTTCTTTCCTTGTATATAGATCATGGACCAATTATTATCCGTCGATTACGCTAACGAACTCCGCGCCATGATCGACCCCTACAAGACGTTCGACGATCCGAAGCATTATGGAGCCGTGTACTCCCTAATTCCGGATAAAGGAACGTCTCAAATTTCCATCCTGGGAACACAAGGGGATGCCGTGTCCGTCACGACGTCAATAAATCTCGGGTACCTGGGGATGTGTAAAATTCATGCAAACTTTGTTCTTTCAATATTATTTTATCCACTCTCAGATTCGGAGCAGGATTTATGGGCGACAAAACTGGGATAATTTACAACAACGTGATGCGTGATTTTTCCATTGGAAATACCACCGATGTTTACGGACTCGCTCCCAATCAGCTTAATGAAGTTGAGCCAGGTGAAATGAATGAGAGAAGAACAAAAAATCATTTTTTTTCATATTTTTAATTAAAAAATCGAAATTTTTCAGGAAAAAGACCGGCATCCTCGATGGCTCCCTTAATTGTGGTGAATGATCAAGGTCTTCCCGTTCTGGCGACGGGAGCCTCGGGTGGAGTGCAAATTCTCAGTGCGCTCATTTCGGTAAGAACTAAATATATGCAAACGTACTTTCACTTTGACATCGAGAGACGAAATAGTTTATCCCAAGGAGAGTGAGGCAAAATGAGACTTCCCAGCGTCACATGAGTAGTGATTTTCTCAGTTTGCTCAGTTTAACACCCGTTCCAAATGCTCCAAAAATCAAAATGAAAGCAATTCGTACAGAAAGATTAGGAGTGACCGCGGAAGCGTGGGGGCAGAGAGACAATGTCCCCACGGTTATTCGACATTCCCATCGTCTGCTCATGTTATAAAAAACTCCTTCCTTCACTATCCTACAATGTTAATGTTCCCAGAAGTCCCCACGACTTCCCCGGCCACTGGAAGTCGTTAGATGGTTATACATGTGGTTAGATTATGTCCACGTGTATAAAATTTGCACATTTTTTGTTGCATAAGGTCAATATTAATTTCGTCCCACACCGTGAAATTCATACATGCGAATTTTACCCATGCAAAACTTATGCACAAAATTTTCCTCCTTTTTCACAGACCTCTTGGCGTTCTCTGTATCGCTACCTGGACATCAAGTCGGCCATCGACTACCCCCGTTTCATGCCCTCCTTCCACCCAACCCAAGTCTTCTACGAGTACGGCCTCCCCCTCCCCGTCGTCGCGGAGATGAAGCGACGCGGCCACAAAATGACGCGTCTCGACACTGTCGCCGACATTGCCGTCGAAACGATCGGAAACGTCAACTCGGTTTGTCGCGTGAAGCACAACGAGATGCTTTTAGCCAATGCGGACGCTCGGAAAAATGGAGAATCTGCAGGATTTTAAATTCTTCCTTTCTTTTTAAATTTCCCAGTTAATTAATTTTAACCCAACGAACACTTAACTAATTTTTCCGACCAGAAATGAATGGTCGGGAATAATGATGAAAGTAAATAAATAAAGACGCGAACGTGTGATTGTGATAGAAAGAATTTGGTCTGTCTCAGTTTTATTCATTTTTTGTCGCTTAATTAATTAATACCCCGCAATTGCGCCACCCTTGCGGAAGTCAGAATTGGCAAAGAGTGTCCCGTTTTCTGTCCTCGTGACCCCCACGACGATCGAGGAGCCCGGATCCATGCTGACCGAGGTGTGATTCTTTGCACGGAATTCAGCCACGTATTCCTAAAAGAGGAATAAGTTAGAGGGATGATAAAATTCGAAATTTGTGCGAATTCACAGAAGTACCAGGATCGAGGTGAAAGACAATCGCAATCTTGGGTTTCATTGTTTACGAGAATTTTCCCCAGGACAGGTGGAAAAATGGGAAAAAAGGTTTTACCGTGGGAAACATGGGTAAAAGTTGATAATTGGTTGTTAATAATAATCAAAACGTGGCGAATGGATATGATAACGACATTTTTACCATTTCTACTACATTTGACTAGTGGGAAAAAGTGGGAAAATCACACTTTTTCCCACTTTCCTGGTAAATTTGCTAATCTTTACATACATTCAAAGTCATCTCTGGTTTATCTAACCTGTGGGAAAGTGGACTCATACTTGAGCTCCATCGGGTACAGTTGGTGGTGAAGGCGAGGAGCATCAATCGCCTCTTTGATGGTCTGACCCAACCAAATGTTCCTCATCGTCGCCTGAGTGCGAAGGAGGCGGAAATTTTACTACTTTCCCGGAATTTTATTTCTATTTTATTTTATTTTACGTAAGCGATCGATGTCGTGATCTGTGTCCCACCAGCGGCTCCAATCACCAAGCGGGCCCTTCCCGTCGGGTCCACGAATATCGAGGGGGCCATCGACGAGACGGGTCGTTTTCCTGAACAATTACACTTTTTAAGTTGCATTTTGTGTCACAATTTTGGTGGATTAGCAAAAAAATTAACTTTTTTGCACCCCTTAGATTTTTGCACACCTGGCATAATGAAGTTATTCGGAGAGGGAGGAACCCCGAAAGAATTTGTGATATTTGGAGCAGAGAAGTCGTCCCTGTAGAATCGGAAATAATTAAAATTACGATTTAAACTATTTTCCTCAACTTTCACTTTCCATACATTTCGTCATTGTAAATAATTCCTGTCCTTCTCGACCGAATGGCTGCCCCAAAACTGATAAAAAACAGGAAAATTGATCCAAATTATTAAAAATTATGCTCACTTAAAGACCTTACTGAAGATTAACGGTGCTCGTGACCGCGATCGCGTCCCCGTTCGCTCCAACGATTGAGAGATGTGAAGTTCCATGGTTTTCAGGCATGTAAAATTCCGCCCCGTAATATTCGTACGTGTTGTTCGTTATGTGGTCGAGAATTAAGGAACGGATTTCATTAATGTAGTCGATCGAGGTCAGATTTCTGATGAGCTGACGATATAAGAATGATAAGTGCTTATCACTCTAGTAATTGACTAGTCTCCCATTTCTGTCACTCACCCCTTCGACCTGCTCGACCTGATCAGGGTCACCCACGGTCGGGTCGGGGTCTCCCAAGAAAGTCCGCATCGCATAGGCATGCTTCATCGCCTCCACGAATCTGTGGTAGGTTAAGGTCGAGAGCTCGAAATCGGTCAGAACGTCGGGCGTCAGGTCGAAACCGTCCATGAGTTTGAGGATGAAGGAGAGAATGAGGCCGGAGCCGGGTGGGGGTGTGGTGAAGTGGGTGTACCCGTTCGACAGCGAGGTCATGAGAGGGTCAGACCAACTCGTCCTGGATAATATATCAGAGTTTATTTCAGATCCAAAATTTTGGGTAAATTTTGTGACTACGCTTAGGTGGAAGAAATTATGGTAAGAAGGTCTTACTAAGAACTTGTTTTTTACAAGCATAATTTCTTGCATGAGTGCAAGAAATGCAATAAATCGGCGTCGTTTAGCGGACAATCCTTATAATTATTTTATAAAGCACAAAGCGTGGGCTGCTATGTGAATATCCGCCTATTTCTTGTGTTTATTGCAATATCAACGTATGTAGAAACAAGTTCAAAGATAGGCTACATCGGTCACCAAGCTGACCTGTGGGGGTCGTATTGGAGCAAAGTGTAACCATAGTGAATGAAACCTTAGAGAATGCGACACGTACCAATTTTTACAATATACAGAGGGTGGGCCATTTAATTTGAGAAGAGTTCAACAATTTTTCATACCTACATATGAATTTTTTTCGGACAATTAACTTGCTCGATGTGATGCCCCTTGTTCTGAACTACAAGTATGCAATGCTGTTTCCTTGATGAAAACATTTCCAGACACTTTTCAAGGCTTATTTTTAACCACTTGTCCTTAAAAGTTTTCCAAAGTCCATGTAAAGTCGTATCTAACTATTACATTTTCTCCACGATGAATGAACCTAACCATAGCAAATTGACCTTGTCCCGTTACAGTCATCCCTTAACTAGGCTTCGTCGATTGTGACCACACATTCGTCCCTACCTCCAGTAAGGTGGTTCTGGTACAGCTTTTTGGCGTAAAAACTTGCGATAAGCGATGTGATTCTCGTTCAACGCATGCAATTTTGTTTTATTTCGTTTGATTTTGTCAAAATATCTTCTAATGACTCTTCGAATAGTTGTGGGATTAGATTTTAATAGTGTCGCCATACTGCGCCTTAGGATTTCCTGGTTGATAAAACGGTTGAGCTTCGTTTTTCACTTATTCAACCGTTCTGGTAGGGGGAGGTTTTTAGGGGAGGATACAGTCGTGGATTAAGTGCTTGTGTTCTAACACCTTCTATACTTAGTATTCTATAAATTAAGGCCAAAGAACTTTCATGTCCACGTGGATTATGCCTTTTTTATCACATTTCCAGTGAAATTTTGACTGGAAAACTCTTTCACAGTACCTCCACTGAAAATGGTCAGGGCGGAGCCATTTTTCAGAATTTCGAGTAGAAAAAAATCAGGGCTTTACTTAGTTAGTATGTCTATCAAATAATGTAGACCGGGTTTGTTCAAGTTGTTCCAGTTTTTTCGCGCGAGCGTTTGAATCCTTCTCAAATTAAATGGCCCACCCTGTATTACTTTCATGTGAAATTTGGTACGGAGGTTAAAAATGAAGTCTGCACTGTACAAATTTAGTTTGTAATTTTTAAAACTTATAAAATTGTTGCAAATTCTAAAAAAAGTACCAAATTCCCCTTATTTTTAATATTTAAAAATTACCCGGTACCCGGGTAGCCGGGTACCCGGCAAAAAGTTTAGGCCGAGTACCGGGTAGTACCACTACCCGGGGCAACCCTAGTTAGCGGCCACCTTTTTTTAAAAAATTATGCCCTTCAATCTGTAAAACTATCTGTACATGCACGACTTACAGGACAGTGACATATCTAGAACTCTGGATAGAATAAAGCAAGTTATAAATTTGTAGGGCGTGTTTTGGGGATAAGGCGATAAACAGTAAACTAAAATAATGAAAATAATACAATCTGTAAAAAATATATTTTTATAAAGAGTAAGATTTATGTACCAACTTTGAACACATTAATTTATTGAACATACAAAAAATTTATCAATAAACACACCCACATATTTACGTAGACCTCACAAAGTCATAAATTTTTATAAAGGGATGATCCATACAAACGTAAATCCATAGTTTCGTAGATTCTGAGCAGAAAATCAAATTCACATTACAAAACTTGTCGATCCCCCTTCAAATATCGACAATATCGTAAACTTTGGCGTGGCCAATCTGTTTGACGCCATAAAATCCGATATGGTTTTCATCGATTCTTCGCCCAACTGGAAACAGAATCAATCGAATTAAATCATATTTACTAACAAAATTAATCAATATGAATCAAGTAATTAAATCATATGTAGTAAAACATCTCACGGGAAGATTGTAAATGATAACCTCATCCATTCTATTCATCGCCAAGAGCAATTGTTTAAACAGATTCATCTCCTCCGTTGTCAGCTCGTGTCTCGTAAAATTGTTTTTCAATTTAAAAATTCCAGTTTCAAACATTTTAAGGTCTGAAAAAGTTATTCAAAAGTTTACATGCAAATTAGTTAAAATGTGTGCAGAAACTTTCTCACAATTGGATGCTTTACACTTGCCTTTATACAATTCTTTACCCTCCAACAGAGCCCGGATCACATCAATTATTGTGTTTGGAAACACGGGCAACCTCAAAAGCAAGCTTTTCAAACCCTCCCATCGTCCAAACGCGTCGAGTACCACGCCCAACTCCATCTGACTCACGTTTCCGCGGAAATCCGTCTTGCAAAACGTTTTCACATCCAAGCTCTCCAGGTTGGGAAAGGCTGTCTTCAATCCATCCAAAAGTGTGGGATCATGCATCTCGAGAATCTTCAAGTTCTTCATGCTTCCGAAAATCTTGTTCAAGTGAAAAATGTTGCGCAAAATTTCATCCACACAGTTCGACTTTTTCGACACCTTTCCAATTACCAACGTTTCCAGGCCGGGCAAACTTTCGATATTCCGGAAGAGATCGTCGCACTGAAAAATGTCGGCCATCTGGTTCCAAAACTTTTGTAATTTCAACATCCTTCTTTTCGGAAAGCGAAATCCCGTTGGATTCGAGTTTTCAAAATCTATCATGCGTACTTCTTCCTTTCTAAGGACATCACGGAAACTCAGGCTGACCAGTTGGTCACCGACTTGATCCAACATTCGCGAGAGTTCCGAAAGGTTGCCGTCCGCTTGGGCGATATCAATTGCTCGAGTTCTATCCAATGCGATCATTAAGGTCTCCAGACGCTTAGAGTTCGCAAAATCTGGACAGAATCCCCACGGAAGAGTGACATCCATCAGGTTCGGTGATGCAGTGACAACCACCTGAATCAGACTGGTGAGAAATGGGGTCACCTGATTAGAACTGACGGTTAACAGAGTCAAATTTGTCTTTGGTTCCAACAGTGATTCCGGCAAAATTTCGCACCCACGACTCCTTGACGTCTTATATGGGTTGACAGTAATTCCAATTCGTAACTGTTTTAAATTCGGGCAGCAATGTTTCAAAACTTGATAGACTGTCTTTAGACATTCTTCGTAGTCGATCGAAATCTCCAAAATTTGTACGACGTCGCTAAACTTGTCACAAGTGTGCATCAGTGTGGTAGCGAAGGCGTCAATGCATCGGGTGGGGTCGGCCAAATCCGTGGAACATGTGGCGCTGATCCGTTTCGCCAGTCGATCGTTAAATGTGAAACATGTCGGGAAAAAGGGAAACGGATCGTTTAAAATATGTCTGCTTTTGTCCTTCTTCACCGGCCGTAAGGCGAGTCTCGTATTTAGGAGATTTAGGACCATATCGTTCCAATAGTGACAAACTAGTCGACAATCTTTTAACGGGGTGGAGCTCTGTTGAAATATTTCTGTTAGAATCTGGAAGTTTGCAAAGCAAAACAATGATTTGGACTTTTCAAATTCATACTTTAAATAGTTATAAAATTATTTTACAAACCATCGGATTATTTAGTGCGACCTCCATTGCGGTTCGTTCCCCTCGAGATTCCATTTCACAAAATTTTCCTATTTTGAAAATTGAAGTATTTAGGAAAGTAACCTTAGGATTTTGCAAATTATAAATTTAAGTATGTGTCCGAATATTTTACGTACTGCGACTTACCAGTGTTTGAAGTTGATCCGTGCTCGGATTTGGAGAATGACAATTAATTGATACGCGTAATATTTAGTATTTGTAGGTTTATTAGTTTATTTTTAATTAATATTCAAATGTTTTTCTGCTCGAGAGCAAATGTCGTCGTCTCTAAACTGAATCAAATCGCTTCCAATTTACCGCGTTGTCTTCACTTTATGACAACTCGTTGGGACATGTATATGAAAAATAGGAGATACGAATCTTATCATAAGATGGCTTTTGTAAAATTCATTCCAAAGATTTGCATGGTGGTGGTGGGGGTGGTTCTTATAATTGATTAATTAATGGTGATTCTTATAATAATTTTTGCACAATTATAAAGGTAATATTTTACAAAATAAAAATCTATATATAAGTTTAGCCTAGTGGTTTTTATTACTTCAATACTTAAAAAATTGTTTGAACATTTTAAATTTTACCTAGTCTACGGTGTTACAAAAGCCTGCATGAATTGCCTTAGTATGCATTGCCTTATTGCCTATCTTATGTGCATTTGTATACTCGTTTGATGCTAAGCCAACTCTCATGCACTTATATCTTTTTGTGTCATAGTTTTTAAACCAGTTTTTTAAACTGATAACTATTAACACGTGAATAAAGGTTTAAATCAAATCAAATCAATTAAATCAAATCATGTGTCTCTAAATAACACAACCTGAAATATAATATTTGTATAAGGAGTAAGGTTTATTTATCAACTTTGAACATATAAAAAATGCTTCGATAAGCACATTTACGGAAACCTTATAAATTTTGGTGTAAAAGGGTAATTCATAAAAAAACAATAATGGCCTCCTTTCGTCGAATGAACACAAAATCAAATTCTTATAATAGCTAATCCATCCCAGGACACATCGATCGCCCTAAAAATATCTTAAATTTTGACACGACCAATTCGTTTGACACCATAAAAGCCGATATAGTTTTCAACGATTCGTCGCCCAACTGGAAACAAAATCAATCGAATTAAATCCTATTTATTTACAAAATTAATCAATAGCAAGCAGTTATCTAAATCATATGCAATAAAGTTTACTCACGGAAAGATTGAAAATTTTGACATTGTCCATTCTATCCATCGCCAAGAGCAGTTGTTTAAACAGATCCATCTCCTCTATTGTCAGCTCATGGCTCACCAAATCCCATGTATAAAGTTCAGCTTCAAACGTTTTAAGCACTGAAAAAGTTGTAATTAAATATGGAAATTAGTGAAAATATGTGCAGAAATTTTCGCAATTTTGATTCTATACACTCGCCTTTATACAATTCTTTACCCTCCAACAAAGCCCGAATTGCATTAATCATTTCCGCTTGATCCGATGGCACCCACAAACGTAAACGTTTCAATCCCTCCCATCGTCCTAACGCGGTGAGCGCAACGCCTAACTCCATCCGAATCTCGAACCCTTGGTAATCCGTCCTGCAAAACGTCTTCACCTCCAAGCTCGCCAAGTTGGGAAAAGACGTCTTCAGTCTCTCCAAAAGTGTGGGATCATTCATCTCGAGAATCGTTAAGTTCTTCACGCTTAAGAAAATCTTGTCAGTGTGAAAAATACTCCGAAAAATTTCATCCACACAGTTGGACCTTTTCGACGTCTTTCCAATTACCAAGGTTTCTAGGACGGGCAGACTTTCGATATTCCGCAGGAGATCTCTGCACTGAAAAATGTCGACCATCTCGTTCCGGAAGTTTCGTAATTTCGACATACTTTTCGGGAAGCGGAATTCGGTTAGTTTCGAGTTGTCGAAATCGTTCATGTCTATTCCTTCCTTTCTACGGGGGTCACAAAAAGTCAGGCTGACCAGTTGGTCACCGACTTGAGCCAACATTCGCAAGAGTACTGAAAGCTTGTCGTCCTCCAGAGTGATATCAATTGCTCGAGTGCGGTCCAATTCTATCATTAAGGTGTCGAGATGCTTAGAATTTGCAAAATTTGGACACAATTCCCACGGAAGAGTGACATTCCTCAAGTTCGGCGAGGCAGCGACAATCACCTCAATCAGACTGGAGAGAAATGGGCTGATCTGATTCGAACTGACTGCCAACGAGATCAAATTTGATTTTGGTTCAGGCAACGATTCCGGCAGAATTTCGGACCCGACCAACAGATTCCTCCACCTCGTAGCTAGGGTAGCAGTAATTCGCAACTGTTTCAAATTCGGACAGAAATTTTTCAAAACCTGATAGACCGTCTTTAGACATTCTTCGTAGTCGATGGAAATCTCCAAAATTTGGACGATGTCGATAAATTTGTCACAAATGTATATTAGTTTAGTGACGAAGGAGTCAATGCATCGGGTGGGGTCGCTCAAAGAGGTGGAACATGTGGCGCTGATCCGTTTGGCCAGTCGGTCGTCCAATGTGATGCATGCGACGAAAAATGGAAACGGGTCGTTCAAAACGTATCTCCTTTTGTCCTTCTTCACTGGCCGTAAGGCGAGTCTCGTATCTGGGAGAGTGAGGACCATATCGTTCCAAAAGTGACAAACTAGTCGACAATCTTTTAACGGGGCAGAGCTCTGTTGCAATATTTCTGTTAAAATCTGAAAGTTTGCAAAATATGTATATTACTTTTTAAATTCATAATTGCCAAAATTATTATACAATTATTTGGCAAACCATCGGATTAGTTAGTGCGATCTCTACAGCGGTTTGTTTCCCTTGAGATTCCATGTCACGAATTTTCCTATTTTAAAAATTAAAATATTTATGAAATACTGATAAACATTCGGATTTTGAAAATTAGAAATTAAAGTACCCGAATATTTTATGGCGACTTATTAATGTTTGAAGTTAATGTGTTCCGGTTTGAGTAATGTCAATTAATTTATAGAAGGCAAAAGCAATTAGCAAAGTGTTTAGTATTTATTCGTAGTTTCTTTTTAATTAATATTCAAAAATGTTTCTTTTCCAGAGCAGATGTGTGCTGACGAGCCGAATATGCGATGGCTTCCAATTTGCCGCGTCGTCTTCACTTAATGACTATTCCTTTAGGACTGTAGGACTAAACGACTGTAAACGAGTCGCCGCGGCATTAACAAAATCTTTGCATTGTTAAGGCTCTACTTCATTTTCATAGAGCGTTTAGTCTCACTCAACCCTTGCTCAATGTCTTTAAATGTAATTTCTAAAATGGCATCAACTTCATGAGTGTTGAGATAAATGGGACTTTTGAAATTTTAATGTAAAGATAATTTTTGGTACTACAAAACCTTGGTGTTTTCAAAAATTAGAAAATTCATTTTTGAAGAAATTTGGTGTGCAAAAATAGCAAATGAATTTTGTATTTTTTGAAAACACCAAGGTTTTGTAGTACCAAAAATTAGCTTTACATTAAAATATGTGTTACTTAAATACACAAAATTTTGTGTTGCTTTCAAAATTCCTAATAACTAAAATGCTCATCCAGCTACAACATGCATTGTACTATTAGGCATGTAATATTCGAAATTTCAATTTCGAATCAAATTCTTTGCATTTTCTGGAAAAATTTCTTATGGAGTTGGAAAGATATGTTTATAACTATGAGGTATAACTAAACAATACACTAAAAACCCATAATAAATACGCTAATTCCATCGTGGAAAACTAATACGGAAATTGCAATTATTTTGCAAAACTCAAAATGTTGGAAAACTGGGGTCGGAAATCAAGGCAGCGGCCAAATTCTAGTCCAAAATAATTTTCAAAATTATTTCGAGTCATACTAAAGCAAAGGTTTAGTCAAAACTTGAATATCTCAAAATTGGCAAAAGAAATTGGCACATTTTGGATTGTATCGCGAAAACTGCTGGCGGGCCCCCCCCCCATTTTGCGAATTCTTGATGTACACATAATTACGCAACTTTTAAGCTATCAAACTCGAAAATCGTTGGAAGATGAAAAAAACACTATCTCATTGTATATATCTATCTTAAACATGCAAGAAATTGAACTAGTTTTTGTGCAAGGTAAAATCAAAATTTGATCACAATTCTTGACCAAATTTATAAAAAATTAACCTTCATCCAAATCGGAGGAGACTTTGACAAAATTGTAGAAAATTTTCCACCAAAAACTTCCCCAGTTTTTTAAATTCCGACTCACGTATAACTCAGCATATCCTGATACGTCATAATTCCCCCCAGATCTCTCAAGTCGTCGACAAAATTGCGCATGAGGAGCGTATCCATGTAGAGAAGGTTGCCCCCGTCGACATCGCCCGCGATGGCGGCTAGCGTCCTCGCCAGCGCGGGTCTCCTCATCCTGTCCCCTTCCCGCCACACCTCTCCCGTCGCGTTATTAATGAAAATCTCCGCCATGCTGGGCGTCGTCTTGATGCGTTCGGATTGGCCGGCGAGAGCGTTGGCGGCGTGGCGGGAAACATTGAAACCTTGCTCGCACAAGGTGATGGTGGGTTGGACGAGTCGTGACCAGGGGACGCCACCCCCGTGACGTTGATACATTTCCCAGTAACCTTTCAATTCTCCGGGAACAGCGACGGCCAGCGGGCCACGTGCCGATATGTTAGGATTCCCTTCAAACATGTCCTCGAAGGCGAGGAGGGGTGCCTTTTCTCGAGCTGTGAGAGCCTATGGGTTGTCCAAATAGAGGAGAATTTTTAAGATTTGGTCAGGCAGGAATAAGTTGGAAATTTGCTGAAATTTTGGGGCAAGATAAAGACAAAACTTGATCTCGGGGTATTTTAACCTTAAAGTGGTCTTTGGTCACGTGTTTGATTTGCCATGGTCATTTTTCTCTCTACATGATCAATGTCTTTAAAAAGAAAATTTCTAAATTGAAATTTCATGAGTTTTGAGATAAATGCAACTTTTGATAGTTAAACCTAAAGTTAATTTTTGGTGCTGCAAAACTATTTTTTTTAACAACTTGTTGCCAGTTAACCCCAAATTTGGCGTAACGAAAGCCGTACTCCATACTTTTTCCATATGAATAATAACATTATAAGTATTTAGTAGGGTCCACTCACCACGGAGGTTCTCGTCGTGGCGTTGTACAAAACCATGAGAAAGCCCCCACCCACGCCCATGCTTTGCGTTTGGATTACGCCCATGCAAAGGAGGGTCGCAATCCCGGCGTCCACCACGGTTCCTCCCTCAAGTAGGACGTCCCTTAAAGAAAACAAGTGATAAACATCGTTAATCATGGCCATCGATGAGCTCCCATTTGCGCCACATGTTAATAAACCACATATTTACATACTTCCCAATGTCGGCACAGACTGGCGCATCGCAACTCACAGCCGCTCTGTCGTACTGTCCCATCGGCGAGGGTGAAGGTTCTGGGAAAACAGGAAGTTGTCGACTCCTCTCTGGATCGTACGTCTGCCAGACCACGATACCTGCCGTAATCGTGGCCAAGGCAATCCCGAGAGTCGCAAAGAGCACGACTTTCCGATGGGCGCTGTGTAATCATTTTTTTAATCAAAAATTCGCTTAAAAAAATAGCGACCCGATTTCTGCTCAACAATTAAGTAACGAAGACGACGACGAAAAGGCCAATTATTATAATGATGCGGCACAAAGAAAGAAACGGGACTATAAATAATTAGCATACTCGAGTCGGTTCGGTGGCCTAGAATATATTTCCATTCTTTTGCATGCGTATATATTTCCGTACCGATCAGAATATCAATCATCTCGAGGCATACGAGATGTCTGTGCCTGCCTCGTGTTCGCATCGAATATTTCGGGAATCGACCCACCAAAAGTTGTCGTTAATTGGCTCAAAATAAGTGAAACTAGTAATAATAATATGTGTCCAACTATTTAGTCAGGAATTGTGGACAAAATATATTGATATTTATTTACAACAGAATTCTAAAATTTGCACCTTTTTTCCAGAAATATATTTCTTTAACTTTGACCTTCACGATTTCCAAGTAATTAAAAACATTAAGACGAGTGAAACCCAATTCACTCTTTAATTATCGACTGCCTGACCCTGGAACATTTTCATTGACGACGTGCAAAATTTAAGTATGCATTTCGGCCATGAAACCAAAAGTGTTTCGCAATTAATGGGACTGTGTGTTACGAATGCGAGGATATCGTTAAGTTGACGCTGGTCGAGTCAGGAAATAATCGATACGTTATCAATTTCCTTATTGCGGCGAGACAGCGACCTTTTCCCACGAAATGGGAATAAATAGGACACAATTGTTCGGAGAGGTTAAGATACATACGTGCGTGTACATTGGCTGCCTTGCAATACAGGGAAAAATTAATATTTAATTCCTTCTGGGATAATAATAGGTCGTCTTTCGCCTATTTTTGGGCGGAGGTAATGTGACTTGCAAAATATCAGGTAGCGAAATGATGACTAATGCAATTATGTGTGTACATTTGCATGGGCGAAGAAACGCAAGGATCGTATTTCGCCAAGGGGGCAGTACGGGAAGGATGCGATCTGTATTTTTTAGCCCCCCATTTCTTAAACCTGGTCGAAATTATGATTGTGTAAAATCGATAAAATGCTATTCTATTCTCGGGACGATAAATGAGGTAAAGTTCACTCAAGTTTAGATCGGAATAGGTTTCGTATTTATTTTGAGAGAAAGTAAATACGCGTGATGAAATGAAAGTGTGCCAAAAATGGATCAATCTAATTTTGCACATATTTCCACAATTGGGGCCGTTATTAATAATAATGTGTATGTAACAAATGAGGCATGAATATTATTTACTTAAATCACCACTTTAAAATTAGATATTTCGAAATATTTGTCAAAATTTTGGAACGATTTTAGAAAGTTCGACTTGGTTTCTAATAATGGAAGACTTCCATCGTAGATTTTGACCAAACTAGAGTCAATCGATCACAAGTTTAATTCGTATGAAATTTGCAAAAGACACTGTCTCAAGATACGTAAGTTTGGCAGATATGTTTGCATCCGAAGAGGAGAAAGCAGTAAAGTCGAATTTTATATTTTCCAAATTTACTACGCGTTTTGTTGTATTTTCTTCGCATGCAAATATATCTGCCGAACATGCTTATCGAGAGTTTTTTTTGCAAATTTCATATGAATTAAACTTGTGATAGATTGACACTACTTTGGTCAAAATCGGTTAGCATACGCTGGGAGACCTCTATTATAAATCATGAACTATCCTTCGAGAATATTTTGTCTTTTGAAAAACTACATAATAAAAGCTGATAAAAAACATTCAGATTATTTGCATCTTTTTACAATTTGTTTCCTACATGGGTTCACTTATAATCATTACTAAATACTTCCAAAAACCAAGTCAATCACACACTTCCACTCCAAATATGCATATCGTCCCAATTAACATAATAACAACTAATAAATCACTCAACCCAAAACAACATTAGTAACAACTTACGTTTGAGCAACCATGATGATTTCTCACTTCACAAAATTTGACTATTTTGCTCTGTAACGCAACACAAACAACAAAAAATTGACAAACTACCGTGAACCGACTAAATTCGTGCCTTCTTCTCAATCACGAATTATTACTTCGAATGACGAGACAATTTTTTAGACAACAATTAGTAGTCGCTACACGCAGCAAGGTCAACTAATTGGGCATGTTCGGTTGAGTAAATTTCACTCGGGAGATTGTTCAACTTTTAAATATTTATCACATATCTTATCTAAATTCCAATCCGAGATAACTTAATGCTCAATTAACTATATAACGAACTTAATAATCGATTAACTATATAACTAAATAAATGATCAATTAAAATTTATTGTGTAACTGAACAGGTGGATTATTTTTTAGTGAAAAAATGCGAATTCTGAGAAGAGTAAAATTAGAATATATGAATATTCAAAGTTCTTTTTTGTTGGTGTATAAGAAGAAATTTTGTGTCGATTTTTTAATTAGTTTTGTAATAAGGAGGGTTAAATTGAACTCGGTTTTATTCATTCAGCGCACGTGTTACTTAATCAAACGTGTGCATTTAGATAATCTCACCTGAATGTAAACCATGAATTTTACAGGAAAATCCATGATAGCGAGCGTGCACAAAGAGCGTTCCCCAAATTTTTTATGTATCATGTCATTGTTGTGGTTGACCTCTGACCCTGGTAAAAAGAGGGCACATTCTGTCTGTCCGACCCCTACATATTTACATCAGGTTCAATCAGTGCATAATTTTTATGAAAAAAAACATTTCTTTGAACTACTGCTGAGTAAATACATATGGCATGAATTTACTTACAACACCACCACTGCGGAGTAAGTATCATGTTTTTAGCTGGATTTTTGCACATGCACGTCTCATTTTGCCTCAAATACAATTGATCCTCACAAAAATAATAGTAAAACGCAATAAATCGCGAAATATGTTTCTTCCGAATTATTTGATCAGCCCCCCTACGTCATTATGCATCTCCTCCTGTGCACGTATGACCTTTAACCTTATGACCTTTGATTCACTAAAGGAAGAAGAAATGCAACTATAGCAAGCAACAAGTCGCATGAAATAAATTAACCCACGGAGCAGGCATTTCTTTATTGAAGATCCTGTCCCTCTGCACGGACACATCTTGGCGAAAGTGAGATGATGAGCTGAGCAGCGATTCGCCCAAGTAGAAAGAAATCCCCGTGCAGAAAGGCTATGGTTATTACGTCCTCCTCACAATAAATAAACTGGGGTCAAGTGAGACCACATCCTTTCTAAGTGATCCCCCAGCATCACATCAATTTCGCGAGTCGCAGTGCAAATGTCAACAGGGCAGAAATTGCTGTAATGTGGTTTTTACTTGGTCGCCTCACACCAAACTTTCCTCGTAGGTTTGCCCTTTTCCGAGCAAATGGTCATGTCGAAAGTTTGCCGAGAGAGAGTAAATCACGTGCACAAAAAGTGGCAACATCACCACCACAATCGGATAATAATCCAATAAGTACGATCACCGCATAAATAAATAAATAAATAACTCAAATCGGAAACTTTTCTCCCTTTCTCCGTTGCAAAAAAAATTCGAGTGGGAGAGTTTGTCTTTTTGCAAAAACAAGGATTTTCTTAATCATGTCGAAATGAGATCCGTCTCACTCCCGAGATTTCTCTGACAGGTTTCAAACAGGGTATTCCGACCTGGGTTTTAATGGGTTGGGTTTTATTGGGTTTTAATGGGTTTTAATGGGTTGTAAATGAATAAAACCCAGTGGGTTTTACCATGTTAAGTGGGTTTTATTTGGGTTTTAATGGGTTTTATTGGGTTTTAATTGAGTTTTACTTAAAAACTACATTCTAAAAGTTAAATACATCTCCTATACGTTAGAAGACGTTATCTCAATTCATTCTAAAGCAGTTTATTTCATTACTATTCTAATATATGAAAATTCGGAACAATTCAATAATTGACTCCATCCTTTAGCATCACAGATTTCAAGTGTTATAAAACAAAATAATTTCCGAATAGATACAAATTCCTAATTATTTTTGTTAAGTTATTACTTAAAACTAATAAAACCCTATAAAACCCATTTAAACCCAATAAAACCCATTAAAACCCATTAAAACCCAAATAAAACCCAATTAACATGGTAAAACCCATTAAAACCCATGGGTTTTATAATTTTTGATTAAAACCCTGGGTTTTTCCGAACCCTGGTTTCAAATAACGGGAAAATTGTAATGGACCGGACTTTTCCAATAATAAAATAAAGATGATGACGGTTAAACCCGGCAGGAGGGAAGACGACGACGACGATGAATGTAAATGTCACGGGGTGAGTGTAAAGGGAAAGGAGGAGGGGGTCCAGTCAATACGGGTCGTGCGGGTGGGAAGTCAACCGGGTATTTCCGTTCCGGGGTCAATCTTTGGCATGGTGAAAGGTCATCGTGAAAGGGGGACACGTCCTCTGTGCAGGGCTCCTTCGTCGAGTGAGTCGTGATGTGGTTAGTTTTGTGTGTTTGTTGTTTCACGTTAATAACGGAACGATGAAGTTGTAACAATTTGTCTTTATTCGCTGTGTAAATTAATCCCTTTATCTCTCCGTCACAGTGCATAATGCCAGCCACACGGCCAGAGTTGCCCTTCTCATCGCACTCTTCTTCTTCACGATATGGATGTAGCAAAAGTGGGAGTGAGTGAAAGTCCAGGGTGCTCGGGAATTTGGAGGATGGAACATTTTACCCTGTTATAAAATATATTTTTATGTAAAATTCGTTATCTGTAAAATTTTTGAAATGATATCGATTCGATGAGCACGTGGTGTCTCAATTTTTAATTGATAACAGTATTTGAAAATGAAACAAGATTTTTCTGTGAAACCTCTGGATTTTATCAAAATTTCGTGTTTATTTCCGTACAACTTTCCCCAACCAAAAACACTAAAATTTTGTAAACAAAATAAACGTAACCAAGTTTGTAACCGAGTTTATTTCTAAGCTCAACTACGAATTTTTCACCCGTAAAACATTTTTCCCTGGTGAAAGCGCTACTTGCTTTTTGCGAAACCCTGTGGAAACGGAGCACTCTCTGGCACTCGTCCTGAAGTGAAAGTGAGTGCGGTCTGATGGAGCAACTAGTGGTGTTCTGCGGGTCCATAAGTGGAAGTAATGATGACGCCGAGGCTGCTGCTGCGACGGCGATGATGATGACAAACACTTTCCACCTCACTTCACTCCGCTGGTGAAAGTTACCTCCGCGACCTTTTCCTCATGTCCTGACATGTGCCGCACGCTTCTCCTCTGCACTATTGTCCTCCCAATTTCAGTCCCCGCGCAGACAGGGGACAATGTCCCCCTTATCTCCCCATGTTATAAATATCTATGAACCCTATCCTACAATGTTAATGTCCCCGATGCCTTCCGCGACCACTGCGCTGCTCCCAATAATATCAAGAAGAAGAACAATAAAGTAAATGTCGTACGAAAACGTCAGATGAGAAAATTGTTTTGTTTTTTTATTATTATTCACGTCGCTTTTGTTTATGTATTACATAGAAGAGAACAAATTTTACGAATATTTACTCCCACGTAATATTCATATACTTAACTTACATAAATACACTCGTACCTTAAAAGAGAAACAATGAGACGATAAGTATTTTATATTACACAGAGTTACATAAGTAAGGAATACATACATTTATTTTTTTAAAGTGTGGATGAGTTAAATATTGACAATGTGTTATATTATTATTTTACTCTACAAGTGATAACGGGGGGTCATGAGTGAGGGAGGAATTTTGTCTTCGCATGTCATCCATCTCGATGTCAGTTTCACAGAAAAATTACGAGGTCAAAGTGACGTCAGGTTCATCAGCGGTAAGCACATAAAAGATTTCGCCAATATTATTGCATGAAAATCTGCCAGTCGAAAATTGGTAAATTTTTCTGCAGACTAAACTCTTACAATTCTGGACAATTTTTCTGAAGAATTTTTATGAAGAATTATGCAGAAATTTCTGGAGCTCTGGTGAATTGTGCAGAAAAATTGAAAAATTTTCGACACGTTGTAAATTTTCATGCTTAAGTCACACACTATGTGTATAGAGATTCGATAAGGTAACATTTGTTATCATTATTAAGATAACCTATTAATTAATTAATAAGGTACACGATTACTCTAAATTTAATTTACGTTGCATCGAATACAGGTTTTGATTGATTGACTTATAGTTTTCATTTCGTTAATGGTAACAATTAGCAATATATTTTTGTGGACTGGACTGTTTTACAAGTATCTCAGGTATTGTAGTACATCACATTTTGCATTTTTTTTTCATCCCCTCACGACTTAGAATTTCATCACAAAAATAGAAGAATAAAATGACTGATTTAGTGATAGACACGTTTCCCCTGTGAAAATCGACCTCCGTTTTTTTTCGGTCCAGCAAAATCCTCCAGAACTCGGGAAAAAATTTACACTCTGCAGAAAAATTTGGGCAAAAAAATTGTGCAAAATTCTTCTGCAAAAAATATGCCAATTTTCGCATGGTAAATTTTCATAGGTTAGTACACATGCTTACATTTAGTTAAGATATTTAGGTGGAAATTTTATGAAATGCAGGTGGAATAAAAGATTTGGTTTCTTATACTTTACGGCAGAGGAAAAGGTGGCCAAGTGTAAAAATACTACCCTGTTGTGCCCTATCTATTTATGTATTTAAGTTAATATTTAGTCGTACATAAAGCAGGTGATCGATTTGATGACTATTTTGACCCCTGGTGTGACCTTTGTCCCTTGTTATAATTGATACAGGAAGGATATGATCCCTTGACCCCCCTAAATTACTTTACACAATTAATTATATCGTATCACGTGATTATCCTAATTAAATAAAAACTATATATAGATAGCTTTTGGTTCTTCTCTTTGTGCCGGTTACGTAACTACTTTGGCTTGTATAATTCGTGCAGATGGTAACTTTAAGCGATCCATGTTTCTTGCATAAGCAACACGAAAATAGGGTTTGATTTCCATTTCGCTTCAACTAAATGGAAATTGGGAGTTCGAATTACTTAAATTGTGACAGAAAATTGGATGTGGGTGAAATTGGAGCATGAATGAAAAGGTCAAGATTTACACAACTTTGTACAAGATAGAGATTCCTTATTTTTTCTTTCTTGTCCATAAAATTTACCAAGATTCTAAAATTCTATACAAAAAATGTGTAACTTATCTGTTAAAAATCTCCTTTAAAACTACCTTTTGAAAATTTTTGATTAAAAAATTGACACGTGCGGCATATATTTAGGGCTAAATTAATAAGCAAGTAAATTCACTGTGGAAATATTCTCCTCTTCAGGATTTCTGATTAGAGTGAAAGCAGAGTAGTAAAAAATGACTCGCCTTTTTCTCCCTAAAAACTGGAATGTTGGTTCGGAAGTCCAACAATTCGCTATGTATAAATAAGCGGTGGCAGTCCCCCTCGTTTCCAGTGGTAAATAGTAAATAGTAAATATGTAAATCACTCATCTTGTCCTGATTTAACTTTAATACATAAATCTTAAATTTCTAAATAAATATGTACGTACTCCACACGTGCTCATCCATAATCACACAGCAGACACGCGACAAGTTAAAGCCGGATTCAGAATCATTGAATATGCATTCAGATCGAATCTTCGTCCGCAATGTGAAAATGAAAATGCTAAATCCTCCCCCCCAGTTATGGGGGCAGGCAAGGTGTCATTGACTGGAGGGAGCGGTACAACCACCACCAAAATCATGGATTTAACGATTCTGAACCTGCCTTTAACCAGTTTTTTTTAATCCTGGGAAATTTGAAACGAACTTGATTACTAAATATTTCTTAACTGAACACACGTCAAACACTGAGTAGAAGAAGGACAAGAACGGACCATTTGTCAATATATCACAAGTTTTTTTTGTGGTGGTGGTGGGGAATTTTGATTTTTTTACAGTCTTTGTTCCGCCGCTGGAGACGGAAGTTGCGAGCACAAGGAGCTCGAACTGTCCTTTAACCGGATCTCGTGCGTAATTACGATCGTCGGACTTCTATTCGGGCGTCGCATCCCGCTCCAAAATTCTTGCATGTCCACCTGCGACGGCAAATGGAGGAACGACCTGACCTTCCGCTTCCCCCCGTTCAACTGGTTGCCGAGCGTGCCGGCGTGGTGGTGGTGATGGTTGCCGAGGTGGCCGTGCGAGGGGGAGATGCTCATCGCCAAAGGGAAGGGGGGCGGGCGCAGGTCGTTCGTCGACTGGCGACGTTGCGGCGTCATTGTTGGGGAAGAGTTGGGCGACGGGGAAGAGGATCTGTGGACGAACCACTTTTAAACAAGGTGATACACATTCAGGTTTCCGCGTGGGGTGGATACAGATAAATTGTTGATGGATATGTAGGTATGCATTATGCAAATGAGGGTTTTGAAGCGAAACCTTACTTACCGGAAGCTCTTCAGTCTGGACCCGGAAAGTCGGGGCGATCCGTCCACGGGAGAACTGGAAAAAATGGGGATAAAATTATGAGAGTATTCACGCCAAGTTTTGTAACTTTGTGCACTAGTGTTGCTCACGAATCTGGATTTCGGACTCATCCAGAGTCGAAAAACAAATATGTTGAATTGGTCAAAATAATGGGAGTAATATTTATAAAATAATTGGGATTTGAGTCCAAAATTCAAAAATTGAAATTGATTGAAAACTCAAAAATTGATTTCTCAAAAACAAGTGTGCGGATTTGAATCCGAGATTCGAAAGGGACTCGGATTTGTGCGGTGCCTAATGGTATTTGGTGGACAAATTAAGGGCTGCATGCGATCGATTTTCGGAGAATCAAAACCCCTGATGTGACCTAAATATATCGCCATGTTATAATTAATTAGTGACTCACAGACGTTGCTGTATCTCATGCTGGAGGGTCGAATTAGTGAGTCGTTTCCTTAAGTAGCTCTTGTACGCGGTGCGCAGCGGTCTGGCTCGGATCCCGTACAAGATTCCCGTCAAGCTCGGCGTCAAAAAGAGACTCAACGAGGCGACGGTGTCAATCTGAAAAGGGGCCGAGTGAGAATCCAGCGTGCTCTCCAGTATCTGCAAAACATGATATTTCAAATTTTGTCAAAATTTGTATTTTTGAAATCGTGTAGACCTTCTAATGAAAATAAGCAAGTGTAAAAATTATACGAAAAATTACACCTACACAATTCACCCATTACAAGGTTACAAAAATGGTCTAAAATTGGACCTACTCACGTCAACTATTTAACCAAATTGTCTTCCAAAATACCAATTTGTATTTACTTAAATTTAAGAGAAAAAAATTCAAAATTTGTGCAATTATTGAAAAAGTCAAACATCTTTTAATCTGAAATTAGTACTGCTAAACTTATGACATTTACTAAAAAAAACAATTTTTGCGATTGCTGTAGTTGACAATTCTAAAACTTTTTTAACCAAAAAATATTTTTTATAAACTGCTGAATTTCCAAAAAATTGACATAACCAACACAATTAATTGTACATAATTAAATCTCACTCACAAAAATGAGTATGAGTGGAACATGGAGGACGAGGAGTGTCATCATATCCTCCCAGACCGCCCTACACGCCCTTGACCTCGCCGGGACGGACCTATTCAGCCAAAGCCCGGGTAAGGGGGCTCCCTTACTGCCCGTCACGGTCACCTGCGTCACGGCCGTAATCTGGTAGAGCGCCATGATAATGCGGTGCCGCTGTCTGCGCGCGATGGACAACACGGTAAAGTCGCAAATCAAAATGGTCACCATGGGCGCGATAAGAATCAAAATTATCCAGCCCGACACCCACAACGCTCCCAGGACAGAAATCGATGACAATTTCGGTAGACAGACGCCAATCAGGGGGCGATACTGGAATGGACCTTGGGCATAAAGTTGGCTAGCGTTCTGTTGCTGCGGTTGCTGTTGTTGGAGGAGAAGGTGGTCCGTCGTGACGTCGTGAAGCGTGGAAATGTACCCCATCGTTGCAGTGTTGGATAAGACGTCGTCGTTATCTTCCTCCGTTGACCGAGGGTTATCTAAGTCTACGATCGTGGTGGTGGGGAAGTAGGGGGTCACAGAAGCTTCATCCCCTGGTCCTAGAGTTTGGCGGTGGTCCCAGACTGGGACGATGTGTGGGATGCCACGACCCCCCAAAGTCGTCACGCCCGCTACTTCCGTAGTAATTGTTCCAGATTGGTGTCGTTGGAGTTCTGCGGGTTTGATGAAGAACGAGACGAGGACGACGGAAATCGTGATGATCCAAACGGAGAGGAAAAATGCGGCGATTTTTCGCCTCGTGATCACCTGCGTGTAACGGAGCGGACTCACGATTGCTGCACATCGGTCGGCACTGAAATTGGGAATTTAACTTTGATCAGTTTCTATGCAAAGGTGGCCGTGAAAATGTTAATAAAAAACAACCTGCAACAAAGTATTGCAAGAAATTGTTTTTTTGCTAGAATAATTTCTCCCACGAGTGCAAGAAATGCAAGAAATAAGCGCCATATATAGCGGGCAATCCTTATAATTAAGTTTAGTACAAAGGATGAGCTGTCATTTCTTGCAGTACAGTGCAAATAATGAGGAAAAACCTTGAAGAAATCAAACACTTGTCAGCAAAAAGTGACAATAAAGAGTCTCGAAATATTGGAAATTTCGAGCTTTTAAACTCCGTTTTTTTGTAACAGATTTTAACCTCTCCTGCCCCATTACGAAGTTATCTCTCAAAAAGTGCATAAACCACTTACCTTAAGGCACAAATGCTCCACACGATGAGCAGTTGGAGTGAGAGGGTTGCCGCACCAGTGACATCGCAGCCGACCGAGACCATCGACGACCCGCTCGCCGTGATCCACTTTTCCAAAAAGACGGAGGGCCCGATACACAGGAGATTCGTCAAACTCGCCGTCAAGCCGCAGGACGAGAGGTGAAGCAGGATCCATTCGTTACTCGTGCGCGCCTGCAGGACAAGAAATGCATTTTTTTATTCATACTAAAACACTCCTCCTAAATTATGCAGGGTGTGAAAATTCGGGATTTTGAAAGGTCAATCCCCAGTGTGTGGGACGACGTCTCGGGTTACGTCACGCTATGGCCAGTTTCTTTGTTTGTTTGTGAATAACTGAGTCCACTAAATTATGCAGCCAACCTCTCTTCTTTCTCACCTGAGGACGAGGTGTAAAACTGCATCCAATAAATTCGTAGCGCAGAAATAAGTGCAGGAAAAGACGTGGGATTTCGGTAAAGTGACCAGGTCAAGCTCTTGGTCGGGTGGGTGGGACGCCAAGGAAATCAGACCCATTCTTCTGACGTACCTTGTGCTTAACCCCGTCAAAAATAATGCTTTCACCTTCTCCTCATCCACCAAGCAACCCACTCAGTCAGTCAGGACAAAGTGGGAGCAGAATCTTGGAGGATTTATTACTGTTACGATGATACCAGCGGATTAAATATTTACACTGAACGGATCAGATTCCAATGACGTAACTAAAAACTCCATCTTTTCCTAAGGGATGCAAGTAAATAGATGCAAATAACTTGGCTGAGTAGCATGACGGATGTAATGAGGGTATTCACGATGAGGTTGCAAAAAAAGAAGGGTTTATAAAAAATTTGGGTTGAAAATTGCGAAATTGTGAAACTCCAAGGCTAGTACGAGAGGGTCTCAATAAGTGATGCGAATCAGGATATATTTACAGAACGAGAACTTATTTTGCTGAATTCCAACGCAGCATTTACATAACTGCACTCAGAGTTTCAGGTGCCTCATTCCTCCACTGCATAAATCTTAACAATACAAGTTAATGCAAGTTTTTTTACCAAATTATTGCAACCCATTTCATTTCATTATTAGATTTCGCAAATTCAATTTTTGCTTACGAGTTCTGACTTTGGGGACAAATTAAGAGGAAATGAGTGGACCGATTTCCATGTTTTTTGGCATTTTACAATGTACATGATGTTAGGTTATGCAATAAATAAAATTTTATCTCTGTATCTCCTGTCCTGATTCGAATTACTTATTGATGATCCCTCGTATTTAATTGGCATTTTTTAGAATCCTGTCACGATAAATAAAAATATACCGAATCCCCAATATACAATTGGGAACAATTTTTAAAAATAGTTCTCACACAGATATAGAAATGCTTGACAATACCAGTAATTAGTTTACTCGGGCGACTAATAACGAGAACAATTTCGTTCGGGCGTGTTCTCAATTTTATGTAGATTTTGATACAATTTCCCATCCTTAATTGATATTTGCATGTATCGTGTGTCACAATAATCGTGCATTATTTCTCCGTTCTTGCATAACGAGAAAAAGCCAGCCATCGAACCAATTGGGACTCGTAAGAGAGAGAGAAAGCGCTTTCTTCCTTTCGCCTACCTGGCTGCAGAAGACTATTAACTTTTTAGTGCAGTGCAGGCAGGGGCCGAACAGAAGGAACGATTTTTTACATGATTTTTCAATTACGACATCAAGTTAAAGAAACCCGAGTAAAAATTTGAACATCATTTTCTTGCAGAAATTTGACCTAATTTCCTACAGAATAACTTGAATATGCAGCATTTATGCAGAATTATGCACATACGATTCAGCAAAATAAACACCATCCAAACTTTCGGCACGATTATGCAAACAAAATTATGCAAAATATAGTACACAGCCAGCTTATGTAGATTACTGTAGAATTCTACACAATATTTTCTACCCGAGAATGACGACGACCTTGACCCTTCAAAAAGAAACGAAGTCACATCCTTTCTGCACCCCTCCTACTGCCTGGCTAGACAGACCATCTCTATTTTTTATACCAATTGTTACGTTTTTTTTGCGCCGTAAATGGACATGACTTTTACCACCAGCGTTTTAAAGAGTAGGGGAGAAAACACGGTGTAGCATAAAATTGAATATTAACAGACAAAATTTTGTCCAAGACAGGAAACGTTCACCAGAAGAAACAACCCGTTTTAAAGTTTGAAAATATACTATGCATACTTCCTGTTTGCCCAGTGTCAAATATTAATTGCGGTCAAATTCATAAGTAAATATTTACAGGACAGCTGCTATTTCATGAATTCCTTGGGGAAATGGGGTCCACGTTGTAGAAGAATTCGTGCATAATGGATGCAGAGACCACCACAACAACGCGGTTTGTAAACACCACCACCACCACCGACAAACTGATGAATATCTAATTCAACGGTCTCCACTTTCACCGGGGGATGGATGATATTAGAAGAACTGCAGAAAAGCCTGCCTGCAACCAAGCACATACATTCGGCAAGATTACCACTTTATTAACGGCATTAATTCTTCAACATGACTCCTCCGATTCTTCTCCTGCCGCTGCTGCCTTCATGACCGCAAAGTTCTCCACTTTATGTGCTCCTACTTGGGATAAAATTAGACCTCAGACCAGGAGAAGAAGAAGAATACTAAATTTGAAACTGAAGCTTATTCCTACATAATTTGAGTGAAAATTGTTTCTAATAATTTTACCTACACAATTTCTTTATGAATAAACCGTAAAGCAATTTATGGGTATTAAAGTTGGAATTATTTTTAATTCTTGGTGGTCCACTCGTTTAAAGGGCGAATTAATAATCTTTTTTTTAGCTATAAATACAAAGCTTGATGATTTTTAATGACTATTTTTAGAAAATGATTTGAAAATGTTTAACTTTTGAAATGAGGTTCTAAATTTAAAACGAGATAAAAAAATGGGATGAAAATTTAGTCTGGATTGGATTTTAAACTGTTAACGTGTCCCATTTTATCTAACTGCGTGGGTTTTTTGGTACTGTAAATATTATCACTCACTTTCCCGTCTCCCATTCCAATAAAAAAATATGAGGAAGGAAGAACAAAGGAGGAAGAGAAAGTGGGAAGAAGTGAAAGATGAGAAAATAATAAAAATGATGTGACCCCACCTAAAAAATACTGCCAGAGATCATACTTTCACCATAAACTGGCGGCCAACCAGGGTTTCTACCTACCTACTTACGTAAAAAAGACGTTTTTAAGAAACTTCTCTGCAGAAGTGTCGACCAATTTTTGTCCCCTCTCAAAAATTCTATTCTTCCCAGACTATCGCTTGAGTTAAATAAGAAAAAGTTCTACTTTAAACGGTGACACCGTGAAAATGATTTCTGGGAAAGTGAGAAGAAATCAGAGGCCCTGCTATGATGCATGGTTGTCTCATCATTGGTCCATTTTACGACCGATTGGTCCATGGTCGCAAAATTGACGATATTGTGTCGACCCTGGGGTGGAATGAAAGTTCGGAAAATTACGTACTTTTTTGTAATCCATAATACCAAATACGTTTCTGTACAAATTTTAAATTAAGCAAATTTTACGCTGTGAATGCTTTACACGAATTTTTTAAAAAACATGGCAAGCAAATCAAACCTCCTATAAAAACGTTGATTTACAGAAACCCTGTCGCTCGCAGGAGATGGAGAAATGCAGACCTGGTAGTAAAGACAGAAAGGGAAAATATCTCATCTTCATCACGGGAAACATGACAAGCCTTTCTCCGAAGGAGAGAACAAAATCAAATTATTTGCAGGTTTTGATGAGAAGAAGAATAAAAAAGCTGGAGGCGGTAGTGGGCCAGTCTTTCTCTCTTTTAATGCATCCTCCCTTCCAGGCTACTCACTCACTTTTTTCAAAAATACTTATATAAGAAAAAGTAACAATTGATTTCTGCACACGGAGGGGCAACCTGCCTCTAAATTACTACTTGTTACCGCTTGGTAACTAATTTTCTGCGAAATTCCAATGCGTGTTACCAAATTATCTAAGATTATTCTTTACCGCAAAATTGTTACCAAATTTGTTCCCTAATTTTCCACAAAATTCCAATTGGTTACCAAATTAGGGAAGATTATTCTTCCCCGTAAAATTTTGACTAAAGCCCTAATTTTCTGAAAAATTCGAATTGGTTACCCAAAAAAAGAAGATTACTATTCTTTACCGCAAATTTTTTAACCAGAATTTTTACCAGAGTTATTATGCCCTAATTTGGCTCAAAATTCTAATTGGTTGTTCCCCCGTAAATAATAATGTAGGAAATTTGAATCTCGTCCTTGGTACAAATTTTGTCGCGAATTTATTTCCCAACTTGTTCACACTTTTCACTTTAGTATTCATTTTTGTCTTTGTAAATCTATGAAATGCAAATTGATGTGGATTGGTGGTACGTACACACACACGTAGGTAAAAAATGCATGCATAATAATTTATTTTGTACCTTTTTATTCCGGAGAAGCACCACGAGGACGTAGAGATTGGTGAAGATGCCAAAGAAGCTCATCAGTGTGCCCAAAGATCCAAGGATGAGATGCAGCATTTTCCCAAAAATCTCTTTCCTCCGAAAAGTCGGCTCGGTTTCGCTTCCACTTTCACCACCGGAGAACCAACTCCAAAACTGCGACCCTACGTAAAACAGACTTTCTTTATTCATCCATAATCATGGCGAGTCTATCCTTTCATCTCTCTCTCCACGAATTGTGTATGTATTGAGACCAGGGTTTCGCCCCACAGAAATGGCGAGGAGTACGTCTTCATAAAATTTGGGCAATTTTCACAATTTAATAGATAGCATTAGAAATTGGTAAAGTTACACACGACACGTGAAAGTCAATTGTGTGAGACTGGATTAAGCATAAGCAGATTTAATGTACAACATTAATTCTATATGTTTTCTATAAGTTTGTCACATGTACATATTTTCACCCACTCGCCATGTTACCAAAATCAAAATAAATTGTATTTCACGCCCTGGAAATGTCAGGGAGTGTCAATCTACACACAAAATTTTCCCCATTTTCCCCACTGATAGGAGAAATGGGAGAAATGCACTTTATGTGACATACATAATACATATTTTAACCCTTGCCATGTTACCTGAAACTAAATAGAAGTTCATTTCGTGTCCTGGAAAATTCAGGGCGTCGAAATTCGCAAATTTATATAAATGAAGTTTTCCTTATGTGGGAGAAATGGGCGAAATGCACTTTATGTGACATATGCGGTACAATTACGTCCTGCTTGCCTAAATCTAACCAAAGTGCATTTGCATTTCGTGACCTGAAAAATTCATATCGTGTCTCTATCTACAAAATACGCAAGCGAAACTTTCTCCACGATGGGCTAAATGGGTGCAAGAAATGCACTTTTTGTGAAAAAAGCCTCGATATGGTTGGATTTCTTCCTGCGTAGTCCGGAGTTAAGCTTAAGCTCTTAAAAAATACGGGATCCATATCACACGGGAAAAGGATGAATAGATGCTTTCCTTAATTTCTAATTGATTACGCACAACTTTTTCTCCTGCCTCGCTCTAATCGCGAGATTGGCAAACCATGCTTTAAAACTTTTACGTAAATCTTCATCTCCTCCAAAAATAAAAAAAGTTGGGCGAAATGGGATTCCATTTTCGATACCTAGTTTCTCTCCTGGTTTCTTCTTTCCAGTTTCGAAAATTTCAATATCGATGCAAAGTTTAACGTTTGAAATTGGACGAACCAATAAGTCACGTCGTCGGAGAGCGAGCGAGTCTCATTTTTCGGGGATTTAGCAAGTTCACGATCGTTTTAGGAAAAAATTCGGTACAGATATTTTGAAAATTCGCTAAAAATTCAGGAACTTTCAGAAGAGTTTTATCATTTCATTTTTAATTTACGTACATAATTTCTTTGTGCCCTAAAACGTTTATTTTTTATTCAAAATTTTGCGGTTTGCGATTTTAGTTAATTTATCATTTTTTGGAGACAAATTGGTTAAAAACTGGGAAACAAGTAGCAAAAACTTTCAAACTCTAGATCAAAATATCTTTCTTTAATTCATAAAATTTGAAACACCAAAGAATCTATAGCTAAAATATTCCAATAAAGCGTTAAAAATTGCAAAATTATTGAACATATCAGCATAATTTACGGCACGAACGATTTCGCAAAACTCAATGTTTTCACACATAATTTATCCCATCAAAATACATGATTCGTACAGAAATGTGTAGCTGTGATGATGTCAAGACTCCATTATTGACGTGGGACTGTCTCATCCCCAGTGTAAAATCCCCTCATGTCCACATTCCAAATTCAAATTGATTTCGATAAAAAAAGCCAAGATAGCAAGTCAAGCCCACCATTGCTGCTGCTTAGTGATTGAGTGGGACGCCACATTTTTGTAACCTTTTCCTCCATCCGTCTCTCTCTCTCTCTCTCTCGAACCATTTTAAATTCCAACTTCAAAGCCACCGTGGATATCGTAGATCAAAAGACTGGAAAAAAGGAGAGAGAAAGGACACGAATATTGCACATTCGTACAAAAAAGCGAGAGGGACCGGCATAAAAGATGTCACTCATTTTGACCTCAGTGGTCATTGCGATCTGGACTCAACGAGATGGTCGCGCTAGTGTTGGTTCTTGCGGGTTTGCCACATTTTTTGCACTGCAAAAGAAGAAACGCAAGAAATACGAGGTGCAAGAAAGTGCAAGAAATAAGCGCCATCTAGCCACACGCCATCTACCCACGCGTATGAAGTATTTACAGCGGCGGGAGATAGTCGCACCAGTGTTTCGTTTCTTGCGGGGGTTTACCACATTTTTTGCACTGCAAAGCAAGCAACATAAGAAATACGAGGTGCAAGAAACTGCAAGAAATAAGCACCATCTAGCCACGTGTATGAAGTATTTACAGCGGCGGGCGTAGTTTCTTGCGCCTTGCATTTCTTGCAGGTCAAAATATCCGTAATTTCTTACAAGTGATTTCTTGCACCTGAAACACTGACTCGTACAAACCTAAGCCAGATGGCCCTGCGAAAAGAATGTGGCTGCAAGTTTAACATGGAGCACCAGTCACACAAAAATAGATCGCGTCCTTTTCCCAAAATCCGTCTCATACAATTATTTAATGACGTTACTTAAAAAAATCGTGGTACTCTTTGTAGTATCCTTTTCTTCTCAGTTTCATGTATTTTTTCAGCCTTTGAAATACATCTTCTACGAAAAGGGACAAGTCTCGAGCAGTTCTTTAGTACAATAAATGTTCTAATCCCACTAAATAAAATACTAATTATAGCAATGGTGCGGTATTACGTAAACCTAGAAAGGGGGAAATGTACGTACGTATGGCGTGTCACGTTACGTTGGATTATGTTATGTAAATTGTTTTCTTGGGGAGATTGCTTAATGGGAATAATTTTGTGGCTGGCTAATGGTCAAATTAAATTGTCCGAGTGAGCCAATTCCTTAATGGGATGGATGAGGAATCAATGATTGCTTGCGATACGATACGTTGGCAAATAGTTGCAGTATGCAGGATGTCACTGCACCAACCACCAATTTGGTAATACAATTGGTAATACGCACTTTGGTACCGAGTGTTCCCTAGCAGGAAGTAATTTTTATGCGGGACAGAAGTCCACATTTTTTACCAGGTCGTGGTAAAATATTATAGTAAATTGGTAAAAAATTATCACCAATAAAAAAGTACTACCGGTGATTACAACGGGTTTGCAAAAAGTTGCAGTAGGCACGTTAAACAATTTATATCATTTTGATAATATTTTGGAAATTCTCATTTTTTACCAGTAAAAACCAGTAAAAAATTAGATTTGGTTACGCATATGTATTTCTGTTTTATGGATATTGACGTTGCAATAATCTTCTTTGATACTGCCAGCCCTCGACTGCATTACGGTTTCACCCTTTTATTATAATAAGACCCAAAAAATAACAAATTTGACATTTTATCTTGACCAGAAGGCAAGACGGACAGTGAGCGATGGGATCGGATCCAGTATCGCACAGGGTTTTCCTCCCATCCATTTTTCTAACCAATTGTTTTTTCTTTTTCCCAAAAAAATTTTACCGTTTTTTATACAAATTAAAAAAAAACTTGGTACCAAAGTTACGAAATAATATGAACGGACAAGGTTAAATTGCGTCATTGTATGTAAAAAAAACTGCAATTTTTCGGACTGAATATTTCTCGGACTTTGACATTTTCCATTTTCCAGCCTAATAAAAGTCAGGCCCTCTCGTCAGTCAGTCAGTATTGGTTAGAATCAACAAGTGTCCTTCGTCTCCTACGTTCGTACAGCATTTTTCCGTGGTTCTCTATAGGTTCGATTAAATGCATGTCCCAACTTTCTCTCTACATACTAAAATTCCTTTCCCTAGCTCTTTTTTTATCCAGCATATAGGTTGTGACACGACTGTCTCTGACAATCACAGGGCGGCTATGTATGTATTTACGAAATATTACTGAAATATGTATTTAATGTAGAGAAAAATAATGCCAAAATATTTACGAAATATGTTAGAAAAAAATCATAAAAATAGGAATTTTCTCAAAATTTGTGTTTTTGAATTTAATATTTTTTGGGGTAGAATTTCCTTAAGCAAAAAATTTAACATCGTTAAAATATTTACAAAATAAATGTATATATTTTTTTAATGCGTAAAAGATTTACATATTTTTCAAATAATAGCGGAAATATTTGTGAAGAATACGCAAAAATCTAGAAATATGTAACAATATGCAACAATATTTTGAAACTTTTCTGATCGATAAAAGTTATGGCACACACCGACAAGTTTTGACCGTGGGTCGTCATCAAATCGGGAATAAACAGATATCCGCCCTCCAGTAATACGTAATGTCATGCTTGAAATAATTCAAGTCTGGCGATAATAATAACATTCAGTCCAAGTCTTGTCCCGAGGGACAGTTATTTTATTCTCGTCGGCTCGTCTCATTTTTCCAGAGTGTTGTCTCTCCAGGGGCCGCGCAGAAGGGATGCGTGACCTCTTTTGTCAGGTTGAAAAGGTCAAAGACCACAGGCCAAAGGTCAACAAGGTCAACAAAATCCATGACATCCTTTACGTCCTGCCCCTCTAAATACTTAGATAATCAGCCGGACTGGTTGCACCTACGCAAGTATTTTTAAATCAATGTCTCTCTTTTCCCTGCAGGTTTGGGTGAAATGTCTGCCTTTTTCAGGTGTCCATGTCCTGCATTTGCTGTCTACGTGCGGCCCGAGGATCGTTTTTCTCTAACTCCAATTCAATCAAACGATCCCGATTAAAGTTGGGAATGATGGCCAAAAGTTGCGTCCAGAGGGAGAAAAATGGGAATGGTCGCACGAATAATTAAAATCTTGGGGAATATGTACGCAATTTACGATGATTGTGGGAACGTTGGTGGGTTGGGGGCTAAGGTAAAAGGTGACTTGATGGGGAGGACGTGACGACGTAAAGTGCAAATATTTATCGCCATGATCTCTTTGACATTTGAGGAGCGATAGTGAAAGCGATCTCAAATTCAGGTGAAGTAATCATCTCAAGTGTGTAATAAAAGTGGAAAATTTATCTTAATTTCCCAAAAAATTGCAACATTTAAGCCCTCATTGAGGGTATTCATTATGAGTT